ATCGTGATATACAAGGGTTTCTATACGTACTTGAAATCGAAGGGCTCATATACATAATCATATGAGCAAATCACAGGTTCCTCCTCCTCCTCGGGGCTTTGCGAAGAACCCTCCTTTTTTGGGCGGCTGTTCTCTTTCAGACAGAATCCATCCAAAACATCAATTATTTCGCTGCGCCTGCAACAGAATTAAGCAAAAAGGGCAATCAAAACGTCTGGAAGCAATTAATCAATTTCGGCGGCTATCATTTAATTAGGGTACGAAAAAGGCAAGACCTGCCGATTTCGTAAACCCTAATTTTGGAGGCGAGAGGGAAAAAAATTGGAGAAAATCTTTGTCCATTAATTATTGAAGAGATAAGTCAAAACGAGAATAGAAAAAGTGGGAAATTTGGAGTAATTACTTGCAATCGTAAGGAATGTTCTTCATCACGACAGTTGTGGCATGCGGATCGACTTCGAGCGGCATAACTTGATGCCTGGACGTCGATCTCTGTATGTATCGCCCACCAATATTCTCTTGGGTCCACGCTCTCTGCTGATTTGGATTGTAGTAGAAACCATGAAAGATCTGAAGATGGAACATTACCGGCGGCAGGAGTGGGAATGGATGAGGTGAGGCGGTTTGCGGCGGGCGATTGGGTTGAAACTCGGGGGCGTTTGGGTTGAGCTTAGACATGGCGACGGAGACGAGATGTAGACAGCTGAGAAAATAATAAGAAGTGAAGAATGTGGAGTGTTGTTGTCTAGCGGTAGTGCTGTTTTTATAGCTGCAAAATCTCATATCGTATCTTATATCAGACGGTTATATGTAATCTTCGATTGGATATTATTATTATTATTATTATTATTACTTATCGAGGATTTACAATAAAAAATTAAAATATCTTCAATCAAAATACAAAGCAAACGAATTTTATATATATTTCAAAAATTACAAATCAAATAATTACTGCATTTCCTCTATGTTTAGACTTGACCGATCGATTCGAAGGTTTCAAATCAGAACCGCCGTGGAACCGAGACTGAAATCGGTTCGGTTCATACACGGTTCCTGTATTCCTTGAACCGTGGACAGCCGGTTCATCAACATTATTTATTTTATGAAAATACATATAAGAAAGAATCTTACCTTTCAGCAGTCACCGGAGCGGAGCAGAGCACAGGCTGATCGAGGAAGAAGGAGACGAAACAAAGAAGAAGATGGAAGAAGTTAAGAATGAGGGAAATGAAGAAGAGGAAAGAGGTAAAATGTGATTAGGGAAGCTTTTATAATTTATAAAAATAATGGGAATGTTTGTTTGCTTACAGTTGTGAGATATAAATATTTTATTTTACTATTAGTATTTTATTTTATTTTTGAGAAATGGTTGATTATTTTGACATTTTTATTTTAATTTGTATATGAGTTGCATTCTCTTCCTTCAGCTTTAATGTATATATGGAGTATATTCTTTTAATAATTATAATGTCTTATAAATATTTCTATTTTATCATCATATTATTATTTTTTTACAATAAAAAAAGAAAATTATTTTTACATTAGTATTATATTAGAATATAGTAGAAAGAAATATAAAAAGATTAAATTAAATTGTATTATACGAAGGTAATGATATTTGTGTAATATATTATAAACTAAAAGATATTTGTAATGTTAGAGATATAGTACAATTATTTAAAAATAAAATGGATACTTTCATATGAGACATACCAAAATGAAAAAAATAGATAGATTGTTAAGGAACAGAGGAAGAGGAAGCCGTATGTCATGTGCTAAAATGAATTATTGTATGTTGTATGAGACTACAACATTGTTGTTAATTCATGTACTCCGTATTATATTTATATTATATTAACGCATAAAGAATGTTGTTTGCGGTAATACTGTGTGTTGTCAGTTAGCAATTAGTGTGCTATTGAGCACAATGTTGACTTTAATATTCAACATTCTAACCGCTATCTTTTTTCTATCTTACTTTGATACTATGTTTGTTCTAACTAATTTGTCTATCTTAACTGGGATATAGAGTTTTAGGTATTGTTTATTTAGTAAATAATTAAGAAATATATTAGTATAAATAATAATAAGTTAATGAAAATAATTATATATTAAAAGTAAAATGATTAAATACTTTATTTAAAATAAAAAGAAATTATAAGCTATGAATTTAAAATGTAATTAAATAGTATAATTATATTTTCGAAAAACGAAATGACAAATTATAAGGAACAAACAAAATAGAAAAAAAAGACAAATTATATGAAACGGATAAAATATTTTTTTAATATTTTGTTCAAACAATTATAGAAGTTTAGGCAAATATACAAGTATTTTGTATCAAAGTCATTTTAGTAAAAAAAATTGAGGTGACTAAATAGTAGTGGACAAGTAGAAAAAATATTGAAAAAGTAAATTGATATTATTTGTCAAATAATAAATAATAAAATTATGTATGAATAAAATTATCTATTATATAGGTATTATTTTAAAAGACATCTAAAAATGAATAATAAGATATTAATTTTGATTCAAAATAAAAAATAAACACACCGAAAATTTATTTATAATCATTTATTTATATCTCTTACAAATATATTTACATTTAAATTTTACTATTTTTACAAAATTAATTTATAATTAATGTAAAAATATTTATTTATTGTATATGATTTTATTTAATTATAAAATGCAATATTGAATACTATATCATTTTTAAAATATATAATATTCGTTCAACCTCTTAACAATCTATATATATATATATATTTTTTTTTATTTTGAATATGTCCTAACTGAATTTTTTACGAACATTACTTTTATATCACATAATACTAATAAAATTATATTAGTCTTTTTTACTTTTTTTTTTTTTTATAACGTAGTCTTTTTTACTTTATTTATACGATACCCAATATAATACTAATATTTTTAAAATTTGTGCTAAAAATAAGCAAACAGATGGATAAAGGACAAATGAAGTATATATTTTTAAAAATCAATTTAATTAAATATTCTTTTATATTATAATATCATATAATCTTAAGGGAGTAAATACTTTCTTGACACGTAAAATGTTCCCCCTTTTTTTTTTGTCTATCTTATATAATGTCTTTTTATTTTTTAGTATTATTATTGTATATCTTAATTATATTTTAAGTTTCATAATTTATATTTTTAATTTGTAATTAAATTATTTAATTATCCTAATATTAATTTTTAATTATTTTTATTATATAATAATATATTGTTAATATATTTTTAATTATTTACTAATTATATTTTATGTATCTATAAGACAATTTAACAGGAATGGAGTGCAATATAGAATTAGATACATACTAAGGGTGTGTTTGTTTGAGGAATTTGTTTGGATTTCTACTATTCATCCTATTTTTTCTCCCCAAAAAACATCAAATCAAACACCTATTTTTCATTTTTTATATTATACTGAAAATTAATTTTACATTCAAAACATCACATCAACACCTATTTATATCACATCATACAACTATTCAAATTTAAAATTTTTACTATTCAAATCCTAACTCAAAATTCAAACCCTCAAACAAACACACCCTTAGAAAATATAGAAATTTGTAAGTGTGCAAATAATAATATCTCACTAATTTTTAAATTTCCATTGAAAGGAGAAAACAAACACCGTGTTTGGTTCAGGGTATTTGAACAAATTTCCTACTTCCTCCGTCCAATTTATATTATCATAAAATATATTTGTACGATTTTTTAGGTGATTGTCTTTTTGTTATGAATGGACAAATTTGCCCTTAAGTGCATGGTAGTGACTCAAAGTAATAAATAAATTAAGGATAAAAATGTAAAATTTATGTTTAAAAAAAAAAATAGGACAATTGTTGTTGAACGTTCCAAATAAGAAAGTAGGATACTAGTTTGTGGACGGAGAAGGTATTATTTATTGATTTTTTATTGCCATTTTGATTTGAATTTAAATTTTAATTCAAATAATTATTTAATAAAAAATTTTATAAAATGCAGTAATATATTTTTATTGATATATATTTATTTTTTTTAAATTGAATAGTGTACGTTGATTTTGATTTAGAATTAAAATCAGATACGTCGTTAGTATTCTATACTTCATAGTCATAACCATTAACCAAGCAAAATTATCGAGAATGTCGTAGTAGTAGTATTAAGTAATGCATTTGCGACCTATATAAAAATTTGTATATTTATGAACTTAATATTTCATGAATAATTTAATATGAAAATATTTAATTAAATTATACTACTCCATCCGTCCAATTGAAAGGTTGCAATTTTTCATTTTCGTCCGTCCCAAAACAAGGTTACTATTTACTAATTTAGTAATTGTACTATCTAACTAACATAATAAATACCCTTCCAACTTACACTATAGTCATTACTTTTATATTGAACAATATTAATAGAGACATTTTCGTCTTTTTCACTACAACTCATTATAATACTAATATTCAAAAATCTACATGCAAAAGTAAACTACAACCTTGCACCGAAACGGAAGGACTATTATAATAATAATAATAATAATAATAATAATAATAATAAAATAGAACGATAAAATTATAGTTCTATTTGTGTTTGGTACAAAATTTTAAAAATATTAATATTATATTGATAATCGATGAAAAAATATGAGGAAAAGACCTATTTACCCTCCTAAGTATATTAATGTAAAAAATAGTGGCATTTGTGTAATAATAACAAAAAAATATGGATAATTTTATAGCAATGTATTTATAGAAATAACACTATTGTTTTGGGACAACAAAAATCATAAATAAGACTATTCTATTGGGACAAAATAAGTATAATATTTTCTTGCATTTCATTAAAATTTCATAAAATTTTATTTGTTGCCTAAAATTACTTGTAATTAAAATATACAAAAAATATTTGTTGTGAAAATGAATGCTCAAAAACCCTAGCTAGCTTTAATTAAGGCTAGCTAGCTTCACCATCCATAATTGTATCTATCAGTTGTGGGAGATCGCGCAAGTTCCAGATGATGACGAGCTACCTACGCCACTACTACTCCTCCGGTTCCCCACCACCGTCATCTCCACCGGATTCCCCGACCCGTCCCTCGCCGGCTCGAACGTCACTGGCAGGAACTCGTCGGAATCGCAGTCGTACAACGATGGCGACGCCTTCTCCACCAATGCTTCCTTCCCCTGCACAAATTATAGAAAAACATTCAGTAATTGACCAATAAACAGCTAGCTGAATCTCTCTCTATATATATCGTTATATTGATATTAATTACCTGAACTTTCGCTTTGGCGATCACGATTGGCCTCTCCCAGTTGTTTCCACGGCCATTGCTCCAGAACTTGCCCTGAAAGGAGCTGCTGAATTTCTTCACAGTCGCGGCGTTGGTGAAGTTAACGAAGGCGAAGCCTCTTCCCTTTTTGGTCCTGCACCAAGATACAAAGATTATAAATTATTCAATTCTTCAAGAGATAAAAATAGGTTATATATTAATCGTGATATACAAGGGTTTCTATACGTACTTGAAATCGAAGGGCTCATATACATAATCATATGCACAAATCAAAGGTTCCTCCTCCTCCTCGGGGCTTTGCGAAGAACCCTCCTTTTTTGGGCGGCTGTTCTCTTTCAGACAGAATCCATCCAAAACATCAATTATTTCGCTGCGCCTGCAACAGAATTAAGCAAAAAGGGCAATCAAAACGTCTGGAAGCAATTAATCAATTTCGGCGGCTATCATTTAATTAGGGTACGAAAAAGGCAAGACCTGCCGATTTCGTAAACCCTAATTTTGGAGGCGAGAGGGAAAAAAATTGGGGAAAATCTTTGTCCATTAATTATTGAAGAGATTAGTCAAAACGAGAATAGAAAAAGTGGGAAAATTTGGAGTAATTACTTGCAATCGTAAGGAATGTTCTTCATCACGACAGTTGTGGCATGCGGATCCACGTCCAGAGGCATAACCTGATGCCTGGACGTCGATCTCTGTATGTATCGCCCACCAATATTCTCTTGGCTCCACGCTCGCTGCTGATTTGGATTGTAGTAGAAACCATGAAAGATCTGAAGATGGAACATTACCGGCGGCAGGAGTGGGAATGGATGAGGTGAGGCGGTTTGCGGCGGGCGATTGGGTTGAAAGTCGGGGGCGTTTGGGTTGAGCTTAGACATGGCGACGGAGACGAGATGTAGACAGCTGAGAAAATAATAAGAAGTGAAGAATGTGGAGTGTTGTTGTCTAGCGGTAGTGCTGTTTTTATAGCTGCAAAATCTCATATCGTATCTTATATCAGACGGTTATATGGAATCTTCGATTGGTTATTATATTATTATTATAATTATAATTATAAATATAAAAACCGATTAATTTTAGTTATCAACTAAACTTTTAACTTTTAACAGATTTATTATGTTTGCATATATTGATAGATATTGGAGTAGGATTTTATTTAAATAATCATTTTAGATGTTTCACATTAATTCAAAATTTTTTTACAAAAATATATAATATCAAATAATCTTTTATTTTTAAAATTTTCAAAACTTAAAAAAAAAATTGTATGTAAACGAAAATGTCAAACTTAAAATAAAAATATCAAAATAATCAACCATTTTGTATGAATCATTTATCATCCCTTCCCCCGCTTTAACAAATATATATTTTTATTTTATTTGTCTTCTATTAATGTACATATATTTTTAATAATTATACTTTTACTATTTTACGTAATTACTTTTATTTTACTATTGCATCATTATTTTTTACTAAAAATAAGGATAAAATTATTTTACATTATTTTAAATATTTATTTTAATTAAAATAATATTATTTTTTAAAATTTTGCACCAAAAATAAATATATATTTTGTGATGGACGAGCAAATGTAGTATCTACTGAATAATTTAGTCCGAGTGAATGACGTATAATATAAAATTAGATGCATTTGTAGAAAATATAGAATATTGGTAGTGTATGAACAATTTAGATGTGACGATGAGCTTATTTGGTTCTAGGTATTTGAACGAATTTCCCATTATTTATTGATTATTTATTGTTATTTTAATCTAAATTTAAATTTTAGCTTAAATAATATTTTAATACTTCCTCCATTCATTTGTTTTAGAAATATTAGTATTATATTGGAATATAGTAAAAATAAAATAGAAATTGCTAAAATAACTTTATTAGTATGTGTGATATAAAGGTAATGACATTTGTGTAATATATTGTAAGTTGTAAGGGTATTTGTAATGTTATACAGTTACTAAAAAATGAAATTGATACTTTGTTATGGGACGGACTAAAATAAAAAACTAGATACTTTGTTATGGGAGTACGAGAGTATAATATTTTATAAAATAAAATAATATATTTTTGTTAAACATTTTCTAAACTAATCCTTGTATGTTGATGTTGATTTTAATTTAGAATTAAAACCAAACACAGTTAGTATTCTACTCCCTCCGTCCAACATAATTTGTCCCTATTTTCTATTTTCTTCTATCCATATAACTTGTCTTTTCTATTTTTGGAAATATAATTATGCACTTTAATCGCATTTTAAATTTTATAATTTTCTTAATTTTAATTAAACTATTTACTTATCTTAATCTTAATCTATAATTATTTTTACTAAATAATAATTATTTTTATTAATACATTTCTTAATTACTTACTAATTATACTTTACCTAAATTCTCGTGTCTACAATAATACACTCATATTACATGGGACGGATGGAGTATTTGATAGAGTATAGTCATAACTATTAACAAAGCAAATTTCTTGAGAATGTCGTAGTGGTAGCAAGTAATGCATTTGCCACATATATAAATAACTTATGAACTTACTAGTATTTCACGAATAATCTGATATAGAAATATATAATTAAATTATACTACTACTACTATAATAATAATAAATAAATAAATGTAGAAGAATAAATTATATTGTCTCTGTCCATTGGAATGGTACTAGATTTTTTAATATTAATATTACATTGGATTGTAGTAAAAAAGACAAAAATACCTCTATTAGTATGGTGTAATATAAAAGTAATAGCATTTATATAATATATTATAAGTTGAAATGATATTTATTATGTTAGGTATACAATTACTAAATTAGGAAATGATAACTTTGTTTTGGGAAGAACAAAAATATAAAATGACAACTTTTCAATGGGACGGAGGGAGTATAACAATTTCTTGTGTTCTAATAAAAATATATAAAATATTTTGTATTTTATTTATTGCTTAAAATTTGTTATGTTAATTAAAAGATACACAAAGCACTTTTTCGTCTAAAATTGATATTTGATTGTAAATATACATCAATTATGTAAGTTTTATAATAATAAAAAAATATAAAATATACTCCATCCGTCCCACTTATGGTGTCCATCTTTTTATTTTCGCCCCACTTATACTGTCATTTTCTATTTATTTTTTTAAAAAAAATTGTACACTTTAATATTATTTTAAAATTTTTAATTTTTTTAAAAATTTTTAATAAGACTAATTAGTCATCTTAATTTTAATCTAAAATTATTTTTATTATACAATAATTATTTTTACTAATACATTATTATCTATTTACTAATTATACACCTCTTGAATTATCGAGCTACAATAAATGAGACTGGATGGAGGGTATTAAATACTCCCTCCGTCTCATATACCGCGTCTGCTACACTGTAGACACGTTATTTTAGGAGGGGTGTAATTAGTATATAATTAAAAATGTATTAGTGAAAATAATTATCTTATAATATAAATAATTATAAATTAAGATTAAGATAACTAATTAGTTTAATTAAAATTAAAAAAAATAATTAAAAAATTAAAAATAAAATTAAAATGTGTAATCATTTTCCAAAAAATGAAAGTAACATTAAAAGAAATGAAATATGAGACAGACTGCAAGTAGACATAATATGTGAGATGGAGAATGGAGTAATATTTTTAAATAAATTAAATAATTTGTAGGCTATTAATTTAATACTTTTTTGAAAGAGGAGTTGTTACCTAATTAAAAAATATTACCCCCTCTATTCCATTTTTTTTAATATCCGATGTACTGTAGATATGAAAATATGTGTAAGGGACAAAGAAGTTGGACAAAAAATGTGAGAAAAAGTAGTAGAAAATAAATTATTGATAAATTATATTTTAACATTTTTATTTGTATACAACTTAGCGGTGCTTGCAGACAATTATATACTTTCTTCCCTCCGCTTAATTTGTTCATTATCTTTATTTTTATTTTGTCCTATATAATTTATCTTTTCATTTTTTCTAAAATATAATTATATTTAAAAATTAATACTCTCTTCGTCCCATAACTAAATATTCATTTGCTTTTTGCACGTAATTTTAGAAATATTAGTATTATATTGAAATGTATTAGGAATAAAGTAGAAAGGACTAAAATAACCTAATAAATATACTAATAAAGGTAATGACATTTGTGTAATATATTGTAAGTTGTAAGTTGCAAGGGTATCTGTAATATTAGATAGATAATATGGTTATTAAAAAAAGAAATGGATATTTTATTATAAGAGGGACTAAAATGGAAAAATTGATACTTTGTTATGGGACGGAGGGAGTAATATATATATTTTTATTTTAATTAAACTATTTAGTCATATTAATCTTAATCTATAATTATTTTTATTAAATTATAATTATTTTTACTAATATATTTTTTAATTACTTACTAATTATACCATTAGTTTCTAAACTAATAGAGACAAATATTAGCTGGAATAAAGAGAATATAATTTCGATCAAGGATATTTTGTGACTACATTATATATATACATTTATACTATATTAAGCGTTAAATGTGTGGGAAGTAAATGGCAGTATATTTACCGCAGTCAAAGCAGCATAAATGCAAAGTAATTACATTACATGACATATAAACAATCTAAAAAATGTTTAAGAAATTAACCAATGGGAAGTGCTCTAAAGCAGGCGATTAACTTATTTGAGTTATTAATGTTCTAATGCTCATTAATTGTACGGCGTTACGTAAGTGCACTTTCCATATTAATGGAGCTTCGCATTCCGAATATCCTTCGTTCCTCAAACGCGCTCTTATCTATCTCGATTTTCGGATTTCGGATTGATGATGTTCTTCGTCGAATTGGTAATCGTGATGATGTTCGATCGGAGGAGGTTATAGTGGTGTTGTGTAATTTTGTAATTGGGCGAAAGTGGGGCCTCTGATGAACCGGTACGTGAACGGAGTTATTGCCAGAGATGCCGCCTCCCTACTTTCAGTTTCAGGTGATTTTCGTGACCATTTGTGATTATCTATAGCAGGATTATTGACTTTAAATTATGTTATCGTAGTATCAGGCGTTGTAGATTGGATTTGAGTGCGGAAATGGATAGAATGAACTAGAACTCGCATGATAAATTATTTGTATTTTGACATGTTTGAGATGTGCTGTGTGGAGGACGTTGGGGCGTTGCGATCATTTAATCTCTTTAATAATTAGATAGGTTTTCGTGGTCATTTGTGGATCGCTTGGTTGATTTGCTTCTGTCTCTTCCAAATTAGGATTTCCGAAGGATGTGGAAGGAAAGAGCATGGTGTTCTTCTGTAGAGGATGTTTTGAGTCCAGTTTCAATAAAGAAGAAGCCTAAGGTTTGTACATATTTTCCACCGACTATAATCTAAAATCCATTGATGATTGGTACTGTGATTCTGATTTGTGCTCTGAAGCGCTTTTCAAAATTTACAGAAAAAAAGTAGATCAAGGAAGAAACAGGATGTGCAAGAAAAGCCATCACCAGCTTCTGATCAACCTAATGTTAACTCTGTTCAACTGTCGACTCCTATACCTTCACCGGGAGAAGTCGATGAGTTGAATGAGGTAGTGGATGTGTCTACAAACCATGCTTTCTCTGCTGCAGAGGCTGCCGAACAGGTAGCTTGATTCTCAGTTACTATATCTGCATCTCTTACGTAAGGTGTGATCATGAATCAAGTTTTTCTCAAGAGTTATGAATCAATAGTTATCCTCAACAGTTTTTGATATCTCTCCCTACAATTGATAAACTGCTGTAAATAAAGCTACCACCAGATTTTCTGTCTTGGTTTCGGCATTCTATTCTACCTTTTATCGAAAACAATATACGTTATTTAACCAAGAACTATTTATGCTTGTGCTGTATAGGAAACAACTACATTGCAATCTCTAAAGGGGCCTGCCAGGCTGAAATCACATGTCAATGGAGCTTCTGTGAAACGCCGAACTTCGAATGCTCTGAAATACATACGGGGTCGATCCCGTCTGCAGTTTCAGGTTCGAGCAAGAAGGATCAGAATGTCTCAGGAGAACCATGCACTCCAGAGGCAGCAATTTCATGCTAAAATGATGGAGAATTTGAAAGTTAGTTCATTTATCAGTTTCACTGTTTTCTTTACTCAGATTGAATGAATACATAATTTGTTCAATTCTGCATCTAAACTAATCAAATCGACACTCTCCTCTTTAATTCTTGTGAGGTGGGAGATGAATGGAATTTTAGTCTACTGTCAAAAGAACAAATCATGACAAACTTGATTCAGAAGTATGGAGCTGCAATGAGGCGAGAAAGATCTCTAGCTTATTCTCATACTCACCAGGTATTCATTGTCTATAAATAAATTCAAAATGTGTTTGATGAGTTTGAAAAGCTTTAGTTATAACTCATCAACATTTTAATGGAACAGCAGCCATGGATTAAATCGACAAAATATAATCCCTTCCTGGGCTGGATCTGGTTAGACAGATGGATGAGTGCTACACAGCCATGGGAGATGATAACCACACCTAGTAAAGATCACAACAACGATTGTAGTGCTGCTCCAAGGATTCGTGCTCGAGATCCTACAAAGTGCCTTGCTTGTCGTCTCCCAGACATGGAAAATCCATCGGCATCCACTGTCCGAGCACCTCATGTCTACGACTCCCCTGGAACGGCTGGATCAAAGATCGGATCCTCATCATCTTCGAGAAAGCTGAGGACTCCAAGCCACAGCAGCTGTACATTGAGCCAAGATAACGACTCAAGGAATGCGATCACGTGTTCATCGAGGAAGAATAAGAGTCGGATGAGCCCTTTCTCGGTTCCTAGTTACATGGCGCCAACTCATTCTGCATTGGCCAAGTTTAAACGACATTCTTATCCACCGACACCTGCTGGCGCAAGGCGGCATGTTGGCCCTTCCATGGCTGAAACTGGCTCTGCTGTCGAAGAAAACATTGCGAAGGGAGCGCGCACGGTTGAGTCGATCACCTTGGATCGCCCGGCGCAGGGCAGGTGAATGAGGTATGTAGTGAACTGTTGGATCGGATGTTTGAAGTGTTTTTACATTAATATTCTTGGAAGTTCTTACAGAATCTTCTCCATATGTTAGTTTTGTGGTGGCTGGTTTGGTTTGGTTTGGTTTTATACATGTGATTGTTGACAATGTGAGGTTGTAAGGAATAATGTAGAAATGATTAGATTGCAAATGTTTTTGAGTGAATGTTTTGATGTTAGTAAGTAGCTTATTTATTTGCCGTGTGAGAAAGTACAGGGAGGGCAAAGTCTAAGGGGTTGTTTATATAACAAATTTTTATTTATTTGGTATTATTTATTTAAAAAAAAATAGCATATCAAATATATATTTTATTTTATAAAACATCTGTTAAATTATTATTTTTTTCGAATTTTTAAAATTCCCAAAATATCCGAAAACCCCTTATCTAGATGGAGTAGAAATTACTATTATGGAAAACCAGAAGACCATTCAATTATGTATTTGTTTAGTATTAATTTCAGACTAATATTAAGTAGTACTCCGCACTAGTATTTAATTTGATACAATTTTTTAATTAAGTAAATAATTTTATCTTACAAAATACTCCATAAAACACAACTCTTACGACAAGAATAGATAAATTAAGTACGGAAAAGGTATTCAGTTGACCACGTGTATCTCACGTGCTGATTTTGCTACAAGCTTCCTTCCACCATAAAACCCTGCATCCATCGACTCATCAATTCCCCCAAACTGCAAAACCCTAGCGCACTTCCTGGCTCCAAGGGAAGGAAACACTTTTACACACGAAGATTTCTAATTGCCCAGACCATCCCTTTCTCGAGCTCTGAAGTCATTTCGAAATAAGATATGGTGAGTGAGTGCTGCTACCCGTTATTGTGATTCAGGCAATGCTCGTGATTTTGTACGGATTTGTAACATATAATAGCATGTTGAGTTATTGGAATTAATGTGAGTATTCTGTTGTTTAATAGTTTCTATTCGAAATCAATATCTGGATGTATTTCTGTATGGTTATCGTGAATTTGGAATTTCTGTTGCTGATATCTCAGAGGAGGGCCTTAATAGAAGATTTTTTATTTGTTAATCTGGTATTTATGGCTGGAGATATTGATATAATTGATTCACAGAGGGTTTTGTTGCTTGTATGATGTTTTGTCATCTCCAAGAATGGTGTGGTTAAGGTCATATGTTATACTTAATTAGCATGTATGATTCTGTCGATGAAATTGTGGAAGCTTATTAAGGTAAGGGATATGTTGAAGGTGTTGTATATACCACATCAATTGAAACCGTAATGAATCTTTTCTGTTTCGGTTATAGTTTGTCGACTTGCAGCTAAAAATTACCTTCTGAGACTGTTGTTAGGAGTTAAAATTGAGACATTGTGACCATCATGGATAATGGAACCTACACCTTGTAAATACAATTTGCTTTACAGATGATGAAATTACAAAGTCAAGTATGAAAATAATGTTTTTATTTATTTATTTATTTTTAATACATCAAGCCATTTATTGAGGATTATTGCTTATTGAATCTTGACCAGAATTTCATGATCTATAGCATGTTCTGATATATTTTTGTTGGCTGTTCGATTCTGTCATTGTCAATAGTTTAATTGCTTATATGTGGTGGTGGTCATTTTCTTCTGCTATAGTGTGTTGTACATACCTGATGTAGTTCGTCAACAGGCTTCTCCACTGGTCGCTGGACTCACTATTGCTGCTGCCGCTTTAGCTGGTCGGTATAGCATTCAGGCTTGGCAAGCATTCAAGGCAAGGCCACCAACGGCCAGAATGCGTAAATTTTATGAAGGAGGTTTCTATCCGAAAATGAATAGGAGGGAGGCAGCCCTTATACTCGGAGTTAGGTAAGCCTGATGTCTAAACTTCTGGTGTTAGGATGCTTGCTTTGTGTTTCGTGTAAATCTGAATTTAGGCATTTAGCAACTCTCTTGACTTCCGGAAATATTATAATTCTAAAATGTTTAGGTAAGTGAAATAATAGGTGTACATACCACTGCATGATAATGATACTGTTCTGCCTACACCTTTTTATGCTATGAGCCCGTCCCAAAATGCTTGATGCTTGTGTTAGTTAATAGTAAAATTGTAATATCTCAGGCCCCTTTTGGTTAGATATTTGCATTTGGGAGTGAATTTTAAATGAATGAATTTGAACTACTTCAAATTTGAAATACTTCATAATTATACTTCATCATCTAGTTGCATAAATGATTTGACATGATAGCTAAGGTAAAGTTGACTTAAACACACTCCAGTAATTAGTTCAGCACGAGTCCTTTAATTAAAGGATTACATTTGTGATTTGTTAGATATATCCTTGGTGCAACTCAGTGTCAAGAAAATCTCTATACATGTCATCTTGTGTTAGATTCAGCCCAGAATTTTCTTGCTTCATATTTACGATCTGTTGTTACTATAATGTATTGACGAAATCACAGACAGATCTATCCAATTTCAAGCCATCATACTGTTGATTGGTTTTTCTTTTGGGCTGTCTTTTCATAATTTCTTTTCCTTAGTATATCTATCATTGAAACACTTGGAATTATCTCAAAATTGCAGATGTTTTGCTACCCTTTTCATAGTTCACTTCACTTAAGTTCATCCAATGATTTTTTTTGCAATCTTCTGAAACTCAATGTTTGGCAATCATCATGGCACCATATTGATTCATTTTGTTAATTTTGTCGATCAGGGAAAGCACGCCGGAGGATAAAGTGAGGGAAGCCCACAGAAGGGTGATGGTAGCAAACCATCCAGATGCAGGCGGCAGCCATTACCTCGCCTCCAAAATTAATGAAGCCAAAGATTTACTGCTTGGGAAGACAAAGAGCAGTGATTCTGCATTTTAATCTTCACCAAAGTTTCGAGCAGAAACCGTTGTTTCGGTATCAAATTAGAAATTTCATTTATCCATTGTTACAAGAGCAATGATTTATTATGCAATAGAAAGCCTGAGTAAATCCAATTTTTGTGCACCAAATGCAACCAAGAAATATCTTGACAATTTATGCACTTCTTGTATTTGTAATTTTGTGTACTTGAAAGAATGCAGATTATTTCAACGGTCGCAATTCGTAAATTTAGGTGTGACCGTGTGAGGCATGGGGTGCATATTATACAAATATTCAATATATATGTATTTGATAAAGATATTTTGTAAAAGAATATATACATATATATGCAGTGGGATATTTTCTAAAAATATTATTGACGAATAGTATTAAAATTTTAAATAGTGTGTATATAAGAATCATGTTAGACTATTTATATTACTATTTTTAAGTTTTATAAAAGTATTAAAAAATTTTAAAAAAAAGTTGATGTAATTTTTGTGAAAGAAAAAGATTTAATATGATATTTGCCTAAAAAACTTCTTGGTGTGTGAAAGAGATGAAAAAAAAAAATAATAAATAAATAAATAAACATGGGCATTGTCCCGTATGGAAGCATAAACAAACCACCACCTCCTTATAAGCATTTATTTTCATTTATTGTTCAATTAAGAATGGATTGGATGAGATAATGGATTGGGCTTATATTTTTAAAAATGACTTGTATTTTTAATTTGATTATTTAATAGTACTATTATCTTTATAGTTATTAAATAATTATTTTTAAAACATAAAAAATAAAATAAAATACGACAATCATTTTTCATTACATCACACAAGTGACCAGGGTTAGTGTTTACTGTAATATTGGACCAAGTTGTAATATTGAGCCAAACTATTGCTAAGTTTGAACATCTCACAGCCCAATTAATAAATTAATAGTAATAGGGTAATTCTTTAACATAAATACATAATCAAGAGACGTTACAGTTTGGCGCCAAATACCACTTGCATTTCCCGCCAAAATCCACTTCTATCTACAACTACGGCCGAGATACTTTAGTAAAACCCTAAATTCTGGAACTCCTTCTCAGACGCGCATAGAATCGGCGGGCATCGTTCATTAGAGTTTTTAGAGCATGGCTTCGGATTCGTCTCCGGCTAATACGAACGATGGTAAGTTTTCCTTGGGTATCAATATCGACAGGTGACTGATTTCTCGGATGTATACCGTAATTTGTCGATGTCTGCGGGGTGGATTTTAGCGTGGTTGGTTTTGATATAATTAGCGATTGTATGGTCCGATTGCTGTTGGTGGGGAAAGATCTTCTCGATTTCTATGTATCTGTATATCATTTCCTAACTTTGTGCCACTTGCAGGTCCCTCGTCGCCCGGTGACTGGCCAACGAGTCCAATTGGTAACACCTTCTCCACTCCCGGAGACGCACGGCGTAATAGGCGTGGTCGGAGATCCGTCTCCGCCACTCCAACTCATTCAAATTCCCGATTTGCAACCCCTGAGGCCACTCCGACGCCCTCGGGAAGCAACCGCCGTGGTCGTGGCAGGCGACCATTTGACACTCCCTCAGTTGCTGCCACGCCATCTGATGACGTGCCTCCCTCGTCAGAGGCAGGGGATGGGGATGATGATGCCGCGCCAATATATGTGTGGGGCACGAACATTAGCGTTAATGATGTTAAGTCTGCGATTTTGAGGTTTCTGAAGCATTTTAGAGAAGATCCCCAGCAAATTGAGGGAAAGTACGAGAGGATTATTAACCATGTGATAGAAATGGAGGGGGATTCACTTGATGTTGATGGTCATGATGTGTTCGATTATGATAGTGATCTCTATACCAAAATGGTTAGGTATCCGCTTGAGGTTTTAGCAATCTTTGATATAGTGTTAATGGACATGGTTATTAGGATTAATCCTTTATTTGAGAAGCATATACAAGCTAGGGTTTTCAATCTCAAAAGTTCCACATCGATGAGAAATCTCAACCCCACTGGTTAGTATGATCAAATTTAAGCTTCAATTAGCATTGAATGCTTTACCCTCTGGTTGAGTTGTCTATTTGAAATGACTTTCTTGTTTTTCATTAGATGTCGAAAAGATGGTTTCTTTGAAAGGGATGATTATCCGATGTAGCTCAGTCATACCTGAGATCAGGGAAGCAGTATTCAAATGTCTTGTGTGTGGCTATTGCACTGAGCCTATTGTGGTTGATAGAGGTAATTGCATTGAAGCTATTTTGGATTTGTGTGCAACAATTTGATTTGATGATTTTAAGTTTTAACAATATGTCCTCTTCCAGGAAGAATTAACGAGCCAACAATTTGCGGGAGACAAGAATGTCTCTCCAAAAATTCCATGTCCCTTGTGCACAATAGATGCAGGTAATTAATATACACAACATACATGATACTACGAGATTTATTTTTTGTAGTCTACAGGTGCTTGACATCTCCTTAGAAAAGTACCTTATTTATATTGCTTATATGTATATTTGTTCACAATGGACAGTTAATGTCCATGTTAACTGAATCTGAAGGTTCATTTCAATTAAGATTCTGCAGCTGCAGTCCGGCCTTTCTTTTGTGGCTGAATGCACTGCACAATCTGTCCACTTTCATGTAATCCAATAGCCAAAAAAACCAATCTTGTATGACCATCTTCACAGAAAGTAAAGGCTAGATATACACTTGCTTTATGGTTTTTTCTGCATATGCTTTTCTTTCTTGAAACTTTCGTGCCTGCCCCAGGTTCTCAAATTGACTTATGGTTTTTATTTATTTTTCCCCTGAGATTGTTTGTCAAAGTATGCTGTCTCGTTAATTATTCTTCCACCATCCTTATCACATAGCTGGTTCATTTCTTTTTGCATGGATAACAAAAAAAGATTTGCTGATAAGCAAGTTGTGAGACTCCAAGAAACACCAGATGAGATTCCTGAGGGAGGAACTCCTTTTACAGTCAGCTTATTGATGCATGACAGGCTGGTGGATACTGGCAAGCCCGGTGACCGTGTTGAGGTGAGATGCCCAATATTTATGTCGTTTACTACTATTCAATTTAAGTTCAATATTGATAAAATCTGATTTGCGTGGCTTCTGTATCCGTCAGGTTACTGGAATTTATAGGGCTATGAGTGTTAGAGTTGGTCAAACACAGAGGACTGTCAAGTCAATTTTCAAGGCAAGCCTACCAGTTCTATCTATATGCTCATTATTTATGTACTGAATTGCATTATGCATCTTGAGAGCTGCAACATATGTAATGATTTGTCTTTTTTCAGACTTATATTGATTGCCTTCATCTGAAAAAGTCGGATAAGCTAATAATGCATGTGGAAGATACAATGCAAAGTCAGAATGAAAGTAGGAATGACAATGAGTCAACTGCTGACTTCGGAGACAAGGTAATTTTGTTGTTGACTTGCAAGAATAAAATAACTAATCTATTGTTCATTATCCCATGATTTTCTCTTGATTTGTAGGTGGAGAAATTAAAGGAGCTTTCCAAATTACCTGATATATATGAGAGATTGACAAGGTCCTTAGCCCCAAACATATGGGAGTTGGATGATGTAAAGAAAGGCCTTCTTTGTCAGGTGTCGTATTTAAGGCCTTGAGTAGCTCTACGGATTGTATAATGAGTCGATATGAACTTTTTTGCATCTTGTTTATTGCTGATGTTGATCAAATTGTTATCATTAGCTTTTTGGTGGGAATGCATTGACGCTGACTTCTGGAGCAAGCTTCAGAGGTGATATCAATATACTACTTGTTGGAGATCCTGGAACCAGCAAATCTCAATTGCTTACGTATATTCATAAACTGTCTCCTCGTGGTATCTACACTAGCGGGCGTGGAAGCTCTGCAGTGGGATTAACTGCTTATGTGGCCAAGGATCCTGAGACTGGTGAAACTGTGAGTAAATGGCAAACATCATCTTTATTGTCTCATTATTTGTTACTCTTTTTAGGAAAACTGAAACATTTACTGGACCTAACTATGTAGGTTTTGGAGAGTGGCGCCTTAGTTCTGAGTGACAGAGGCATATGCTGTATTGATGAATTTGATAAAATGTCTGACAATGCAAGAAGCATGTTACATGAGGTGCGGATATAAATGGAAGATTGAAACTCAAATTTCTGCAAGCATCTAGTTAACTATGCATTAGTTTGGTTTTCTACACCAACTCGATGATGTATGTTAAGACATGGTTGACAGGTAATGGAGCAGCAAACAGTTTCGATCGCAAAGGCTGGGATCATTGCTTCCCTAAATGCTAGAACATCAGTTCTGGCTTGTGCTAATCCAATTGGTTCGCGTTACAATCCTCGTGTGTCTGTCATAGAAAATATACACCTTCCTCCTACTTTATTGTCCAGGTAAAGACTAAATACTGTCAATAACAAGTATATCAAGGTTATAAAAATTCTTTGTTTACTTGGCAACAGTTTTTTAATGCTCAATTCTACAAATAGTATCATTTATCCGAACTTCAACCTGTTGCAAGATACTAGTGTCTTTTGCTGACTTTCATATTTTACAGGTTTGATTTGATTTATCTAATTCTTGACAAGGCAGATGAGCAAACAGATCGGCGCCTTGCAAAGCACATTGTGGCATTACACTTTGAAGATCCTGATGTTTGAATCTTCTCTCTCTCTTTTTTGTGTTAAATACATCCAAGTTCACATTATTGATTCTGCCTTCATTCACAGACTTCGCAGCACGAGGTCATTGATCTACCAACTTTAAATGCTTATGTAAGCTATGCACGGAAACATATCCATCCGAAGCTATCAAATGAAGCTGCTGAGGAGTTGACAAGAGGATATGTGGAGATGAGAAGGAGAGGAAATTTTCCTGGAAGCAGCAAAAAGGTAAAAGATTTAAACCTTCACCAAAGGATTCCATAACAAAAACTTAATAGTTTGGTATTATAGGCGGAGATATATGCACTATTCTAAGTAGGAGGGATGCTAAGCTAATATTTCATCATTGATGCAGTGAAATAGCTGTGATCCTTTTGCTTTTCTACAAATTCCTACATGTGTTTTTGGAATCAACCAAATACCTACTGAAGTTATGAGCTGTATGTCTACAGGTCATAACTGCAACCCCGAGGCAGATCGAAAGCTTGATACGCCTTAGCGAGGCCCTGGCTCGTATTCGTTTTTCAGATAAAGTTGGTTAAGCTCCTCTTCAGTTACCCTTTGAATTGAAAACTTGATGTTTACATGGCCGCTGCTCATATTTACAGGTTGAGAAACCAGATGTAATCGAGGCCTTTAGGCTTCTTGAAGTAGCAATGCAGCAATCTGCAACAGATCATTCAACCGGTAATGCTCTTTCTATGTTTTAATTCTTCCTTGCAGTATGGTTTATCTGTGTTTTTATTATTCAATTAAAAGTCATGGACTTTGCTATTCTTATATTGCTCATATTATGGTAACATATTTTTATTTTTTTTATTTTAAAACTATTATTATCATGATTCATGGTGTTGGGTTGATTGGATTTTCTTAACAGGAACCATTGACATGGATCTCATCACAACTGGAGTTTCTGCAAGTGAAAGAATGCGAAGGGAGAACCTGGTTTCAACCATGCGCAACATAATTATGGAAAAGATGCAACTTGGCGGTCCATCTACTCGGTTGCTTGAGGTTTGTCAACTCAAAATTTGTCTCACTCTCCTCGTGCTTCAAAAATGAACCTCTACCTGATTTCCCTCCATTGTATTTTCTAGTTGCTCGAAGAGTTGAAGAAACAGAATCCTGTTGCCGAAGTCCACCTCAGTGATGTTAGTGTTTTTTACCTTTCCATTGTGCCTATGCTTTTGCATATCTTTAGATGTTTGTGTCTGATGATAAATATACTAACCAGTTGAACATTTCTTGCTTCATCAGCTCCGAAATGCACTCTCTACACTTGCAAGCGAAGGCTTTGTGGTTATTCATGGTGACAGTGTAAAGAGAGTTTAGTCATGAAGGTACGTAGGTCATTGTGTCCAGTGCAAGTAAACAGCACAGCATGTACAAATCCACTTCCTCTAAAGCAGGACTACAAGTGATGCAGTTGATTACTCTTGTAGGATCTATTTTTCGATCAAAATTGGTATTGCTTTACCAATTTTTTAGCTGACTTTTGTAGTGTTGTTTCTATTCACTATCATATGTATTATTCTCTGCTTAAAATGTTCTGCTATTCAACATCTGGGGTTTTTAGTTTTAACTTTTGTTGTCTAGTTTAAAGTAACACTATAAAGTTTAGGAGCAAGTCTTGGTGAGATTTCAAATTCATGGCATGAAATATATGCATGGATAATGGATTCTGTTTGGTTTTAGAATGTGCCGTGAGAATTTTCTAAATTGTCTCTTTGTCAAGATTGTATGTGTGTTGGATTTGAGATTTTCTTTTAATTTTTGTAATTTCCACTCAATGGATTCCACAATTGTTGCTTTTGGATTCATTTTGGGATTTAGGCCGTTTGTTTGGATTTTTATTTTTTATTATTTCTTTTGGAGTTTTACAAGTAGCTGTACTGTTACATTTTATCCATCACATCTAATATAAAATATGTTTTTATTTTTTAATTTATTTTCGTTTTTAAATATTAAATTAATTTTCAATTCAAAATATTTTTCAATAAAATATATAAAATTCAACTTACAAGAATCTCAAATTTTCAAAATTCAACTGAGAAAACCCCAAACAAACACGGCCTAGGGTTTTGATTCGATACTGACTACTTTTTATGCACCTTTTCGGATGGGAAAAAGGTCACAAATAAATAAAAGCAATGCATCTACAGGATACCCAAAACTTTTGGCCCACAGATTCACAGACTTTCTGTAACTGTAATTCCCGAAAAGTCCGGGGCCAAAACCCAAATTAATCATATTGGAAAGTACTCGGTTGCAATTTCCGGAAAGCATAACGTGATCGATGCGACTACGTGCAGCCAGGTAACTCTTTTATTAGCCGAGCAGGTTTTAATTTAATTTTTTAATTATTTATTTCCATAAGTAATAGCACTGAAGTTAATTAATATCGACCGTCCATGGGGTTCCCTTGTGGCAGCGATCCGCTGAACAATAATTAATTGAAAAATAAATAAATAATTAATAGAAATAATTGACATGTATGCAGAAGCGCTGGCAAAACCTTCGCCGTATCGATAGACATCAGACAGTTCGAGAGCAGCGGCTTCATTCTGAGGTTGGAAGATGGGGGAACAGAGAAGAGGAGGATGCTGCCCGCCCATGGATCTGATGCGTTCCGAGCCGATGCACCTCGTCCAACTCATTCTCCCCGTGGAGTCCGCTCACCTCGCCGTTTCTTACCTTGGTGATATTGGCCTTATTCAATTCAAAGACGTAAGCGGATGTCGTTTTGACTGATTTGGCATTGTTGGTTGTTCTGATAACAGTTTGTTGCGGATTTCTCCTTGGCTAATGTGATTTCTGTAGTGAGTTGTTTACTTATGAGCAAGCGTTTTGTTGTTTGGATTTACTTTTCTGGTGGAATAACCTGGAATATACATCTGTTCGGAGTCAGCGAGGGAATCCGCGGAGATATGTGCCGCGAAAAGTGGATTGTACTGAAAAATATTACTAGGCCGGTATAGTGGGATAATAGAATTAAGATCTTTATTTGTTGATCTGTTTTTCACTGTGTTTCTACTTTGGTTGCGTCGGGCGACTGCCTTTGTGTGTGCGTACTTAATTAGAGACATGTTTGAAGGAAAAAAATAAGCGCAAGTTGTTTGCAATAGGATGCATTTTCATGAAGTGTTATTGGATGTAGTCAGGTGTGCTGAAGGACTTAGATGATGATATATGAAGCTGCGTGTATCTAATTTTATATTAAGTGTCATTTTTCTGTGATGTGTTGGAGCTAGGTTATCTCTTAGTTGCTTGAATAGTATTTCTGCTTGGTTGAGTAATTAATTGGGAATTTCTCTCCATAAGAGATTGGGAGTCGTGAAACAATTAATTAGCAAGAATTGGACCGACTTTGATTGTAATATGGGAAAAAGATGTAACTGAGATTCTTGTTTTTGTTCTTATGGTTGTTTATTTATTTGTATTTATATTCGTATTATATGTATTGATTGGGGTTCTGCTATATATCATGACAGTGGTAATTGCATGCTTGCCTGGATTTAGGAACTATTGTATATTATGTTCCCTATTTTTAGAGAAGTATCCATTGATTGCTGCAATTGTTGCTTTTTAGTTGGAATAGTAGTTTTTGTCATTGGGAAGCATCTCTTCGGTTACAAATAACTCTCAAGTGCATCTATAATGAAGCTTAACTGGGGGTGTAATGTTGCCCATTATATAGATTGCACTTCGCAGTATAATAGCATGGGTCATGAACGCATCACATATTTATTTTATTAATTCTTTTATTTGAATTTGACCCACAACTTTCAGCTTTCTACCCATTACACCACATTATGCAAATTATGCATTCAATGTTCAAAATACATTCCTCCAACGACCTGGCATATAATCGCTGTGTAGTGGGCAACATTACACCCCCAGTTAAGCTTCATTATAGTTTGTTTAGTTATGTTTTTGTTCCCCATTTCCACTATTCCTCTATGGTATTCTATTTTTTGCCCCTAAGAGAACATCACATCTAAAACCTATTTGTTAATTAAAGTATCATATCTAAAATTTATTTTTAATTTAAAAGATCACGTCAAGGACCTATATATATCATAGTAAACAACTGTTTCAAGTCATTCTTTTTCTACTATTCCAAAAAAAATTCTAAAATATCATAACAACTAAATAATAACATTGTAACTGTAGGTTGTTGAATTCCAGAACCTCACTTGAACCTTTGTTGTATTTGTCTTCAAACTTAGTATTCAACACTGATCCTTGAATTAGTAATCAATTTGCTACAAAAGCTTTGGAAAATGGCTGCCAACACAAATAACTAAACTAATACTTCTTTAATACCAAATGAGACAACATGATACACAGTCTTCAAGGACTTTTGATCAAAATGTCTTCTAATTTGAAAGGGGTTATAATGTATAATAGATATGGGATATATTATGGTTGTGCCCTATATGAGTTAGCAGTGCATTTGCTGTGGCTAATATCAATTGAATGTTCGTGTCCTTGAGTTAAAGATTATTGTCTCTTAAGGGGTGCAAGGAAATCATCTAATGTTTACAGACAGATAAGAAACCTACAAATCTTTTATTTCACGTTTCTCCCCCATATAGTTTAAAGTGTATGTGAGAAGGAGGAAGTCTGAACTTCACTATCCATTTACTTAACTCTGTATTATAAACTATTGGAATGCAGGCACATGTTTATGAATTTTTATGTGATATCTATGTGTTTCTAAGTTTTTTATTATCACCAACCTGGTGTTTGTTGTCATGAGAGTTGTTTCCTCTTATAGAAACTTTGAATTTTTCTGCCTCATTTTTCTCTTTAATAATAATGTTCTGATTTTCTTTCTCCTTCAGCTGAATGCAGAAAAAAGCCCATTCCAGCGAACATATGCCACTCAGGTGAATGTTCATAAACAAATATGTTCTTTACCATCAATTGTGCTCAGGTTTTGTGATAAATCACCATTGGTTTTTTCTGTCTGTAAATTTATGTGCGCAAACTCTCACTATTCAGATGATCTTACAGCCACTCTTTTTGAAATTTGAAATAGTATTAAGCTTTATAATGATCACCTCTGGTTTCTCAAGGATACAGTGTGGATATGAATTTGCATCTGCATTGAATAGATCTCCTTTTAGATTATTATTAGTAAGAAAGCTTTGTGAGTGAAGGAGTGCTCAATCACTAAAACACATATTTACTTGTTTGTAATAACTAATAAATACTCCCTGTTTACTTGAACCTTTCCGGCAAGGAGAAAAAAATGATATTGCTCCTTAATTAAGCATCTGTGGCAAGCAGAAATGTGTCTAGCTTACTAGTGATGGTCAGGTGATTATGGGTTTGGGTCTTCATGAATGGTATATGAGATGATAGCTTAATAGTTTGATGTCCGTGCCAAAAAGCTATTTCTGCATTCATAAAATATGTTAAATTGTTTAACTTTTATGCATTATTTGAAGATTAAAAGATGTGGCGAAATGGCGCGCAAGTTGAGATATTTCCGTGATCAAATGTCAAAGGCGGGAATGCTGCCAGCTGAGAGGTCACAAGCAGTTCTTGGTTTAGATGACCTTGAGGTATCTTAACTTAATTATCTGTAAATTATGATTTTCTATTACTAGATGAGTTCAACATCCTAGCTCTTGTCATATGTCAGGTTAAACTCGGAGGCCTTGAGGCTGAGCTAGTTGAAATAAATGCAAACGGTGAAAAATTACAGCGCTCCTATAATGAGATGGTGGAATACAAGCTAGTTCTACAAAAGGTATGCCTTTTCTTTTTTTTCCTTTGTAAACATTACTTCCTTATCCCACGAGTGTTATTTGAGTTCCATAATGTATAATTATTGTAACTCACTAGGCTGGCGAGTTTTTTAGCTCTGCGTTGAGCAGCGCAGAGGCCCATCAAAGAGAGCATGCATCAAATCAAAGTGGTGGAGAGTCCTTGGAAACTCCGCTTCTATCTGAGCGGGTACTAGCTCAAGCTGTTCCATTTGATCCTTGGGTGCCTTATTTATCTCCTTTATCATAATTACATGATATGCTACTTGTTAGGAAATTGCAATTGATTCATCCAAGCAAGTTAAGCTGGGACATATTACTGGACTAGTTCCCAGGGAAAAATCAATGGCTTTTGAGAGAATTATGTTCCGAGCTACAAGGGGTAATGTGTTTCTAAAGCAAGCTGTAGTCGATGAACCAGTCATCGATCCTGTATCAGGAGAGAAGGTTTGTGGGTGTGGCCTCAGCCGCTTTTTTTTTGGTCAGCTTGTGGGATTGGTTCAGTACATATGTTTTATCTGTCACAAAGTCAAAAAGTTAAACAGAAGTGTTTTGTCTCATGAATGGAAATATTTCATGTCTGATTTGGTGACCTAAAACTTATGTACACTGATAAGATTCATCTTGGTTTTTATGGTATAGGTTGAGAAAAATGTCTTTGTGGTCTTCTTCTCTGGGGAAAGGGCCAAAAGCAAAATTCTCAAAATATGCGAAGCCTTTGGAGCAAATCGGTATGAATTCAGTGAGGACCTATCCAAGCAATCTCAAATGATCACCCAGGTTCACATCCAACTGTATTCTTATGATACAGCCTTTATACATGTTCATCCAGTTTGCCCCTAAGCCTATTTTTTACCCTTTTTCCTCATTCTTCTCCTTGCATTATTTCTCAGTTACATTTCTTTACCTTCCAAACTTTATGTTTAGATTGTGATCTCTTTTGTATTACTTGTTTCAAGCACTACCCGGCTCAGAGTTTGGTGCTTAGAAGCAATAAAGTAGTTTGCTGGTGGTTATTGGTTTATTATTTTTTATTCATATACCGTGATGTTTTCGTGTTGGGACACATTGTAACCCCGGGATTATACCTCTAACTAACCAATATAACCAAGATGAATTTCTTTTTTGGATATATTTAGTTGATTTTTGTTATCTGAAGTAGATATTTAATGCCCAGGCCAGTATACAACAATATTTGGTGTATTATGATTTTATTATGTATACATTGATGAACAAATATAGCTTGTTTTTAGTTCTCATTTTGTTTCTAGCACCCTGATATCATTCCTGTGACAGGACAGTAGGTTGACATCTTTCTGTATTTGTACTTCAGGTCTCAGGGATGCTCTCAGAGTTAAAGACAACAATAGATGCAGGACTAGGTCACCGCAACAACTTATTACATGCTATTGGTGAACAATTTGAGCAGTGGAATTTTTTGGTCAGTTTTTTCAGAACTGTTTCTGTCTATGTATCGATCTGTGTTTTAAAACAAGAAACTAGCCTTTAGAACTATTTTATTTACTCTTGATACCCTTCTTGTTAATGTATGGAGATCAAATTGTTTAGATAAGGTTTTATTCTGATTTAGTGTTTTTTGTATAGCAAGTATGGACAACTTTGGCTAGTTTGGATTTAAATTTATTTTGTCAGAGTTATGATTTTCTTATGATGGTACTGTAATGGTCTTCTATATAGGTTGCTACTCGTATATGTGCAATTTGAAAAACACCTTTATTTGCCTACAATATACTTAGTTGTAATACAAATTTTAAAATTTTTTTGGTCAGATTTTGTATGTTCTGTTGAAGTAAATAGCAGTGACTAGAATGATGTCGTTGTTTATGTATTTGTGTTTTTTTTTTTTTTGAATAGAGGTAAAAGACACTTTTAGGGTGCAGGGCATAAGGTTCTGTAAATATGAACAAATTTGAGTTTTAAGTACTGGTAATGATTGAATGATTTTTGAATTGGGGAATTTGTTTTGGGCTATGTATGAGAGTGGATTTTCGTTGGCGGTTTATGTATTTTAATTATTATTAGGAAGTGATAATACGTCTAAAAACTAATGCTTTATGTTTTCCTCGGTATGAGATAGTGAATTAATTCTTAATTATGTCTGTGTTATAGGTGAAGAAGGAGAAAGCGATCTACCATACTTTAAATATGCTCAGCATAGATGTCACAAAAAAATGTCTAGTTGGAGAAGGGTGGAGCCCTGTTGTGGCCACACAACAGGTAATTAATTTTGTATTTTAATTATTTAGTTGGTGGGCAGCAATGCTTTTCACTATGTTACAGGTTTATGTAGTTAAAATCTGTATTACATTTGTCCATGATTTCATGTGGAGGATATTTCATTTTGCAGATTCAGGAGGCATTGCATCGGGCCACACATGACTCTAATTCACAGGTTGATGCTATTTTCCGAGTCTTGCATACCCGTGAGATGCCACCAACATATTTTCGAACGAACAAATTCACTTCAGCCTTCCAAGAGATTGTTGATGCTTATGGGTGAGTTCTCAGATAAATGATAAATAGTTTTTATAGATATTAAAGGGAGATCTGGGTATCATTTAACTTCATGGTTATACACTTGTTATAGATACTCAACTCCAGCAATGTTTCTTCCAATGAGTGTTAATGAATGTGAGTGGTCATGAATAATTCAGTAACTGATTTCAAGTGTTTACTCTTACCAACCTTCTGATCCTCGGCTCTACCACCTTACTGATAAGACTTAAGAATATAATTGGGACCACTGAAAGCACGGAGAATATGAATATAATGCTGTTGTAACTTAAGTTCATTGTGAGCAACTCTGATATTGCTGAGAGCAGCAGAACTGTAGAGATAATTTCACAAAATTCCACCAACCTTACAACTGTATTTCAAATCTCAATGATGAGTTCATCAAGACAGGATCGACATGGTTTTGTAGCATGGTGAACATGTATACTGGATTTCAGGAATGTAAATACCTTGATACGATGATATGAAAGTTTATGACATTTAGTTGATTTCATTGCAGAGTGGCCAAATATCAGGAAGCAAATCCTGGTGTATTCACTATTGTTACATTCCCATTTCTTTTTGCGGTTATGTTTGGGGACTGGGGGCATGGCATATGCCTTTTGCTTGCTACATCATATTTTATTATCAGAGAGAAAAAACTTTCAAGTCAGGTATCTTCATATCCAATTACCTGGGTATTATTTCCCCGTACATTGATGTTGAAGCCTTTATTTTCCTGTATCCTGTACTAAATTTTTGTTGCTTCTATTTTGTACTTTTCATCTAACGTATGTTTGAGTTATGGAGCAGTTTTTAAAAGAAAATTTGTACATTCCGTTGTTTGTCTGATGTATAATTTATTAAATATGTTTTATTGATCTCCAACACTATAAATAATTGAAATCTTGTGATGTTTGTCTCCTAAATTGCATACCTATGGCTTTCTTTCTTTTTTTTTTCTTCTACAAAATGGCATATCTATATTAACTACAGCAACACTGCCAAATCAGCTATCACCATTTAACACCAGAGGATACTGATGAATCATTAGGCATTTAAATAAGCATGTGATATACACGGGGAGAATCCATTTTCTTATTACAACTTTGTGATTGCCAGACATTTAACTTTTACACGATTTGCTTGTGTTTTATCATTCTTCTACCAACATATTTTATTTTCCTATTCAAGCAAATGATCAGTTCACTGTTCATGAACACAGAAACTTGGAGACATAATGGACATGACTTTTGGAGGGCGATATGTAATTTTGCTGATGTCAGTATTTTCAATTTACACGGGGTTAATCTACAATGAGTTCTTCTCTGTGCCATTTCCACTATTTGCACCATCAGCATATGCTTGCCGTGATCGATCATGCAGGTAGCTTACTGGCCTCAAGGCCCTTTGTTTTTTTCTCTGTTGCATGCTTCCACTCGTGATTGAAATTTATTCTGCAGTGAAGCTGCTACTATTGGCTTGATCAAGGTTCGAGACACTTACCCCTTTGGAGTGGATCCTGTATGGCATGGATCACGTAGTGAGCTACCATTCCTTAATTCATTAAAAATGAAAATGTCAATCCTCCTTGGAGTTGCCCAGATGAACCTGGGAATTATATTGAGCTTTTTTAATGCTCTATTCTTCAAGAATAGCTTAAATGTCTGGTATGTTGATTTACATGCATCCAAATATCTCTTTAGTTTTTTATACTGCTTTGATTTATTTTGATTATCAGCTTCTGGAATAATACTATTTAACATTTTTATACAAATTTTCTTCGAAGAACTTAATTCACATGTACCATAAGTGCCCCTGTCTTATGAACTTATGTAACTTGTTTATTGCAGGTTTCAATTTATCCCTCAAATGATATTTCTGAACAGCTTGTTTGGCTACCTGTCTGTCCTCATCATCATTAAATGGTGCACTGGATCACAAGCTGATTTATATCATGTGATGATCTACATGTTTCTGAGTCCGACTGACGAGCTTGGTGAAAACCAGCTTTTCCCTGGTCAGAAGTTAACTCAGGTGGAGCAATCATTTAATGGAAAATGCTTCTGACCTTTTTTGAATTACTATCTGAATAGAACATGCATCTTCCGATGTGAAGCTTATCTCGTTTCTTAAATCTAGATTGTGCTATTGCTCTTGGCTTTTGTCTCTGTCCCATGGATGCTGCTTCCAAAACCTATCCTGTTGAAGATGGAACATGACGTATGCAAATTCCTACTTTTTCCTGTTATAATCCATTATTGAACAAGCTAGTTTTTTTTTTTTCCTTACCTTGTTATCTGTCATGATTTTTCAGAGGCACCAAGGGGAGTCATATGCACCTCTTCCAGATACTGAAGAGTCTTTGCTATCAGAAGCAAATCAGAATGCCCATGGTCATGAGGAGTTTGAATTTAGTGAAGTTTTGGTACATCAGCTCATACACACAATAGAGTTCGTGCTTGGGGCAGTTTCAAATACAGCTTCTTATCTTCGTTTATGGGCTCTCAGGTATATGCTTTCACCATCTGAAATTTGTCTGGAAGTCTCTTTGATTTGACTGCTTTGGGTCCATCTTCAAGTGTGTATTGAAGCAAGCGTTAGATTCTTGAAGTGTTTGCTTAAACTTTAGGATTTTCACTTTGTGTATCTTTAATTAATGTGTTAACAATGAAACTAGGTTTTTATGAGTACGTAATGCAAGAAATGTAAGACAACAGTAACTACCATAGCAGAGTTTCTTTATGCTATTGTGAGATCCTATTCATATTTTATGTTCATATGCCATTTATGTATAGATCGTATAATCGAATATTATCTGTTTGCTTTTTCTAACCAATTTTTTTTGGATCAGCCTTGCCCACTCTGAGCTGTCAACTGTGTTCTATGAGAAGGTGCTTCTTCTTGCTTGGGGGTAAGTTGATATAATTTCAGTAAAAATGTCAGCTTGCAGTTGACTCTATACATATATTTTTTTCAGACTTCCCCCATGACATACTTTCTCATCATTTTTTTTGTTGACAAGATATATTAATTGTAATCAGAATTATCCATCTGTGCTGCTTTTCAAGAAAATCCATAGCTCGACTTCTACTTTAGATTTATTTTGGGTTTCTAGTCATTTAACTGAAATAATTAGTTAGTACATGGCAGGTAGTGGTTTGAGAGTGCTGTATCTCTCAGATTCTCTCTTTTAGAAGATCCAGTTTCAACCTTTATAGGCTCCTTCCTCACTAAAAATACCACCAAAAAAGAAATTAGAAGTTAAAGAGAAGGGATGGGCTAGTCTGTGACGCTCTACTGAGTCTGTACCTATCGGTTGTAATACTAAATATTTTGTTTGAAGTGCAAATTATACATTCAAAATGATCTCTAGAAAGCAGTGAGCAGTTCTGGATAAAATCTGTGCCATTCATCGACTATCTGCAATATTGATGAATCGAATATGGTTTGGCAATGCAGGTATAACAATGTAATCATTCTTATCGTTGGCATCATCATCTTCATCTTTGCCACTGTGGGTGTGCTGCTGGTGATGGAAACTCTGAGTGCTTTCTTGCACGCGCTAAGGCTTCACTGGGTGGAGTTCCAGAATAAGTTCTACGAGGGAGATGGATACAAGTTCAACCCATTCTCATTTGCGCTGCTCGATCATGAAGAGGAGTGATGCTCCACACGTCCTACCTACCTATGCTGTTAAATGTAGAGAGGTACGTGTTAAAAAAAGCTTGATTGTCGAACATGCAGCAGCAGGCATTGTATAATTAAATTAAGTATTTATTCGCGTTGTGGGAGAGGGAGGTAATAAGCAGGCGGTATATGATGATTCCTGCAGCAGCTGCTGCTGCTGAGTTTGTTTTGATTTTGAGTGACAGCAGATTGGCATTTGCATTGGCACTGGCACTGAGTGTTCATCGTAATAATGCTACAATTTCCAGGTTTGTGAGCTTTTGCTTGCAGCGCACGTATTCTATTACTTTATTATATTTTCAATTTTACTGAGTTCTGCCACCTGAATTTCTATTCCCAGACTTGAGATTAATTTAAGGCTTCCAATTATTAATGTGAAGTGGTTAGTAGTTTTGAATATGTATATCAGAAAATTATAGTAGGACTCCTAGTCCCACCCCTTGGAAATATCCTTGTGAATGGGTAGGCAACATAACTATGGTTTTAGTTTGGGGTGACTAAAAGAATGATGTCTTGAATATATAAAAATGTTTTTTTTTTTAATGTAATATTTTAAGCAAGAAATAAATTTTAGCTGTTTTTTGTTTTTTTGGTAAGTTTTAGAAATATAGTAAACAAATAATCGTGTAATGACTTCTAAGGCCGGTCCGACAAAAATAACTACTTCTTTCGTCATGCAAATCTGTGCTCATTTGATCGGGCACGGAAATTAATAAAAGTGAGTAATAATTGTTATTTTTTTTTATAGTAAAAAAATACAAAAATGTAATAATTTTTCACTTAAAGAGAAATGATAACTCAAAAAAAGAAAAGTGAGCATAACTATTCAAATTCAATTTTTTACTATTAAAAATTCAAATCAAAAACTAAATACTACAAACAAACACACCTTATATATAAATCAATAGTTTTGGTACCATAATATTTTATTAATTTAGAGATATATTAGTATATTATAAATTAATATTTTATTATTAAAAGAGACTTTTAAATTCAACAAATTTAGTACATATTATTGAAAATAAATGAATTCATATGTTTTATTGCTTATATTCATGCATTCTCAATTTTATGTAGTAATTAAATATATTAATGTAGTCTTTCATCAATTTTTTTCAGTTCGTTTAATCTAATGTATTATTAATTTTCATAAAGTAAAAAAGTAAAAAAAAAAAAAAAGAATTAATATTTAAGTTTTGTCTTTCATTCAAAATTATTTTTATTATATACATATATATTCTTTTTAATTACTAATTAAATTTCAAAAATACTTTTAATTATCTTTAGTTATTAATATTTTTTATTATATATTATTTTTCATATTAATTTCTGTGTTAGAATCCAAATATACTATTTTTACCGAGGAAATGAGCATGTATATATATATACGGTTTTTTTTTAATGGTCTTATATCCAAATCAATATTATTTATTTGTACAATTTTAGATAAAAATATACTTTTTTATCCATTAAAATTAGTCCACTCAGATCTGGTATTGAGATTAAGAAAAATAAATATATATTAAAAAATTATAAAAATAAAAGGATAGTTGGATATATTTTTAAATTTTTAACTAAAAATTAAGTAAAAAAATGTAATAAAATTAATAGCATTTATTATAAATAAATATTGAATATAAAATAATAATTAAATGTTTATTGATTTTGTCAAAATTTATAATAAAACTAAAATAAATTGAAAGAAAGTTAATTCACAAAATATCAAATTAAAATACTATTTAAACAAATATTCAAATATAATTTATTTCAAATCACAATCAAATAAACTTCAGTATACAAGTAAGTAAGTAATTACTATATTCATATAAACACGCGTATCAATTCATTGAAATTACTTAATTTTACATGTGTCATACGGCATAGGAAAAAAAAGAAAAAGAAAAAAGAAAATTCTTGGGTACACTATGGTCTAACATAATAAAACATGGTCTAACATAACATAATAAAAATGAAAGTATTATTTGGAATGGGAGGTAAAAAGAAACTGAAAAGGTTCCTATGTTTTTTTACCTACCAAACTTCAATTTTGTGCACAAAAAAAAAAAAAAACTTTTTTAACTCACAAAATATTTTAATTATATATTATTTTAATACAAAATATTAAATTATACTGTGGCCCAGTAGTTGACTGGTTGATATCACTTATCAGTCATCTGGGCCCGGCCCATTCTCTAGGACGCATCCAAATAGATTCTTGGCCGCTCCCGGGACTCCAGTTCCCGGATGCATTGAGACCAACACCAACACCTCTGCTCTCTTCCCAATTCCCAGTTCCATTTCCTTACAATCAAATCAAATCAAATCAATACAAAGCCACCACCACTCCATAACCATTAATCTCCCAAAAATTTCACCACCAATCATATGATCAAATTTAATTTCCAATGAGAGGAGGAAGAGAAACACAAAAGATGATATGGGTATATTCTCAGAAGCCACCAATTTATATACATTCAGAAAATATGATATTCAGATTCATTACATCTTCAACTTCATCATCTCCACTCCCACTAATCCCCAAAACCTAACTATATAGTAGAGTAAGTACTCAGTATTCTTTTTGTTAATAATGTGTTGATACTAATATTATTATTATTATTATTATTATTTATAAGAATTTCCCAGCCTCCCATGACAAGAAGAAAAGGCCCATTGTTAGAAATATCAGCACTACACATGCCCTGAAGCATAATTCACAGCACATTGAAGTTGCATCACAGCGGCACCAATGCTGCTTCACCTGCCTCCCACACTTGTAGCAGAAACTGATCCCACATCTGTATGTCATCCAAACAACAACAACAAAACATATAATATAATGTAATGTCATCAAATCCAAAACATGATCAAATGAGAAAAACCCATCAATCAAAAACCCAATATCCATCATCCATCCCTACAAGAACTTTCATCTAATTTAGAAAATCCAAAGACAATAAAGCTTTCAAGCAAACAATCTTTCTTGATCAAACACAGAACCCCTGCAACTGTATATCTATCTCTAGGGTTCTGAAAAAACAATGGTGCTTCAGTATTACTATATATCTATCTTTTGCTGAACAAGAAGCATAAAATATGATTCCCATCACTCATCCAACAAACATTGACAAGAAACGCGAGAAGTTATTAACAGAAAGGTAATATAGATTGAAATCACAGAATGCAGAAATTAATTTTCCAGAATCACCTGCATTTGACAATCTGACAGCCTTCCATGAGCTCGACGAAGTGCCTGCACCGGGGGCACCTCGTCCACTGCTTCTGCTCCGCCAGTCTCCCGAACGCCACGTCATTCCGATCCCTCAGTTCGCCGCTCTCTTCGCACCCAAATCCGGCGTGCCACACCCTACTGCAGTGGAAGCAGAACCACCGCTTGCAGCTAGGGCAGGACGACTTCCTGGCGGTGCCGCCGCACTCGTTCACAATCAGGACATTGCAGTTGGGGTGAGGGCAGGAGCACCTCACCAAATCGACAATCGACGCCTCGCAGAGCACGTCGCACCACCGGACGAATAGCGAATCGCCGACGAGGGCGGCGCAGGCGAGCGGATCGAGGGTGCGCTTGCAATTGTAGGCGGGGCAGTTGATCACACCAGTGGCGTCGTCCTCGAGCTTGACGCGGATGTACTTGACGACGCAGTCGGTGCAGAAGGGGTGGGAGCAGGCGTCGCCGTTACGGAATCGGTTGCCGGCGATTGGCATTGGCTCGATACAGATTTGGCAGGTGAAGAGAGGATTGCCGTCGGCGTCGTGCCCTAGTTGTTGTTGCTGCTGTTCTTCTTCTTGCTGTTGTTCATCCGGAATTGGAGGCGGCGGAATTGGGGGAAGCGTGTTTCCCATGGTACTCTACTGAACTGAACTGAGCTGAAATTGAGGTGGTAGAATAGAAACAAAAACAAAAACAAAAACAATACTACATCCAACAAAAGGGTTGGGTGGGGTAGTCGAGTATCGTCGAGTCGTGTCGTGTCGTGTCGTGTTGTCTTCTTCCTTTGGCAGACGTCTGTGTTCAATTTCAGAATTGTTTAGGTTTCAAGAGTCCCCTTTTGTTAGCGTCTAACTAGAGAATGCTTAGCTAATAAAGTTTTCGTTTGTTTGTTAAAAACATTCGGAGTTTCTTCCTATATTTGAGCTTAGTTCATTATAAAATTTTATGTTAAAACTTGTTTTCGTTGGAATAAATTCATTTAGACTCATCTTATGGGGTATATATTTTAAATTTTATAAGATTCTGTTAGATTTTTAAAAAATTTTATTTAGAAAATCTATCCAATTTGATAGATTTTATGTATTAATTTTAATGAATTTTTATAGATTTGATTGGATTGTTTATAAATTTATATTGATTTTATAGAATTGTAAAATAATTTTTTATTAATTTATATGAAACATAATTGTAGATAAAAAATATTTAAATAATTAGATAAAAATACAAAAATATAATATAGTTTAAAAAATATTAAATTATTAATTATTTTTATATTTATTTTCGTCATTTTCATTTCCATCACTATTATATATTATTTATTATATATAAATAATAATGTATAATAATAATAGCGTAATACTATTTTTATATATTAATATTTTAAATTTTTATTATATTATTATTATTTAATATATTAATTTGTTTTAATTCATTATAATTTTAGCATAATTTTATTACATGTATAGGTATTACTATTTTAACAGATTTAATATGAAATGTATATGATATTTTATTTTTTTTAACTCATACATAATCGTATAGCAAAATATGACCAAGTCGAAATTAAATGTCACATTAAACATGTTACGTCTACATTAGTATACTTTATTAATTTTTATTTTATTTTTTTTTTAACAATGAGAAAATCAATTATTTTTTTCCCTTATTTATCTTGTACCATCAGAATTGACTAAATAAATTATAAAAAGTGTAATATATATATATATATATATATATATGTGGTGAATATATTTATAATATAATTATTATGCATACATAAATTTATAATAAAATAAAGTAAAATAAATGTTTTGTTTACTTTGATTTTATTTTACTATACACTTGCTACCACTAATCCAAGGTTGGTAGTCGAGCTTCGAAGCTAAAAGATGGTTAATGAACCATACAATAAAATTAAAAAGAAATGAAGTCTAGTAAGAGATGATCTGGTGGGGGAGGTTAGACTTATGAACATGAGGTCATAGATTTAAACTTCGACGCTTCAGATTACCTACCATAATTTGTCGGGTATTAAGTTCGGCCGGAAGTTTACCCTGTGAACTTATGATAATGACAAAGGATCCTCAGTCAACCGGCTGGTAAATATAATAACACAAAAACTAGTCTTCATTATTTTTTAGTTGTGATGTTTCTTTATTTCTGTATTTCTTTTTATATATATTGTCATTTTCAATTTGTATTATCTCTATCTCAGTTAATTTATATCATTTTTATATTTTCGTTCGTCCTACATAATTTTGTTTTTTATTTTTTTTTAAATATAATTACACACTTTAATCGCAAAATTTATAATTTATATATATATATTTTATTTTAATTAAATTATTTAGTTATCTTAATCTTAATCTATAATTATTTTTATTAAATTCATAATTACATATTTTAATTATTTACTAATTACGCAATACCTAAAACTCCATGTCTGAGCTAAATGAGACAATTTAGTTGGATATGACGAAGTACATTTTAATTAATGCAATTCTTTTCCTAAATTATACACTTTATTTTCGATTTTTCCACGTATTTTACTTATTCATTTCATATTTGTAAGTCGACTTCCCATCCATTATCATTTAGGTCATCTATGCAATCCCATCTTGTATACGTGAGATCAAGTCCACAAGGCTTTTTTTTGTCGGGCCTAGTTTGTAGAGTATTAGGTTCGATCGGGTGTTTACTCAGTGCGCGCAGCTACGGATTTCCACGTTATAAAAAAAATACAATTTTTTTCCTTTTAAAATACTATCACACATAACTATTTAAAAAGAAAACGCAAAGGTAAAATTATATATAAAGTACATAAAAGAACAGTTTACTTTTTTTAAATGTTAGCAAACTAATTAGCAATATTATAATAATTTAGTCCTATATCCTTGTGCAAGCATTTCTTCCAGCCTCAGTAATTTTGCTTTCACCCTAAAACGTCGTCGTACTGGATATTTATAATAGATTATTATGCAATAAATGAAATTAACTAATAATTCCGTTGTAGTCTAGATGGTTAGGATACTCGGCTCTCACCCGAGAGACCCGGGTTCGAGCCCCGGCAACGGAATCTTTTTGTTTTATTCCAAACGGTGTCGTTTTAATTATATTTTATTATATTGTTTGTATAATTATGACAAGAACGTAATCCGTTGTAGTCTAGTTGGTTAGGATACTCGGCTCTCACCCGGGTTCAAGTCCCGGCAACGGAAATTTTTTGTTTTATTTCCAAAATATATGTTTTTATTATAATAAAGTTATAACTTATTGAAAAACGTGATCCGTTGTAGTCTAGTTGGTTAGGATACTCGGCTCTCACCCGAGAGACCCGGGTTCAAGTCCCGGCAACGGAAAATTTATAATTTTTCTGCCCTATCATTCCAAAACGTCGTCGTTTTTAGTGGAACTTTCATCCAACTGTGAATTGGGCCGGTTCTTACTAATTTATCCGGGTTAGTCGTCAGCCCATAATTAATGTTCAAATATTATTATTCTTGATTAAGCTAAATTAATTTATAACTCTAGTGGAAGCAGATTAATGATTATTTATGCTAAATAAATCTCACATAGAAGTGAGAGATTTTAATTAATTTTTCAGGAAATATGATTTGTTTGTTTTTTTAGTTTTTTTGTCTAAATTACCTTTTTTTATTTTTTTTATTTTTTTTTTTATGTAAAATATAGAAAATTGTATAAGTAATATGAAAAATAATACATCTCAGTCCTATAATAAACCTTCCATTTCTTATTTTTATCCTTCTCAAAATAAGAATATTATTTTTAATTTGGTAATTATATTATTTACCTAAATAATATATTTCTATAATTTATAATATATTATATTACATCATACTAATATAAGTATTTTTATATTTTTAACTATAAACTAATAATATTAATATTAAAAATATATGTGCAAAAAATAAATACTTTCTTATGTCTCATTGAAAAATTGTCGTTTACTTTCTACACGTACAATTTTTAATATTAGTATTATATTAATTTATAGTAAAAAACAAATAAAAATACATGAAATATTACTCTTTTTATTAAACAGAAATATATTTTATATTAAATATTATAATTTTTTTTAAATGATAAAATATAATATCTTATATATATTGTGAATAATATAAGTGAAAGAACAAATCTATTACTCCTTCTGTTCCCAATACAATAGTCTTGTTTATCGTATGTCTGTTTCAAAATAATAGTTTTATTTCCATAAATAATTATATCACTATAAAACTATTTTTATTTTTTTTATTATTATTACATAATTGTCACTACTTTTTACACTAATACATTTACAAGGGCAAAAAAGTTTTTTACCCGTACTTTTTATCCACTACCAATATAATATTAATATTTTTTAAATTACGTACAAAATACGACCCAAACTATAGTTTTGAAACGGAGGAAATAGTTTTTATAAAAATATAATTTATCTTATATTGAAAATTCATTTGTCTATCGGTTAATTTTTGTTGTTATATACTCCATATATGATTAAATACTAATATTTATATTATATTTTTAATCTCATAAAGATATTATATATAGTATTTTTTTTTTAAAGAAAATTGTATATAATTTCTAGTTTCATCTACATTATTGTTTTTAATTACTTTTTCATCGAAAATCATAAATTTTAGACACAACAGAAGACCTATCCAAAATGGTGAAAGAGGTCAAAGCATGCCTCGTTCCCTCGCCAGAAGACTCAGCGCGTGGACGTTAACAGTTCCGCCAAGGGCTCAGGCTCCGCTCAACATGTCCACAGTTTTGGCTCAGTCGGTCCAAACGGCCGCCCTAGGCCAGGTGACTGGGCCGGTATCAACAACGAACCAAATGGAAAGAACAACTAAATCTCTCTACTACCCTTTGTATCAAATGGGTAGTCCAGTGTAATGTTAGATGTTCTTTCTAAAAAAATAAAAATTTGAAATTAAATTGCTTCAAAACCTGCGCAAAATCTATCAAAAAAAAGTTGGCGAAGGCTTCCTTAGCGACCAACTACTCGTAACGTTTGTTCGATTGAAAAAATATATTTATTTTTTGCATATTTATTTTTTAATATTAATTATTATATCAAAATATAAAATGAAAAAAAAAAAATACTCCCTCCATCCTAAAATTGTCATTTTCATTTTTGTCCGTCTCAAAATAAGATTACTATTTAGTAAATTAATTTAGTAATTGTATTGTCTATCTAACCTAATAAATATCATTACAACTTACATTATACAGTATTACACAAATGTCATTATTTTTCTATTACACACTACTTTCACTATGACTAAATATAATACTAATATTAAAAAATATTTGTATAATTTTTACACAAATATAATGTTATTTTTAATATTAAATACAATAATATTAAAGTAAATTAACTTTTGTAGACGAACATAGTATTTAAATTACTTATTCTATCCCACTCGAATGTCTTATTTAAAATTTTCTAGTAGATTAAAAAATAATAATATTTTATTAATTAGTAAGAATGTGTAAGAAATTTTAATAATTTTATATTTTTAACTTTTTATATGAAATAATTATATGTGTAATGATATGTTTATAATTTATATTAAAATTTAAAGTATTTTGATATTAATATACAATTATTTTTATTAAAATAGAATATAAATTTTTAAAGAAGACAAAGGAAAGTATAAAAAAAATACTTAAAATTTGGATAGACGATATATAATTTTTTTATTAAATATAATCAATTCTTTTAATTAAAATTTGACTACTCAATCGAATAACAGATAAGTTTTGAGATATACCCAATCGGGTTGCCGACGTTTATACACAAATGCCAATCCTGATGGAAAGAAATTAAAAAATATACCGTATTAATTTATATTTGATATGCTGAACTTAAATATAAACTTTAAAAGTAATACTCCTACTAGTTTCAAAATAAAAAATAAGAATACAACTAAATAAATAAAATAAAATAAATAAATTCTTCACCTAGGGTGTCCTAAAGGTTAAAATACAGAAGTTTCAATCTTTTTCTTTATGCTCGTCACAAAGTGATATATATATATATATATATATACATGTACACTAGAGTGCTGGAGGGCAGGTGATGCCATGCCCTAAAACCCCTGTAGGGGACATATTTTAGAAAACAAGACTTTATAACTATGAATCTTAGATATTTGACTATATAATATTCAGTCAGTCTCAAATACCCTGCAATATATATTTTTTTTTTTTTTTGTCTCAAATCCCCTCACATTATTCAAATAAAAAAAATAAAATATATATTTTTCTCTCCATTACATTATCTAATTTCTAAATTATCCTACTTAATATTACCTACCTAAAAACTTGTGCCAAAAACAAATGTTGCACTTTGGTAGTATATTACAATTGCATGTAATTGCTTAATAATACTAAAAATCATACTATAAACAAACATATGAGCATGTTTATTTTAACAGAATGGTTAAAGACCTAGTCAATATATAGTAATATTGTACACAACATATTATATTAACATAGGCTGAAATCAGTACAGCGGCTAATATTAACGTATAATATTACGCTGAAATCAAATATAATATGTACTATTAGCTCTAATCAATGGTCACTTATTTTCTTTTAGAAAAGAACACTACAAGATAATAAGAGTGTATTTACCTGGAAAGATGATCACCCGAACGAGTAGAGACAACGTTGAAGTGAGCCAGCTGGGGCAAGACCCTGCCTGAGGCAATCAATGTATAACCCCTCACAAGATATAAGTACATACAAGATGCATTTCGACAAATGCCATACGGCATAGAAATAATAAGCGTCTGCTGTATACAACACCGAGCTAATATGAAGTACAAAGAAATCCCGAAACTAATCACTATTTTACATCAGCACCATTGCTAATTTAAATCTATTGTGATCTGCTTCAGCCTCAAGTTACAATAGAAATACACTAATGCACATTTTTCCAATCTTCTATAACACCTCCCATCTACCACTGCCAATGCTAATTCTGTATCAATCTGAAATGAAAAGCCCCATATGACAGATAAATGAATAAATTGTCGGGAGACCAAATCGCAAGGATTTCATATCATACATAAGTAACTAGATGAATCAGGATCAGTATCATCACCTCATCAATTTTTCTTTTTTCAGCTATAAACTGTTGCTATTGCTGATCACAAAGATCACAGTATAAATGATCAAAAGTCCTGACTTCCTCCAGGGTGGTGCCTAAACATTCTGGATGAAACCTGAATCAAGAGTCGAAAGCTTATGTTAATGCCATAGTTAAATGATTTCTTGTCTGTAACTCTATAGCCACAATGCCCGACATAGGCTTAATGCATCTAACAATGGTTCAGCTCAGTTATATACTGTTTACAAAAGAAACTCAGATTTATCAGAAGAAAAACAAATGTGATATGCACATACTTATGAATAGCTAGCAAACTTATTAGACCATTCAGTTACTCGAGTCCTTTCAACACACTTTATCATATCACAATAAGGAAATCAGGATTTGAAGACATTGCAACATTAAACATTACCAGGTAGAACTTAGATTGTCAAACACTGAATACTAATTCATAAAACATTTTCCAAAGCAACAAATAAAATATGCAAAACATTGACAAAGCAATTCTCCTCAGACTGATATGCATACTGTGAATCATATAATACATTTTCACTTCTACCAAAATGACACCAGAAACCAACCATGTCATATAGCTCAAACATATAAGCAACTTGTAAGAAATCACAAATAGAACTTTGATAGCATACACGAAGAAACAAAATATAGCTGCGCATTTCTTAGCATATATTAGTGAAGGAAATATGAAAAAAAAGGTATAATACAATAACGGAAAATTGCATACATAGATATTGATAGGAATGCAGAGAGTGAAGAAAATGAAGCCAACTTGAAGAGCATGTTGTATGCCTAATCAAATTGTAAAGATAATGAAGTTGGTTGTAATTTCAGAATTTTTTTTCCCATTTCCAAACACCTAGACACCAAACAAACAATCTACAAAAATAAACATGTGTAAGTATTTGAAAGTCAATCCATATTGCGATATTCGCCCTATTCATATTAAACATAATCACTATATTACAAATACTTGTTTGCAACATGTATATCACTATATATTTTTTTAGCATGTATATCCTAAAATTGAATTATTACCCATATGCGATAGCGCATATCCAGTTATCAATAAGCGTAATAAAAAGACGATTAAATCAAATACACATACAAAAACTTCCTAAACTTCAATTTATATATCAAATATGGCCATTTACTTTCATGAATCCAAAAAGTAAGGTCAAACAAAGTAAATGGGTTCCGAGGTTCATCTCTAGTAACTATAATAAGACAAACTTTCAATTAAAAAGGATAGTTAAAAATGTCCAAAAAGGAATATCTAGTGTAATCGTTATAGCTTTATGAAACTCGATCCGCACTTACAAAGCCCAACCCAAAGGCTCGAAAATGGCATTAGGCCCAACATAGAGCTTAGAAAAATAAAATTGTCCTCCACCCAAAAGGCGCAATACAAACGACAAAATGTTATAAAGATAAAAAAAAAAAATAACTACAATAAAACACGTTTTCAATGTAAAAAGATAGTTACAAAAAATGTTCAAAAAGAAATATCTAGTTTAAATCATTAAAACTTTAGGAAACTCAATCGCCAATTACAAAGCCCAATCCCAATGGCTCGAAAATGGCATTAGGCCCAACATAGAGCTTAGAGAAATAAAGTTGTCCTCCACCCAAAAGGCGCAATACAAACAACAAAATGTTATAAAGATAAAAAAAAAAAATAACTACAATAAAACACGTTTTCAATTTAAAAAGATAGTTACGAACAATGTTCAAAAAGAAATATCTAGTTTAAATCATTAAAGCTTTAGGAAACTCAATCGCCAATTACAAAGCCCAATCCCAATGGCTCGAAAATGGCATTAGGCCCAACATAGAGCTTAGAGAAATAAAGTTGTCCTCCACTCATGAGGTGCAATGCATACGACAAATATAGAAATGTAACTACAATAAATTAAAAAAAAAAAAATCTTCAGTTTTAAAAGATAGTTACAAAAAATGTCCAAAAATGAATATTTAGTTTAAATCATTAAAGCTTTAGGAAATCGACACTTAAAAAGCCCAACCCAAATGGCTCGAAAAAAACATTAGACCCAACATAGAGCTTAAAGAAATAAGCTTGTCCTCCACTCATGAGGCGCAATGCAAACGAAAAAATGGCATTGGGCTTGTGTTTTAAGACTCTAACCGGTGTGCCATTTATAGATGCAAAGTTAAGATCCAACCTTTCTAGTTTATAATCAAAATTGGAAAAAATAGTCGAAGTATTTAAACAAATGATCGATTTTTAAATGCTAGCCATTGTTTATTAAATTTAATGTTGATGGAAAGATCTAAGTTTGATCTAGGATATGACCAAGAATGCAAGTATTTCACATGAAAATAGCCCATATCTTGGGTTTTGACCAACATTTTTTTTGAAGCAAATAATATAGTATTAATAGCTTTAACAAACACAATGTCAAACAATAATATTATGTACATATCATTTCTCTCTTATTTTTGCCAAGAGACCAACTTTGGCTTTTAGTTTATTTAGAATATGTTCCTTTTCTTTAGCACAAGAAATTAAAATTAATTAGCCATATGCTTATTTACTTTTCAGTGTTTAGACATAGACATCAGATAATAGAATTATATGATACTTAAGTGTGTGTTATTTATTTATTTTTGCATGAACTCATCGTTCGATGTAATGTTTTGCATAGAAAAATGATATGTTTTTATAAGGTATCATAACATTGCATACTCAATAATGTAGTATCAACTATGACCACAATGATGACATCTTCGACTGCATGTAGTGAATTAAAGACTTATAAGATGATGATAATACACATATAGACAGATTTATAATAAATCATGCAACCACATATCTAGGTATTCATTGATTATGAAAGGACTAAAGGTTGGATTTCCAATGGTATTAGAGTGTATCAAGGTATGCAAGGGATAGAGCATCTTAAAATATAGCTTACTAGAAAGATGACTTATTTTAAAAATATATATATTTATAAGAAAGATACCGATACTTTACGAAGTCCTTAATCTGTTGTATTGTTTGATTTCAATTTGTTGGATAAAGCCATCACTAAGAGTACCCTTTGCATGTGGAAAAACCTCTGATGCATCACTTGGACTCTGAGCAAGTTGGTTCTCCCCAAAATACATTGAGGAACAATACCTTTTAATTGAAGTTTTCATTTTTTTTGTCATCCTTCATTGAAATATATTGGGGGCTTACAGTGATAACTTGGTATTACTTCTATATAGGTCCATACACTAAAATATATCTATGGACTCCAGAAAAAAATCATTTGAGTACAAAAGAAATTCACAATTAGCTTATTGTGTTTCCAGGAACAGCCTCCAAGCTTCAAGTGTGGCATAAGAGTACACAGAGTCTAAGAAACAAAACTCAATACGATGTAAAGCGCAATGAAGATACAAAAAATCTTCAACCAATATGTGGAGGTTCCAACATTGTCAAATATACCATGCAGAATGGGGCTTACAAATATAACCAGACAATGAATCCAGAGAACACATTTTGATGAATTTATACTATTCATACAAATTTGTTCCCCTCGAAAACATCGAATCAAACACTTATTTTTTATTTTTCTTATATTATAAAAACTCAACTTTACATTCAAAACATCACATCAATACTTATTTATATCATATTATACCACTATATAAAAAGGAAAAATATAAACTCACCACTCTGTGCATAATTCGCACTGCACCATAAGAAAATCTGGATTAAAAGGCATCTCACAGCTGCAAAATCTGCCTCAGCATAGAAAGAAGAAAGGAAAATATCAGAATTTATTCAACGAAACAAGTATCGAGAAGTTAAGGTTGCCCACTACTAGAGGAGAATCAAATAAAAGATTAGTGAATAACGAAAAATAGATGCAATTAAAGGAAACAACTATCGCTATAACGAAATAACATTGTGATATTATTTTGTTGATTTCATAAGGTAGAAACTAGAAAGTGGTGAAACCTCATCATTCTCTAATGAGGAAGATGCTTCTTCACAAATCAATAGCCTCACTTAATTATCAGACTAAACCACACAGGCCATTAAATTAGTGAAGTAAAAGGAAGGCTGTAAAAATGAGCTATCATTGTAATAAAAGTTATATGCTAGTGGAGATATAAATCAGCTTGGCGATATTTGATGATTGAAACTCAGCTGTTTTCCCTTTTTAAGTGCTTCTACAGAAGATGATACTTTTTTGTTTTTAAGTTGAAAAGAATAACAATCACATTTGTAAGCTAAATGAAAAGTACTTCTCCAAGCAGAAGTAACAAGAAAAAGCATGTATACAGAAGTAAAGCACAAAAACGGGGCAGAAAATTCTACTTTAAACTATGCTGCAGCAACCAAGTATAATTGTTTAGTTCCTCAAACAAAATCCATATAATCAGCTAATATTTCCTGAATTAAAGACCATCAAAATTCAACATTGAATTGCTGATAGAAATTAGAATCCATATAAGTGAAAATCTATTGAGGTTGACAAGCTATCACTAAGCATAAGCAGTAATAAATAAATAAGCCAAAACAGAAGGAGCAAATACACAGATTAAAACTTACACAATGATGCTGTCAGGTGTGAAAGCTCCAGTCGTCGAATTGTACTCGAACCGACAGAAGTAGTCCTCGGTTCTAACGACGTCAAGACTGGTGTAATTGTCGATGCTATGCACCCTGCACTTGCCTTCAATGGCGTTTACACCCACAACTTCACGATGCTCGGACAAAAATAACTCTTTCGAGCCATGGAATTTACGGCGTCCGCCGTATGACTCTTCCGGCCGGTAATACCACCTCACGTGAATCTTTACGTTCTCGCCATCCGCGACGATCATTTCAATACGAGCTACATGCGGCGGAATTCCCTCGTCCATAGGTGTAAACCAAACGCAGTCACCAGCTGTAAAAAGCAAAAAACCAAACCAGATTAAGATAGAACAGCGTCCGCGGAGACGTAGATAGAACAATTACGCTCAAATTCCAAACTGAGGTTGACGAATTTACGAAACTCACGTCGTATGGAATCATCGAGTTGTCTGACAACGTAGGCGTCGAGAGTTCGGGGAGCGCGCTTCGGCATCGGCATTTCGTTCTCCTCGCTGCGGTAGACAAACCTCGTCCGCGTCGTCACAAAGCTCGCAGAGAAAGTGAGGAAAAAAACACAAAAAAAGAGAGTATATGTGTCAGCGTGTGTCAGATTTAGTTGCATTTCAGTAACCTTCCGGGGGCAAATCAGTAATTTCGTGACGACCAAGGGTCTATTTGGGAAAAACGTCCGCACTAAATAAATAGGTAGAACTAGATATACTTGTCAACGACATAAATTTTTTTTTCTTCTTTTAAATAAATATTAACATTTATATATTAGACACACCAAAAAAAAAAAAAACAAACAAACATGAACCATATACAAATATTGGTACCATAATTTGCACATTAAACCTTATCGCCCATTTAGAGCAGCAAATTGCGAAAACATCGCAGTCCCGGAGTGTTCAGCGCCGGCCGGTAGCTCCGCCGGCGAGACGGAAGGCTCCGCCGGCGGCGCTGCGGCGGCGCCACCATCATTAGAATGGATTGCAATGCTAGCAAGTGGCTTATTTTCCTCCTCAGCCTTTCCCTGAGCAGAATTCTCCTGCAGTTGCAAGGCGTATTCCAAATTCCACAGCACATCGCCCATTGTAGGCCTATCAACGCCGTAATCGGCGAGGCACTTCTCGGCAGCCTCGACGAACTTTTTCATCGACTCTGGGTCGACGTGGCCGTCGAGCACCGGGTCGATGATCTTATCAAGCAGCCCCTTGCGCTTAGACTGCATCGCCCATTCGGCGAGGTTCACTTGCTCCCGAGGCAACGCCGGGTTGATCGCCGGGCGCGCACATAAGGCCTCCAACAATACCACCCCGAATGAGTACACGTCCGACTTGTCGGTGAGCTGCTGCTTCCGGAAGTACTCGGGATCGAGGTAGCCGAAGCTGCCCTTCACGGCCGTGCTCACGTGCGTTTGATCCGTCGTCGGCGCATCTTTGGACAAGCCGAAATCAGCCATTTTCGCGACGAAGTTCTCGTCTAGCAAAATGTTTGTCGTCTTGACGTCGCGGTGGATGATCCCCTGCGCCGATCCGGTGTGGAGATAATGCAGCCCGCGAGCGGAGCCGATGCAGATTTCGAGCCTCTGCTTCCATGACAGGGTAGGCAAGTTCTTGCCGTATAGATGGTCTCTAAAAGGTCCGTTGGCCATGAACTCGTAAACCAGGATCATCTCGGAATTCTCTTCGCAGTAGCCGATCAGCGACACCAAATGCCGGTGCCGGAGCTTCGACAGGATTTGGATCTCGGTCTGGAATTCGTTGATCCCTTGGTCGGATTGCGGATTGCCTCGCTTGATCGCGACTTTCTGGCCATCCTCGAGCACTCCTAGATACACATTTCCAAAGCCTCCGACGCCGATGATTTTGCTCGGTTCCCAGTTGTTGGTGGCGTCCTGCATTTCGGCAAATGAGAAGTATCGGCCAAGCCCCATTGTCGACGAGAAGAATTGGCTCTTACGCGACCCTAAGTTCGTTTTGCTGCCGGACATGAAGGTTGAATCTCCGGCGTGGATCGGCAATAGCCACGACGAGAAGCTGTTCCTTTTCTGCCAGTCCTGTGGCCTCTTTTTCCACTTCACCGCCATTGCACCTAATCCAACGAAAGCTCCGAACATCATCGCGAATCCGACGGCAGCCACCGCGCCGCGGTGGCCGGCGCCAGCGCCACCTGCACCGGCGAACTCTCCGTCCAGGCTGCCGGTACTTGCGTTCATTTTGAAGACCTCAAGGCCGTTCAACAGAGCGTTTTTGGTGGGGGAGTTGTCGTTGGTTGGACCTACTTGGATTGTTAATGGATCCAGGGAGGGTACCATGGTTGAATTCACGACGAAATCGGCGAAGTACGCAGCGGTTAGGCCTTGAGCAACTGTGGTTAAATCGAGCGCGGAGATTACCGTCTGACCGTTGATGTAGACATTGAAGTACAGTTCGTTTGGGGACTTGCTGACGATGTCGGCGAAGTGGAGTCTCACGAGGTATTGGAACGTCGGATCGATCTTCAATTTCCAGGTGATGTTGAAATTGGGGACCTGCGTTGCTGATTCGTGTCAAATTCAAGGTATAATTCGTCAATGTCGAATTGAATCGATCGTTCGTTTTGAATTTTAACCTAATTTGATTGATGGAGAAATCGATTTCGTCGTTCACCTGAACATTGGCGTTCGCCATCTGAGTGGCGGTGGCGTACACCACCGGCGGCGCGATCAGGGGAGACTCGCCGTCAGGGTAAGTAATCACTTTCGGCTCAACGAAGGCGTCGGCGCCGGCGACCGGAGGGTCGAGGTACGGCTTGTCGGACTCCCAGGATCGCCCTATGGTGTCGTTCTGCGGCGTGATAACCGGACCGCCGGCGTTCAGCCGGAAAGCCGTCTGATACGCGACCTTGGAGAGGCCGGAATAATCGCCCTTGGGTAAAACGGCGGTGGCGACGTCGCCGAGCAAAATATCCGGCGCCGATACGAACTCGATGGCGCTGACGAAAGCGACGCTGCCCTGATCCGGCAGGAACGTGATCGAAAACTGCTCCGTCGTCACGTTGACGAGATATTCCTTCATCGACCATCGGGCATTTCCGGGGGACTTGAAATCGTACATCAGCATCATGCCATTGCTGGTTCGGACCTGGAATTTAGCATTGTTCAGATCCATCTCGTTGTACGGCGCCGGCGCGAAATGGAGCCGGATCCAATGCCATCCGGGTCGGGTCACGTGGAAGGTGTAGATAGCTTCGCCGTCGAACACCTTCGCCGACCGATAAATCGCCGACGGAACACTCTGATCGTCTTGCGCGAGCATGACTTGGATATCACGGCCTTTGTATTGCAGATATTTGCTGCTCTCCTGATCGCCGACGTACGCCAGATTTCCGGGGAGCGTGGTGGGGGCGGAGCTGCCGCAGTCCAGGAGGAAATTGTCCGGCGGCGTAAAGGCATCCGATTTCGCCGGAGCTCCGATCACGGCGGCTTCCGTTAAGAAGACATGATTCGAATTGGAAAGGAACGAGCAGAATAGAACCAGAAGAGGCGCGGCCGCGAAGGAGGAAGGCCTCGGCAGGTGGAGACCGGGGGAAAGCCGCCGTGAAGGCGTCTTCTCCATATCTCCGGCGCGAAAGGAGGACGATGCAGAGGGAAGTATGGAGAAGAAGAAAAAAGGGGGATTTCTGTTGAAGATAACTATTGTCGTTGGTGATTTTAGTGCTTCTGTGTTTCTCCGATAGCCATTAATGGAGCTTTATGCCTTATTTGGGCAGTCCCATGTCGCCGGAGAATTGTGGGGTCGAATTTTGTTTCTATTTTTAGTAATCGCTGGTAATTCGGGTCTATCAGTCATTTCTGATGTGGAAGGTGTTTGATCAAATTGGGCTTTCTGGGCTTTGTTTTTATTTCATTAATAATTGGGCCTTTTTACGGCCCATTTAAGAGGGTTCTTTTCTTGGCCAGCAAGCCGAAATACTGACTCGACCAATACAGTTCGGAGATTGAATCGTTAAATCCAGGGAATACCGGAGAGGTGAGGAAGGGAAGAAAACGGAAATGGCTAGCGAGAGTGACGACGCCGCCCGCCGTAAGGTGATTCAGGAGTACCGGAGAAAGCTCGCAAACCACAAAGAGTTGGAAGGGCGCGTTCGATCTGGTTTCGATTGTTAAACCCTAGTCTTCTGAATTTGGTCTTTTTGACGTTTTATGAGGGCGGGGTGGTGTTGAATTATACTTGCTTAATCTAGGGTTTTTGATCTGTGCATATTTTTACTTTTTCTACATGTGAATCCATCCATGGTTTTAGTTGGTGGTTTGTGGATGCTTCAGTTTGTATGAGCTTTTTTGAATTTTTCCGGTTGTTGTGGCTTATTGCGGTAATGGACGATGTTGTGGGAAGTAAGAGAGGGCTTGTTCGATCGGTAACCTGGGATATATGAATGTGAAATTGCAAATATAGATGAGATTTGTAATTTGCCCTTTGACAATATGATATTGGATTGAACCATTTTTAGACGTACGGTCTAATTGAGTTAACTGATCGATAAAATCTCCAAGTAGAAACATTGAAACAGATAGATTTTGAAATTTGGCTGTAGTTTAACTTAAGTATTGTTTACTCTCATTGTCACTACCACAAAGATCTTACCTTTTGCTTTAGGCTATCACTTGGGAAATATTAGTTTCGAAGGACGGGTATTGTGGTGACTTTTACTGTAGAATACTCCAATCATTATGTATCGGGAGCTCTGGGGTATTCTGAATAGGTGCTGAGATAATATTTGGAATGTAGTGTTTTCGTCTTTTGATGTCATCGACATGAATTGTTCTGTGTTGTTTTTTTCATATCCTGCTAAACGTTTTGATGAATATGGCTCATAGTTTTGCCTTTGTGAACTTTAGCCTGCATAGTGTGCGTGCTTTGTGTGATTGGTTTCAACTTTGTGCTCTTGCTGTGACTAATGGAAGCTGTATGATTTGCATAGGAAGGGAGAACTTAAGGACCGAAAAGAAAGAATATGCTAAGACCGAAGATGATTTGAAGTCCCTTCAGAGCGTGGGACAGATTATAGGCGAAGTTCTTAGGCCTTTGGATAACGAACGCCGTAAGAAATCTATTTCTTTACTTTTTCAAACTAAAATTTTTGCTTCTTCATGAAGAGTTTAATCCTTAATAGTTTTCTCACCGTACTTGTTTGGTTATTTGCTTCCAAAAGTGGATATGGTTTTGGAAACTATGAAATCAGTTCATCCCACAGTTTAGAAATTAAGGCTTCAGGGCTGTTAGCTTTAATCCTTCCCAAATGATATTTCCTTGGAGTTCATGTGAATCCCTTAGTATCTTGTTATGCTAGGATGATATGAGTTTCACGAGTCAAGATTGTTTCTCTATATAATTTTATATTTCTTGTAAAACATAAAATGACATTGCTATCATCATTTTAGTGATTGTCAAAGCAAGCAGCGGCCCAAGATATGTGGTTGGATGCCGAAACAAAGTGGACAAAGATAAACTTACGGCAGGCACCAGAGTGGTTCTTGATATGACAACGCTAACAATTATGCGAGCTCTCCCACGTGAGGTACAAAAATGTCAAATTATACTGCTTGTGCTTGGCTGCTTAAAGCTCTTGATGATTCCATTCAACTCTAAACTTTTTCTCATGTTCGCTCTACTTATTGTTATAATTACTCGTCTTCTTTTTCCCTGTATGATATAGGTGGATCCCGTAGTTTATAACATGCTTCATGAGGACCCTGGAAATGTTAGTTATTCTGCTGTGGGTGGTCTATCAGATCAAATTCGAGAATTGAGAGAATCAATAGAATTGCCTCTCATGAATCCTGAGCTCTTTCTTCGAGTTGGCATTAAACCTCCCAAGGTATAACTTCTTCAGGAACTCTGGTATTTTGTTGAATTTCTTTTTTTATTCTTTACCCAGTGTCCTGTTTTCATGTTTTAGGGTGTTCTTTTGTACGGGCCTCCCGGAACTGGCAAGACACTGTTGGCCAGAGCTATTGCCAGCAACATAGATGCAAATTTCTTAAAGGTCAAAATATGAAAAACCATATTTGTTAAAGTGATTACTTCATCTAATCTGCCACTTATAAGTTACGATTATGCAGGTCGTATCAAGTGCTATTATTGACAAGTATATTGGTGAGAGTGCAAGGTTGATAAGAGAAATGTTTGGTTATGCCCGTGACCACCAAGTATGTAGTAAATGCAATATTACTGCTATTTTTTATTTTTTTTTATGTAATTCTATGGTAGAGGATGAATTTAGAAGGTTTCTTTTTAAAATGGCTGCTTTTTCTTTGTCTTAAGCCGTGTATCATATTTATGGATGAGATTGATGCGATTGGAGGACGTCGTTTTAGTGAGGGAACGAGTGCAGACCGGGAAATCCAGAGGACCCTTATGGAGCTATTAAACCAGCTTGATGGGTTTGACCAGCTTGGCAAGGTCGTGCTTTCGTTGATAACTACTGAAATTGCATATCCTTTCATAAAACCGGCTTGGCCAGACGATTTGATCCATTATCTTATCTGTGCAGGTTAAAATGATAATGGCAACAAACAGACCTGATGTCCTGGATCCTGCACTTCTTCGTCCTGGTCGCCTGGACAGAAAAATAGAGATACCATTGCCTAATGAACAGTCGAGAATGGAGATCCTCAAGATTCATGCTGCTGGAATAGCTAAACATGGTGAAATTGATTACGAAGCTGTTGTTAAACTTGCCGAGGTAATCCCAAAATGCCTCATTTATCCTTTAAGAAAAATATGTGTATATATATTTGTGTACTTCAATGTGCTTTGTTTTCTAGGGTTTCAATGGGGCTGACCTTCGGAACATATGCACTGAGGCTGGTATGTCGGCAATCCGTGCAGAGCGCGATTATGTTATCCACGAAGATTTCATGAAGGTAAATTTTCCTAGACAGTAGATATTGTGATCATCCAATTTCATTATTTGTCTTTTCAGTTGCTAAGGAGAAATAATGCAATTTGTAACTGTCCTAGGCTGTTCGAAAACTGAATGAAGCTAAGAAACTTGAATCGAGTGCGCATTATAGTGCCGATTTTGGGAAAGATTAAGTGCCAAAGCTTCTGGTTGAGACCAATGCAGACAACAGGGAGGCGATCTCTTTCGAGAACATACATAGGCCAATCAGTTGTTCGTTTCTTTCATGCGTCTTGCCTTCGTATTTTGTATACTTTCCGGGCTCAAGACAATTTGAAAACCTCTATTAATGTCTGGATATGTAATGTTTATTATGCCTGATTTGATTTATCCTTCTTATGATAGACAGAAATATGATCACGCGCTGATTTGAAAATCGTTAAAAATAGCCATTGGGAGAGAAGAATCCATTATATTTCATTTCTGGATGATATTCACGATGATTGATTTCATTGAACTATTATTAGTGAAGAATTACTTGAGCTTTAGGCTTCTTCATTGCTGGCGGTTCATCAGGCTTATCATAGTCGTCGGAATTTGTCGGTTGAGCTGCCGCTGCTACTGCTGCTTCATCAATCGCATTGCTGTATTTCTGCACAAGCTCATTCAATACCTGTACACCATATATATATATGGATTTCATATCTAATTGCAGGTTTATATATATATAAATATGTATCTTACAGATTTAGAAAGCATGCGTACCTTGTTGTTTGTTGAGTCGTCCACAGAGTCGGCGAGTGCACCTGCAGCAGCACAATCCATCAAGTTGGAACGACAATCAGGTCAGGCGACGATTCAATTGACAAACCGTGAATAACATGTGACAGCGGGGATTTTCATACTCACACACACATGAAACACGCAAAGACAGGTCAGATACTCTCAGATAAAGTTTTGTTTTATCTGCGAGTAGCTCAATTTCTTCTACACAGAAACTCGAACAGGCGCAGATGCACAGAAAGATCATAAACACTAATCTGTAACTTTTATGTTGATTTATTATGTAAACGAACTCTGAATGCTAATCGATTATTGTTCCGATAGAGTACGCCGTCGTGCGAGTCATAGAGGTTGAAAATTTGAGTTAACTAACAAGGAGAGGCGATAATCATACATGGACGGGAAAAAGATCATACACAAACATCATATATATGTATAGGCGGAGCAAGTGAAATGATTACTGAAACAGTGTCGTACCGGCAACAGAGGTGGAGATATTGCAGAGGATGAAAAGCAGGAGGATGCTCTTGGCGAGAATGGAAGCCATATTTGGTGAAGAACACGCCGTATTCATCGTCACTTTTTCCTCGCTGCGCTCGCTCACAGAGAAACAACAAATATGCTCAATGTAGTATTAATTAGATTATATGTACAAACACAAATATATATATATATATATATATAAAGCAATGTGTTGTGGATCCAACCAGTTTATATTTTCTGTTTTTTTAAAAAAATAAAATAAAATAAAATTTAAGAAAATAGAGTGAGGTAAAATTGGTAAACTTTGTAAACTATTATCTCTGTCGGTAAGATGAAACTTTGGTTCATGGGACACAGTATTTTATTATTGTACTGTTTTCGTCTCAGTTTAATTGAATTTTTTTTTATTGATGACATGATATTTAAGATAATAATTTTTTTAATTAGTTAATAACGGTAAATTATAATATTATTTTATTATATAATTAACAATATTAATAATTTTAAAATAAAATAAATATATTACAATTTAAAAATAGAATATATATTTGAATATTTGAAAAAATCTATATTATAATAAAAAAAATATATGCAATATATATTATTTTATAGAAAATAAATTTTTTCATAATATAAAAAAATACATATTCTAAATCTTTTTGATAATATATGTATTAATTTTTATTTTTAAAATATTAATATTACTATTTACATAACAAATAAATAAACTAAAATTATAAAATCACTATTATTAATTCACTAAATATAATATTTCATTAAAAACTAATGTCAATGTATTTCACAAAACACATTATATCACATCAGTCGTTACTTATTTCTAATTATCTCCAATACAATGTTTGAATCTGGAACCTTATAGCTACGAGTCTACTCTCATACCACAATGTTATTTTTTATGGTACTTTTTTTATATACTCCTTCTGTTCCGGAACTAAGTATCCATTTGCTTTTTGTACGTAGTTTTAGAAATATTAGTATTATATTGAGATATAGTAGGAATAAAGTAGAAATGACTAAAATAACCTTATTAGTACGTGCGATATAAAGGTAATGACATTTGTGTAAGTTGTAAGGGTATTTGTATTGTTAAGTAGATAGTACAGTTGCTAAAAAAAATGAAATGAATACTTTGTTATGGGACGGAGGGAGTATTTTTTTTTATTTAATAACGTAGGAACCCGTCACACTAGGCGAACTATTTAAATATGCATTTATAATTTTATGTAAAAATTAAAAGTTTTTTTATTATTATATTATTACTTTTACCGTAGTAAAAATAAATATTTTAAGTGAGACATATTAAAATTGACCAAAAAAAAATGTTACTGTCAATTGAAAAAAAAAAAAAAAAACTTTCATAAAAAAATATCAAGAGTCTATTTCAATTTAAAGTTTAAACAAAAATACAAACCAAACAATTTAATCCATTTTCTAGTATACAATGGCAATAAAAAATATATTTTATTGTTTAAAAAATATATTCGATCAATTAATAAAATAAATAAGTATATTAGTATTTATAATAAAGTTTTAAGATGAAAATCATTGTTTAAAATAATGTTTTAATTGAAAAAAATAATATGGTGTAATTAAAAATAAAAATCAAATACTAAAAAAGTGCCTATGTCAATTTGCAGGTTTGTTTACTCTGTGTATATTTTTAAAGTACTATTTAATTTTTAAACATTTAAAAAAATACATTAAACTATTATTACATTTTAAAAAATATTTAAAAAAACTTATAAATGAATAATAAAATATTTTGTGGAATGAAATGATAATTTTGTTTACCAATATCATAGAGTTTATTCTTCTATCATTTTAAATTAAAATTAACATTGTTCAATTTTATTTATATAATTTTAGTATAAAGATATTATTATTTTCTTATCAAACACCGAAATATTATTTTATTAAAAATTCAAATTAATACAGTATTTTAGATGTATTTCAAATTAAATCAAACAAACTCATTAACTTCATTGTTGGAACCATAGTGACAATTTTGACAAGGAAAATATTTTACTTGACATTTGGGGTGTGCTTGTTTGAGAGTTTTGGATTTTAAATTGAGATTTAAATAATAAAATTTCTAATTAAAATAATTGTACTGCGATGTAAATAAGTATTAATGTGATATTTTGAATGTAAAATTAATTTTTAATATCATTTTAAAAAGTAAAGAAAATGGGTATTTGATTAGATAATTTTAAAAATAAAAAAAAAATAAAAATTAGTGAATAATTAAAATCCTTGAAAATCTTCTTGGTATTTATGTTTGACTACATATGTTAATATCGCATTTACCATCAATTTAAAATTTTCATTCAATAATTATTCTGTCTAAAAATGCAAGTAGATAATTTTTTTTTCCCTTTATATTATATAGGGTCAACACATTTATTTATTTATTAAACGTATTACAAACTTTATGATATTCCTTATTAGATGTTGATTGACATTATTTATTAATAATATATATTTTTAAATACTTCGAATATTTTTTTCTTATAAAATATCATGTCAAAATATTTTAAATTATTTATTTTTTCAAAATTTTATAAAACATCTATCTAAATAAATTACTTAATGTAATATTTTATGAGATAAAATAAATATTTAATTTGATAAAAGAAAAAATAAATTATAGTACCAAAACTATGCAAGTTAAATTATTATACACGTTTTTTTAAAAAATCAGCCTTTAATAATTATATATGTCATGTAACTTGTAAGTATCTTTGATACAATTAATCTGTTTCTATATATATATATATATATATTACCATGTATCAAATACAAATGTCTCTATTATAAAACTTCCAATTTTTTGAATTTAATTTAATTTTTTGTTACGCATTATTTTACATGCTTAAATTTTATTCAATAACCTTCTATGATCCAATATAACTATATATACTTGTACCATGTACTGATATATTTTTTTATTTTTTATTTTTTATTTTTTTATGACGTGGAAACCCGCAGTCGCTATCGAAAATGCACACTGGGTAAATCTTTGATCGAACTTAATACTCTGCAAACCAAGCCCGGAAAGTCACACTTATTATTATTTATATTCAATAATTTTGCCAACACATGTTTAATTATTATTTATATTTATATTTTCATTTTCTTATATATATATATATTATTGGACAATACAATTTCAAACAAATTCACACATATAGTCCATAATTTTTTTCCTTAAAACCCGAAAGAGAAATAAATAAAATTAATTATTGGTTGAACTAACGGTTTTTATTTAAATTGCAATTCTGGCACTTACCTAATTTTGTAGGTTGTATTAAATCAAAATATAGTTACAATTGATTACCCACCTTCAATTTGCTTAACGCACATACGGCGTCGTTTGGTTGAACCGGCAGTGCGAATTTATTTTCTACATTAACTTATTATTAAATGTAAACTAAATTAAAAACAAATAATTTAATAATTAATTTATTATTTCCTGAAAACGCCCATTCCAATCTCCATGGATTCTTTTCCGTCGGATAAATTTCCGCTTGCCGCTGCTGAATGCTGATTTCGGTGCATTTACTGCATTTGGATCGATTTTGTGACTCGTGATAATGTATTATCGCTTTTTTCTGGGGAATTTTCATCTGGATGAGTTGTATTGATATTCAATCTGGAGAAGTATCTTGATCTGGTTAGCTAATTCAAGCTTGTTTGTGGAGTTCATAGACAGGATTTCGCTTTTGAGAGTGCGGAGATAGGGTGATGCTTGGTTGATCGGTTGATGAACTGTTCCGGTGGCCTTGAGTTGACGATGTCGGGGCAATTGGTTGCAAACTGTGAGTGATTTCATTTATTTATTCGTTCTTCTTGATCTGGAATTGCGGTTTATTACTGCGAGTTCGTTTGCATTTGAGATTAGTGTTTTACTGGCTGCAGGACGTTTGATTTAATTATGATAATTCTCCCTGTGCTAATTGAGATCGAGAGTGTAGTATTAGGTTTTAATATTAGGATTTGACAATGAAAGTTGTTGGACCAGGAGTGAGAAACTACTTTAGGTTAATGTGAATGAGGTTAATTGTAATCATTTTATTTCGGGTTTGATCTCTTTTTATCGTCAATGATGCAGTCTTGATGAAATCACATCTGACTTGTGATGGATTAAAGTTCACGATTTTCGAAGTACAGCTGAACTGTCTGTGGGGCTGGTTGCTTTCAGCACTATCTTCGTTGATGTTGAAGTGGAATATTCTTAATTCCAACTGTTTCCACCTGAAAAATTGCTTAGTTTCGTCTGAATCCTTTTCACTTGTCATGTGGACCTTTTTTTTTTTTTTTTTTTTTTTAACTTAAGAGCCATTGCTGAGAGTTGAATATTCTTACTGTGATATTGATCGAGTACATCATAAGAACAGTATAGAGAAAATTTTAATCCCGTTAGAACATGGTTTTGATAAGGAAGAATTGTGATTATAACAACAGCCAAAAATTTCATATTTTAATTTCTTTAATGGATGCCTACTCTTTCTTCACAATTTAGAGTCGAATTGGTCCTGCTTCATTAAGATCTCAGTTTCAAAGATGGTGATTTAAAGCCTTCACATGTAGGCAATGTATTTCTAAAACTAGTATATTGTATGATTGAATATTTTTAAGGCTATTTGCAAGTAATTTATCTGCAACTTAATTTTCGAATTTTGATGTAGTTCTTTATTTGTATGTTTATTCTCTGTGGTGGAGCAGGCTTTGATGGGTTATCTTGTAATGATGAGAGAAGAGAAAGAAAGTCTGATTTTGAGAACTCGGAGGATGAGAGAAGGTCTAGAATTGGCAATTTAAGAAAGAAAGCATTGCATGCATCTTCGAGGTTTAAGCATTCACTAAAGAGAAGGGGTAGAAAAAAGCGCGATGGGCGAGTTAGTTCGGTTTCAATTGAAGATATTCGAGATGCTTCAGAGCTACAAGCCGTCGAGTCATTCCGACAAGCCTTGATATTGGAGGAGTTGTTGCCAGAGAAGTTCGATGATTACTATATGATGTTGAGGTTGAGTTTTTGGCATCCATTACTTTTAGTCGAATTCATTTATATATTATTAAAAAATTTATCTTGGAGAGAAAAATCAAGGAAAGGTGTGAGATTTGAATATCAAGTTCTTATTATCTACTGCATGACGGCAAAGAATATTGTGGTAACCACTAACCCCACCATATGGTATCTGACAATATTTGGGATTTAAAGTGTATTTTATAATTTCTTACATGAAATTGCATGGTCAGACTCAATCTCTACCCTATGGGTACCAGAGAATTATTTATTTTCAAAAATTTTTCCAGAATCAGTGTATTATTAGCATCTCTTAAGAATTGTTTACCTCCTTAGGCCGCTGTGATTCACGTTGTAGTGACTTCATCTCAATTAACCATGCTGGGTTGGGCATCCATCTAACCATTTCTTACATCTCTTTACTCTGAAGGAGAACTTTTCTTATAAATCACTAGTTGGTTCTGAATAACTCTGTGCATTACCTTTTACTTTGTTATAGACATATAATATTTAAGGACTGAGATTGAATGCAGGTTTTTAAAAGCAAGGAAATTTGATATTGAAAAGACAAAGCTCATGTGGGCTGATATGATTCAGTGGAGGAAAGAGTTTGGTACTGACACAATAATGGAGGTACTTATGATAATTTTCTGCTAATGGCTTCTTAATAACTTTTGTTGACATAGTAATCCAACTGTGTAGCTCAATTCCCAATCTTGTTAAAAATGTTCTGTATCAGGATTTTGATTTCAAGGAGTTAGATGAGGTAAAGAAGCATTATCCCCATGGCTATCATGGAGTTGATAAAGAGGGAAGGCCTGTGTACATTGAGAGACTAGGGCAAGTTGACCCAAACAAACTTATGCAAGTAACAACAATGGACCGCTATCTAAGATACCATGTGCAAGAATTTGAGAAAGCCTTTGCTATTAAGTTTGCAGCTTGTACTGTTGCTTCAAAACGGCACATTGATTCAAGTACAACGATCTTGGATGTTCAGGGTGTTGTATGTTTTGTACCTTGTTGCTTTGTGTTACTATATGTAAGGTTTGTGTTTCAGCAAAACAGTTTGAATTTCCTGCTACTCATTGTAGGGTTGGAAAAATTTTACCAAGGGTGCACGGGAACTTATTATGCAGCTTCAGAAGATTGATGGCGATAATTACCCTGAGGTAACCCACTGGTTTCTCAACTTGATTAATTTATGATGTTTTTTTTTTTTTTTTTTTCTTCGGATTTTAATTACGTTAACCTCTTTCTTGCAGACACTCCATCAAATGTTTATAATCAATGCTGGACCAGGCTTCAGGCTGCTATGGGGTACAATAAAGAACTTTATTGATCCCAAGACAGCCACGAAGATTCATGTATGTTCTGTGACTCTTCAGCTTTTTGGAGCTTTATGGTATTTGGCTGGTTAGCTATGATAGCTTACAATGTTATTCTTTTATGGAATCCAACACAGGTTCTTGGAAATAAATTCCAAAGCAAGTTGCTTGAAGTAATTGATGCCAGGTGAACAGGCCTGATAATGTATATTCTTGTTGCTTGTAGCAACAACAAATTCCGTTCTAGTGCTAGTAACATATTTTGATGTCCTCATGCAGTGAACTGCCAGAGTTTCTAGGAGGGAATTGTACATGTGCGGACCAAGGTGGCTGCCTGCAATCGGACAAAGGACCTTGGAAGAATCCTGAAATACTGAAGGTCCAAAGTTGCCTTGATTTTGGAATATCTTGATGTAGAAATAATGATATTATCTTCAGAGAATCTGTTGTAAATTTAATATGCTTTACTGCTTGACATGGTTGTGCAGATGATTCTAAACGGTGAAGGTCACCATTCCAGGCAGGTTGTTAAAATTATGAACAGCGAGGGGAAGGTCGTCTATGTGAAACCTCACTACCACATGGTATGGTTGATGTCCTATTTCTCTTGACCCACCTTTGTTCCATCATTGACATTTTACATGGATATATTTTATAGCTATTGGTTGTCGTGGCAGGTAAAATGCAGTGAAACATCCACAGCAGAGTCCGGTTCTGAAGCTGAAGACATGATTTCTCCAATAGGCACTAAAAGATATTCTCACCTTCAATTGACTCCTGTTCGTGAGGAGGTATGGTTAGGCAGAAAATTTATCATTTCCTAATTTCATATTTAGTTGAAGGGGAAAAAGATGCATATCAGAAGTTCAGTTGTGTTTCAATTTAATTTCAGCATTGATAAGTGTTTGCTTGAGGAAATGAAAATAACAGGCTGTCGCCTCATAAGTTTACTCTCTTAGTGCTATTTAAGGACTCCTGTTATGTTCCCGCTTATTCAACCCTTCATAAAGATGTAGTGGTCCTTGCCAAGAGAACAAAGTGGGACTTTGCAATGTGCTCCTTGTAGCATTGATTTTTAAATTGGTTGCCAACCTAATAATACATTCCCATTCTGCCAAAAGATCAATAAAAATGAGACTGGGAGTACAAGAAAGTTGATCTAGTGGTTTTTGCCAAAGAAAACACAGTTGGGACTTTGCAATGCACTCCTTAATGCAATTGTTTTTGAATTGGTTGTCTACCTGACACTTCTCCCTCTTAATTGATGGATAAAGAAATTAAGCCTGTGGGTATATTCTTTGTTAAACTATGAGAGAGATGATATTATTTTATCTTTCATGATTGTGCTAAATAAACAGTGTTCTTATCCTTCACGCTAGGAATGTTGGAATACCTGGCGGCACCGGCATTCCCCCAGACAGCTATGAGTATGTTCCTATGGTCGACAAGACTGTTGATTCTGGACACAAGAAGGAAGTACGCCCTAAGACACTTCATGTTTCTAAAGGTCAAACCTGTGCCATTACTTCAAAAGTTCTATGATCATGTTTCTCCTCCATATATATAGAGAGAGAGATACATCACTTAGAATAGGAAGAAAAGTATATTTACTTCGATATTCATGATCATTTCTAGGCTCCTACCAGGCTTCCATCCCTATCCCACAATAATACTGATCTTTGATTTACCTCTTCACTGATTTTGGTTTCTTGGTTTTTCTGATTTCTTTCCAACTTGTATGTTGTATTTGTTTCGAAAAGATTGTTCCCATACTAGCTTTTTAACTTATACCGACTTTTTTTATTCAGATATGTTTCAGTCACCTGATTCTAAGAAAGTGCCAGAAGGATTGTCTGCTCGGGCTTTGACAGCTCTTTTGACCTTCATCGTAACCCTTTTTGTGTATGTTCGTACATTATCATACAAAGTTACAAAGAAACTTCCTGATGCACCATCACAGCACAAGCAAACAACTATGGTATCTGTCCTTAAGACGAATTCCAAGGATGAGTTTAAACCATCTTCGCCAGCACCACCGTATTTCACAGACAGAGAGCTCCTTGCTTCTCTCACAAAGAAGCTGAGCGAGCTCGAAGAGAAGGTCAATATGCTTGAAGAAAAACCATCCACGATGCCCTATGAGAAAGAAGAACTGCTGCATGCTGCTGTTTGCAGAGTGGAGGCCCTCGAAGCAGAGTTGATTTCAACCAAGAAGGTATCAAACAATCGAACATATTTCATAATCCTCCCTATTTGAAAATATTTGCTTCATCATTGTTCTACGGTGTCAAGCATCAATCACAAAAAGTATTATTTTTATGAGTTATAGAGAGCAAGAACTGACATATCTTATTCCTCTTTACGCCGTTTTTTCCATGCCCGAGCAGGCTCTGTACGAGGCTTTGATGAGACATGAGGAACTGCTTGCGTACATAGACAGTCGAATCAATGCTAAATTCCAGGTGAGTAAATACGATCTTTTTTCTCGTGCTCTCTTGTTAGTTTGTCTTATGCCATATATCCCGTAATTCATCGTGCTGACAAATCTTGTTTGTTCTCTGTCCAGAAGAAGAAATTTTGCATGTAAAAAAGGATTCTTGTGGAAGGCTTCTTTGGGATACAGGTACTTCAATTCTTGTCGCCTAACCTTCCATGATTTAGAGTCATAATTCGACAATGTGAATTTGATCGATGATACATGCATACACATACACCGTCACTCTCGTCTTGCCAGCAAGATCAAATGAAAAAGGACACTTTTTTACAGTTCTTGCAAAAAAACTGCAGACATGTTTGATTTGATGTCGATGGCAGTATGCTTCAGTTTATCCTTACTTCATACACTTCTTGTAAATGACAATAAACATCACAAGAAGTATGTATAGTTGGAGGATGTTCAATGCAAACTAGCCAGAAATTTCATTTCAGTAATGTCATTTTTTAAGGGTATAAATGAACATTATTTGGATGTTCTTGTCTGGGAATTCTGGAAACATACGAGGATAGGATAGAGAATCAAAAGAAATAAATAGGATAGTCGAATGGATCGTTAGTCTTAGTATTTTTTGAAAGGTAATTCGTCCTTATTTTGAGTTATAAGATGATTTCACTACAGGATAATAAAATAAGCACTCAATAATTCTAATATGATCTTTGAGTCTAAAAGTGTTTCTCCGAGTTCGAATTGTGAAAGATTTAATTTCGATTTTATATTTAAATAGTAAAATTTTTATGTTAGAAGGAGAAAATATATTTTTGTGAGAAATGAGAATTTCAAATAATAAAAATTTTTGTCAAAAAAAGACACTCTAGAAATTCGTTTAGCTTCGCGGTTCTTGTCCCAAGCTCACGAGGGTGGCTCAATATAGTATTTTCTCTATACCAATAAAAGTGTTCACGTTACCGTAGGTACGTCGTGTTTTTAATTTTTTTTTTAATTTTAAAATGTATAATTGTAAATTTACTAACAAATAAAAAAATAAAAAAAAAGAACATTTTATGTTAGAAGAAGAGAATATCTTTTAGTTATGCTACGGCAAAACTAAGATTGGTTATTGCAAGAAGAAATGAAGACCCTCCTTGCCCCTACCAAGCAAACTTAGAGGTTTTTTCCCATTAAGAAAACAGAGAGCCAGAAATATCTTTGTAACAACGCCACCATCATCATCTATATCTGTACATTAGAGAGTAGACACACACACACACAGGGCTCTTCTGCACTTAGAAAGCAAAGAATCTCTTCTTCTTCTTGCTCTTCTTCTCGATGTAGGCAAGGAGTTCTTCTTGTCGGAGAATTGCATCCTCCAGCCTCTGCAAACAAACAAACAACCAATCCAATCAAATAGAAAACAACAAAATCGATCAAAGATGAAATATATACCTTTTTGGTGGCGGAAAGCTCCTGCTCCAATGATTCGACACGGCTCAAGGCATTATTGAGCACCTCCTCCTTCTCCGGCGGCATGTTGGCTGGCTTGTTGGCGATGACAGTCACCTTCTCTTCCACCTCGTTCATTCTCTTCATCATGATGAAGTAATCTTCTCTGGAAACTGCAGTCCCTGCCATCATGTTGTACCCGTGCACTGCACCACTCTTCATCGAGCTAGAATAGAGGGTCGCTTCCGTCAGTTTCTTCGGCATGTTGCGAGTCATTCGAACCATAGTCACAATACCCATGAAAAAGGTCAGCACTCCAGTGTATATATGGTTGCTGAGTCCATCAGAATTAGGAGAATAAGATGTTGATTTGCATGCATTCTTTGCAGGGAAATAATCTGTCCAAGTTGTAACCAACCAAAAGTCGAAAGAGCATTATTACATACCTACCTATATGCATTGTTTCTAGAAGCAATATATTATATTTATGATAATTATCTTATTTATGAAATTCGTAAGATTTTTATCTTATTTAGAAGATTTGTATATCACTATAGAATTTCAAATTCATATTCTAACATGCACCAATCAATCGTAGCATTATTACATACTTACCTTTAGAAAGAGCGTAGTTGTCGAATTTCTCTGCTTTCACCCAATCAATAGTGTCGGGTTTGCCCTTTGCGTTGTCGTCGAGCTTTGGTGGCTCAAATGCACTGGTGTTTACCTGAGGATAAATTGTTCTGGGTTGCACTTAAGTTTTACAGATCAGATGTTTGATGCAGAAGGCCAAGAAACTCATCAAATTGAAATGATTAACGTATTATGCATATACAATTGATCTCGTCACATAAGATATATTAATACTAGAGCTGGCAAAAACTGACACGATACGATAACCCGACACGAAATTATTGAATTTGAATAAAAGATTTTGACCCGATTATGTATACGGATTGACACGAACCCGACAATAGAGGTTAGGATTGAGGCTCTCAACTCGAACTCGACGCGACAATCAAATTATAATATATTTATTATATATGTAAAATAATTCTAATTTGATAATTAATTTAAGTATTAGTTTAAGGTTAAGTTCAATTTTAAATAACCTAAACTAATTCACTATAGCCGACACAAACTAATATAACACGACAATTCGAAAAAAAATAATTGGATTTGAATTAAGTATTTTGGCATAATTATGTATACGGGTCAACACAAATCCAATACGAACTCGATACGATAATAAACGTAAATGATTTAACCCATTTAAAATATTCAATCCGACGCACACGAGAGAAAGAGAGAGAATGATTATAAGACATCAAGTGATTATTTTTCTGAGTTTCTATATCATCAAAATCTTGCAGTTGCAGTGATTTTGTAAATATTAAAAAATGACACCTACTGGCATCATCTTCATCCAATTTTGAATTAACTTGACTTGATCACACAAACTAAATAGGATAAAAAAAATAAATTAACAACTTACTTCTTCACGAACAGGAGAGAGTTGGGAGCGCAAAATTGCAGGACAATCTGTTTTTTCCTCTATCACCAAGCAGGATATTTTGTTGCAGCATTTGTGTTCGCCGTTACGGACCATCTAGCAATCGAATTACGAATTTCAGGATTGACACCTGCAAAAAATGTAGAAACCAGCATCGAAAGATGAGGGGGTAGGGATATGGACAAATATGATTGACCTTCATGATATCAGTATCATTCCAAGGACCCTTATCGGAGGCCATACAACCACCCTTATCCGGGCAGGTGCATGTGCCGCCCAAGAACTCCGGCAGCTCACTGATACAAGATCGAAACAACAGAATGAGGACAGCATGGGAATAAGAGAACTGACGGGAGCGGCTTATCTACCAATTTTAAATGATTGCAGGTATGTTAAAGATATTTTACCTGGCATCGATCACCTCGAGCAGCTTGCTCTGGTATTTGTTGCTCAAAACCTGGAAAGGAATATAGGAAGAAGCTTCTTTACTCTTTAGATGGACCTGACCTGAGCAAAATGCTTATGGACTTTAAAAAGAGAGAAGTCTAAGCTTACATGGATCTTGGCAGTAGTTTTAGGGTCAAGGAAAGATTTAACTGTGTTCCACAAGAGCCTGAATCCTGATCCGGCATTGATGATGTACATTCGGCATAGAGTCTGGAAGGAAACAAAAGGGTAAACAATAATCGAATGATTTAAAAAGGTTGTGTTCTATCGAAAGTTTATGAGCAATGGAATTTAAGGGATAGTGTTAAAGAACATGAAAGTAGCTTGTACCTCAGGGTAATTATCGCCATCAATCTTTTGAAGACTTTGAACAAGCTCCCTAGCAGCCTTATTGAAACTTTTTAGACCCTGACAAGTTATGCGAAAAATCAGGTCTATTTTGATCTACTGTATTACGGATTTATGAAACATTCTGAATACTTTCTTATCTATTCAATCTAGCTAAGTGTCGAAAAATTAAACTGCATACCACTCCTTGGACATCCAAAATGGTTGTGCTCTGATCAATGTGCTTTTTGGCTGCAATGGAGCAGGCGGGAAACTTGTCGTTGAAAGTCCTCTCAAACTCCAAGACGTGGTATTTTAAATATCGTTCCAACGTTGTGACTTGCATGAGCTTGGTTGAATCAACCTGTCCTAATCTTTCGATGTAAACAGGTCTTCCTTCTTTATCAACACCATGATGGCCTTGTGGATAGTATTTAAGGACCTCGTCTCTTTCCTTGAATTCAAAGTCCTGCCAGAAATATACCCGGGAATGGTATGAACTTCTTGTTCCAAATTCATTAGATCATTTAGGAATTTTAGAAAAGAATGTGTCGATGAAGCAAAATCACAAATACCTCCATAATAGTGTCAGAACCGAAGTCCTTCCGCCATTGGATCATCTCCGCCCACATTTGCTTAGTTTTCTCAATATCGAACTTCCTGGCCTTCAAAAACCTGTGACGTCGCAAAAAAATCTAATACCACAACTAGCTACTTGTTCCGGAAATTTAATACTTGAAGAAATCTCCATTGGATGGATGAAACTTAGCTACTCAAGATAATTCATTTGAACTCTGCCCATCCGTTAGAAGCAGAAATGATCATCAAGGTTGCCATGAGCTGATTATCAATATTCAGAAGACAATTCAATTTACCTTAATAACATATGATAGTCATCATGCTTTGCAGGAAGCAACTCTTCTAGAATAAGTGTTTGCCTCAAGGCATCCACAGCTTTCATTTCCTCTGAATCATGCTCGTCGTCAAACACAACAGACATTACTCTGCTGTTTCGCCGGCCCCTTTTAGTTAAAGAGTGCCTGAATTTGGAAGAAGCACTAATAGCCACCTTCTTTAGCGAACCAAGCCTCTTTTTCCTCTCGTCATCCGAACTTTCAGTATCAGTTTTCTCAAGACCTGCAAATGATTTTTTACCAACTCATGTTTCTTTCTCTTAAGCATTCACTCTAGATTCAAAAAAGTTTAATTGAATATGTACAAATATCTTGATGTCTATATCTCAATCTATCCCATTGTATGAATTGAGAAGAAAAATTGCTCTACTATGCAAAAAACTTCTACATTCAATCAATCTTGTTGGATAGGATAAAGTTTGTCATTGTTATTGGAACAATCATCCAAAAACTAGTCGTTTATCATCAGATTTATTCTCAGAAGAGCATAAATAAAGCCTTAATCCAATCATACAACTAAGCTATGGCAATAGCTATTTAAATGCTGAGAAATGAAAACTTGAGATGCAAAGAAGGAACACTTACTCGACTTGATGGAGCATTCAAGAGATCCTGACCTACTGTGACTCATGATTGCAGTTCGCTAATTTGATCACGTCTCACCCACAGGCTCTACGAGAACGAAATCTCACGAACATGCAGATTTGTTACCTACAAAATTCACGAAAGTTAAAAATGTTTTTATCTCCATTTCTCAAAACAATGCATCAATTCCAAAAGTTCTTAGGTCACAAAAATTACTCGGTCAATCCATCCGACGGATGCAGATGAATTGAATTGCGAAATTACGAAATCGTTACTGTTCCTGAAATATTATTAATTAAGATCGAGAGGAAGAAGAAGAAGAGAGCGCATACCTATGTCGCCGGTGACGAAAACATGGATGGAGGGGTCCGGACCGTTAAGCAAAATTGGAAATGGAGTATTAATACGATATGCGTGAAATGAACGGCACACCACCATCCCTTCACCTCCTCCACACACGAAATTAATGGCCGCCCGCCCATGCATAATATTCCTTCACACCAATTATACTATGCTATGCATGTGCAAGTGCAAATGCGATTGCAATTGTCCACCGCACGCCATTCCATTCATCCATTGGGTCTCGCCGTCAGATTTTGGAGAATTTCTCGCTTCATTTCTCCAAAAATACTAAACTACCCAAACTCCCACGGAGACAACTATCCAACAGAGAATAAAAATAAATAGGCTTTGTTCATTTAATAAAAATTTTTAATCATTTCTTAAAAAATTAATATAATATTTACAAATTTTATTTTTTATATTACCTACACTATTCTCTGCCTATCTCATGGAAAAAAAAATATCAAAGCAAGAGGAAAAAAAAAAAAAAAAACACACCTATAAATATGTGCTTCAATAAATATTATATTAAACTAATATTTAAATAAAAAATTAAGTAAAAAATTCAAACTCAAATCTAGAATAAATTTATAAGTTGATTTTAGTATGTAAATTTGTTTGTAAGATACTTCCTTCGTCCATTATCTGTGACTATAATTTCATTTTTCTATGTATCATTTATATTGTTATTTTTATTTTTTCAAAAGAATTAAATATTTTAATTTATAATTTTTAAATTTTAATTAGACTATCTTAATTTTAATCTTATATTTATTTATTATAAGATAATCAATTTAACTAATACATTTTTTAATTTTTACTAATTATACATCTCCGCCCTTTGTATCATGAGAGCACACCGGAGCCTAAATGGAGGAATTAGTAATTTAATTTTAGAATGAAATTTAATAAATAAATATTAATAATAATTGATTTTTTTTTTTTAATGTAAATATTCCTTCCGTCCCTGTGAAAGAGTGATGTTTGCTTTTTGCAATATAAAGTAATAATATTTGTATAATATATTATAAATTGAAATGATATTTATTATGTTAGGTAAATAGTACAATGAAATGGTAACACTAACCAATATTACATAACTATTGTGTGCATCTTTAGGAATTTTTAAGGATTTTGAAAATGGTAAAAAATAATAGTTAATTGAGATTTTGTGAAAAAAACATATGTATATAATTATATAATATTGATAAATAATATAATTTTTTTTAAAATATATATAATTACGATTTTTCTTTTTTTAGAAGGATGCATTTACTATTTTTGGAAAGTGAAATGCCAGTGGAGAAACTGGGCTATTTTGTAATAAGGCCCAAAATTTAAATACAAAGGAAATGAGCCGGCCCATGATAAACCCTAAGCCCATTACCTATTGCAAGCACAGTGTTCCTTCTCTATTTAAGTTGAACGAAGAAAAAACCCTAAGAAAAGTAATCGCCTGTATACCCTCGCCGCTCTTGGCTGACGCATACAAGTTTCTCCCAAATGGTTCGTTGATGCTGTTCGATCTGAGTTTTGAGCGAAAGCACAATGTTTCCGTAATGTGTAATTTGATTTTTTTTGTTATTTTGCAGGCGCCGAAGAAGGATAAGGCTCCTCCACCGTCATCGAAGCCGGCGAAATCCGGAGGAGGCAAGCAGAAGAAGAAGGTTGGAAACTACTTGTTTGTTTTGTTTTTATGCTGAGTTTCTGTGGATCTAATCACTGATTTTGGCGGGGAATATTGTGGTAAAAATGCCATAATTGCAGAAGTGGAGCAAGGGAAAGCAGAAGGAGAAGGTGAACAACATGGTGTTGTTTGACAAGGGCACGTACGACAAGCTGCTTACCGAGGCGCCTAAATTCAAGCTCATAACACCGTCTGTTCTCTCCGATCGTCTCAGGGTAATTCCAATATTATGAATTGAATAATACGTGCATGTTGATGGTTTTGAAATCTGTTCCTGAAGTATTAGCTCTACATTTATAATAACATATGCAATCTAATGATCCTTCAGAAGTGATTTAACTGTTAGTTTGAGCTGAAAGTGTCTGCATCAGTTGAAATAATTCACACTTTTGAATCTACTTTTATATCCTTTCACTTCTGATGTGAAATTAAATTTTCATAATGTGATTGAAATCTCTAAGACTAACAAGAATATTTTCAAGGGTTTTCAATTCCTGTTTACCAAGTTATTGGTGGTTCTTGAACCCTAGCTGCTCCTACATTCCCTTTGAAAGTTGCTTTATAACTCTTGTTGTCAGTGCCTACGGGCTTGTTTATTTTGTGTCAACTGTCAAAGGATTATTTAAACAATAATTTAATGCAACATAGTAGGATTTAATACTTTATCACACAGTATTATATGGTTACTAAGGTCTTTATTTGATTATTGTCTCAAATAATTTATACTAGATGTTCTTAAAAAGTCAAGAATCATTGGTGTTTTAATTCTCGACTTGATCTTGAGGTAAAAATGTGAAAGGAAAAAAAATGGAACATGGACTGAATGTGATATACTCCAGATTTAAATGAATTTATGAGGATTGATTGGATTACCTATGTCAACTATTTTAGAAGAGTACTTACGGAAAATCCTTCATAACATTACACAAGAGGGAGCCAAGGCTGTTAAAAAGAATGTGAACATTGTAGAGTTATTCAACAAGATATTTACTGCCCTTGGAGTTGCTTTTGCTTTTTTTCATATACTGTGAATATAACACACACATGCGGAGGAGGTATCTTTACCTGAAAATGAACTGTGTAATAATAGCATAAATTTATGTTTTGCGTTGCAATTGTCTTTGAATATATTCATTCATCTGCATTTGACTATGATTATATTGCAAGATTCATTTCAAATTCTGATTGTCTATGATACATCCTCGCCAACAGATTAGTGGGTCACTTGCAAGAAAGGCTATTAGAGAGCTGATGGCTCGAGGACTGATAAGAATGGTGTCAGCTCATTCAAGCCAGCAGATATACACCAGGGCCACAAACACCTAGATGGCTATATTTTCATTGATTTGGTGAGCTTAATGCAATTTTTGTATTAAACGACGTGCATTTTTAGATTTGATGCTGAACTGAAAGCTTGAGAATTTTGGTGTTTAGGGGATTTATTTATGTAATTGCTATCAACTTGAACTTATTACGTTCTCCTAAAATTTTCTTACTGGTATTGATGACTGAATCAACTATAGAAGCTAGGTATTAATGTTGAAGGCTTAATTTGTAGTCTTATGGCTTTGGCTTTTCTGAATCTGATAGGCGTTCAGCATAATGTAATGAAATGGCTTGGTGATGATGTTTTCATCTGGAACTATCCATTCCAGATAGTTATATTAGTCTAATTCATGAATTAGACTAAAGCCTATATTGAATATGTGAGATTAATGTGATGAATTAGATCAGATCCCATTGAACTTGAATAAAACATTGAGCAATGTTTCTGCAGATGGTGCTTGTACATTTCATTTTATTTTTGAATTATGCATTCAATGATTGAAAATCCAAATGTGCGTGGGGAGCCTCATTTTAGTATGCCAGCTCTAGTTTCATTCTTGAGTTTAAATTCTTATGTGAAGTGGTAGGCTTGGTGGCCCGGAATCTGGTTCTAATGTTTCGCTTATGAATTGCCTGGCTGAGCTATACTTTGACCCAAACCCCATACCTTTATGATTCAGAGATATATAGTAGGGTAAACAAATAGATATATTTATATATATATGAACCCAATTTTATAGAGCTGGCCTTGTCGGGCTGTCATTCTGAAAGTGTGCCAAAAAATTGAGATTCGAATGCGACCTGGATTGAAACTGTTTTGGCCTGACTTGGCCTGTTTCTTCTTTTTTTTTTTTTTCTTTTACATTACTTAACTCACATGCTTAGATTGAGCAGGGATTGGGGGATTTTGAGGAGGATAGCTTCTTGGTAATATGGATGGGGTGTTTAAATATAACTTGAACGGATTGGATTTTTGTGCTGTTTAAGGTGGCTTCAATGCCGAAGCTGCATAGGGTTTTGTTGAAATTAATCCATTAAGAGTTTAAAGATAACTCTGAAATTCTATTTATTTAACAAAATTACGCAGCTATTTGTAAAGCCGGGCATAGCTAAATTTTTAGCCGTGCCGAGCCCATCTGGCTCAAACTTTTGTTAAACCCTACTTTTAAAACTTAGGTCCAATATTTTCATGCCGAGTAGAATTTTTTTGGTCACGCCAACTTTTGGCGGCTCCCGTAATTGTATTGAAAATATCGGTGAATATTGATATCATTTTAAACTTTTCGGTATGATAGAAATATATATTAGTACTGTACTGAAAGTTTTAATATACTGAATTTTGGTATATCAAAATTTTCGGTACGGTACCGAAAATTTCAATTTTGGTACGAAATATAATTTTAAATTTCAAAATAATTAAAAAATTAATAAATATCATCATTCTCTATCGCAAAAATATTATGAAAAAATTAATAAATTTTTAATAGTTTACATATTTTTTGTTATGATTTTAAAAAAAATTAATAATTATTATTTATATTAATAATTAAATTATTTAATAAAAATAATATCGGTACAATATCATATCAAAATAGAATTTTCCGAAAATTCATACCGATATTGTACCGAAAACTTACATTTTTGACATGATATGGTGATACGATAAATCGGTATTTCTGTACGTTTCGTAAATTTCTCTATCCTCTTGACTAACTCAATTGAAATCTTATTTTCATTTAGTTGGAACAATAATTAAATGTAATATTTTAAATAAAATAGCATTTGATATAATATTTTTTAAAAAGGAAGAATTCAAATAAATTTCTCTATCCTCTTGACTAACTCAATTGAAATCTTATTTTCATTTAGTTGGAACAATAATTAAATGTAATATTTTAAATAAAATAGCATTTAATATAATATTTTTTAAAAAGGAAGAATTCAAATAGATTTTTTTGGTTTGTGAATTTTCAAATCAAGCTTTACTAGTAACTATTTTTCTCCACCTATAAAAATTTAAATTAAAACTTCTATTTTTAATTTTACAATAAAAATACCCAGCTTCCAAGCCCACAAATAAGTACATCCGGAATAATTACTCTCCCAATCATTAAAAATATATGTATATATATATATATATATTCCATTTGATCGAATACAAGTATTAAGAAAAATATTTTTTCGGTTTTAAGAAAAATAGTAAAAATATAAAATTTTCCTTTTAGGGTAAAAAAAAAATATAAAAGGTTAAAAAAAAATACTTAAAAAAGATATAAAAATAAATTTAGGGTGTGTTTGTTTGGGGATTTGGATTTTGTGTTGGTATTTGAATAAGAAAAATTTTAAATTTAAATAATTGTATGATGTGATATAAATAGATGTTCGATGTAATATTTTGAATGTAAAATTAATTTTTATTATAATATAAAAAATAAAAAATAGATATTTAATTTGATGTTTTTTTTTAAAAAAAATGAGACAATAGCGTATTTAAAATTCAATCCCTCGAACGAAGACACCCTTGGATAATTAAAAAGATATATATAGTTGGATGACTGAAGGAATATAAAACAAATGTAAAATAACTCTATTAGTATTATTTCTATTGTTTCTTTCATTTCCCTCTCTCCCCATTTATCTTTCATTTCACGACCGTTATTACATGAAATGATGCAATGTGTTTCCGTCTCATTTCAAATACCACTAAAATATGTAAACCATAAATTTAAACCTACGTATCATCCTAATTCATTTTAAAATAATAATAGTAACAGTATATTCGTACGCGCAATTGAGCATGTGACGTGCATTTAGCTACCTTGCAAACACAATTGAAACGTACAATAATTAAAGACTCGTAAGATATTTTTAAATCATAATGCATGTGTACCTTTTGTTTTGTTGTAGTTTGAGGCTAGGCTAGGCTCCATTAATAGTTCGATAGAGAGTGGATGGGCCAAGTAAGACGGGCACCACCGGCAGTGTACCAAGTTGCTGCCTTTTATCTCCTTTCAGGAAACATGGCCATCAATGACACATACAACCTACCCAACTCCAACCACATTCCAAAATAAAATGAATCATGACAATAATAACAAGAAGAAGATAAGGGAACATAAATATAATTGACACCATATAGATAAGGTCCCCTACCACTACTACTTCAGGCCCCTTTTGAAATTTCAACTTGTGCCAATCACATTATTCTTACCTCGATGGAATGAACGTCACCTGATGCCACGAGCATCCCAACAACTCGAAGATACCTTCGCCATTCAAAAGTAGATGATACAAAAAAAGAAGCTAATCTATATAGTAAGATTCGGATAAGGATTCATGATCAATCACGAATAAGGCTTCAGTTTCGACCATGGAAGTAGAAACACACAGTAGAAGCATGTAGTGTTAAAGTCATAAGTTTCATAACACAATGCACAATCTTGGAAAATAAAAAGGCAAAAGTCATAAGACCGATCTCAAAATAGAAAAGCAGGCATTTCAAGTTCAGTTATGAAGTTTTTTTTTTCGAAGGGATTGCTCACAGACTGAGATGTGCTGCTCCTGAAACCAGCCTCGGCTAGCCTCCCTTGGCCTGAGAGATATTCCCAAGTAAACGGTAGGAGAACACTTACCAGGCGTAAAGTGGCTACGAGACAATTAAAACATGACTGCGTAAAGTATAAGCAGTGTGGTGAAGATTGGTTCTAAACCCAAAGACTTCTCAAATCTCTTTCAAGAATGCCTTTGTGTTCCAAATAGTAAAAGACTCTTGCTTGTGCAGCTCACATGTGTGCAAACCTTTCATGGCCTTTCCCATCAGTGCCATTGCTGCTATGCTAGGGAACTGCTTCTTTTGGAAGTCATCGAGTGATTTTTTAAAACTCTGTGGCTTACAAACGACTGTTGCAGCCTTATTTTGGGCGACTTTGGATCCGTTCCGCAGCCACCGCTTAATCCAAGCTTGTGAAAGCAATGACTCCTTGCCTCCCGTTGCTGAGTCTGGCATGAAATCCTCACTGGCCTTGAACATCCCTTGGGTCTTATCTGATGCAACTGTTTCTTTAACTTGATCACTCTTTGGAGTTGGTCCTGAGCGAGCAATGTCGCCTTCAAGAATGACTTTAAAGTGATTTTTCATTCCAATGGGATTTGTGCTTTTGCCCAAATATGAAGTTGGTGTGGCTTGGGAAGTTGAGTTTGGTAATGTCAGCTTGAGGCGCTTGACCCATCTCATTGTCGGATCTACTTCAGAAGAATCACCGGGGGATAGGTTGGATTTTTTATTAGGGTGGTTGGAATGAGCCAGGAGGATGTTTGCATCTGTGTCTAGACTCTGAGTTCTTGAGGATCCTGCGCACATATTCTCCGATGAACATGCATCAGCCGGCAGTGCGGGAAGCTCTAAGTTGATGTCAGGTCGAATTGCCTTATTCCAGTGATGTGTTGCTTCTCCATGTGAAGTACCATTGATGCGAGGAGATAATGGTGAGCCAAAAATGAAGCCCTAATACAAATACAATGATTATTATTGTGATGTTAGGTTGCTGAACATGCATCTGTATTAGAAATAAACAGATACTGAAACTGATTGTAGGAAAGGTAATCAATATACTTGGACATTCACATGTTAGATGCACAGAATTAAGTGTTATGAGTTTAGAATGGGAAAGCACCTTATTTGAGAAGGTATGATTTGCACCTGCAACAAAACAAGAACACTGGGTTCAGAGAAAACTATGATACATTGATGGCAAACTTAAATTACAATTCTAGAGAAACAATAGTAATAGATATTTCAGTGAAGTACAGAAATGTATAAATGTGACGATCATAGAGAAAATTAGGAGCAAAGTTATTACATACCAGCATTTGAAATCTCCTCTTTGAATACATCTATATCCATGGTGTCTGTTTCAGCTGATGATTCATTCTTAATAAAGGATTTAGAAGCAGCAACATCTTCAATGGTTCTTTTTCCCTTACTATTGGAGGAACCACTCAAAGATCGAAGCTCTACTCCACCCCCCTTAGCTTGACCATAAAATGCTGATGGGATATGAAAATCACTAGATGTGTTTCCATTTATTTCAGCAACTAGCCCAGTAGTTCTAAAAACATCATTTTGTCCCGATAAATCACCACCTTTTGTGATAAACACATGGTGTGTTGTTTGAGAATACTTAGGAAAACCTTCACGTGATGCCTCCACAGAATCCACAGTGGTGCAAATTCTCATAGTCTTCATGTCATGAACACAATACGGCAACTTTTGTAGGGAGCAATGATTACAGCATAATTTCTTTGATTCTATTTCCTCGGCCCTCTTCTGGAACCAAGCTTGACCTGACACTGGCAGGTGAGGTTGACTAGAGGATGGAGTATCTAATAACAAGGATGTATTAATGTCCCCCAAATGCACATCCATTGCCGTATCTGAATGACTGTTAATTTTTCTTTCACTAAAAAAATCAGTCAGTTGACCATGCTTGTTGCAATGTTCTTGCTCAGGTATTCCCATGTTAGAATTTGGAAACTGATCCTTTGAAACATAAGAAGGCTTCATGATCAGTGGAGCTTTTCCTTTGTCGAACTCACTCTTTTTAAGGTTGTAATATGGCACGATCTGCGTTGATGACTCCATTGTTGATCCTTGGAAAGGTTTTAATACAGTAATGCTTCGATCCATGGAAGTAGAATGTGTTTTCATCCACTCAGGAAGACTCTTTGAAGTATCCTCACCTGCAGAATAACATCGTTTAGATGAAGTTCCAACTACTGCTGGTATCTCCCCCCGGGGAGATTGAGTCCCTCCTTTCAAATCAGTGGATCTATCTTGTTCAATGCTGCGACCAAGCACTTGTCCCTTTGCCTGTTTGTCATCACTAATCTGCCCGTGCTTCATAGGAGGCCAGAGTGCTGATTCGCTATCCTCAACTTTTGAACTAATGAATTTGAAGGCCTTAGCCTCAACCACTCTGGAGTCTTTGACAGGTCGAGAATCCTTTGATCCATCTTTAGTGCTATTGCTTCGAGATGAACAATCCAATTCATCAATTCCACGATCACGTTTCTTTCCTGTTGCAATGCTGCTAGGTTGCATCCAATGAGCCATCCAAACAGGCTGGGAATCTGGCACCGAATACGGACTCTTCCCAGAGCTTGAGCCAGTGCTGTCAGCGATAGAGGGCATCCTTTGATCAGGCATGGCGAAACAATTTTGGCTGGACAAAATAACCGTTGTTAATGAAGCAGTTAAGTGCAGAGAACAAACAAGAGAAATACCTTATCTCGCAAACAATAGACAGAAACATCCAATAACAGAAAACAAATCAAAGCAAACCAAGAGGACATAATGATAAGCATCTGTTGCACGAAAACTTAGATTTAGCAACACATAAACATGCGACGTTTCCCAAAATACTCTTTCCTATGTAAACTGAAGATCTTCTTCAGAAAGTCAATTCAACGCCTTAAAAGAGAAGTAAATGCGTAGCCAAACCACCACCAGAAACGTACAAATTTCAAACAACTCGAAGTTGCTCGAAAATATCACATCTCATTCTTCCAATCGCCGATCCAAACAGACAGCTAACAAAATTAGGGAAAACACACACGCACACAAACCAACTAGACCCTCGCAAACTCAAAAACAAAAATTAACAAAATTCACCAAAAACAACCTGCAAACATATCAACAAGCTCACGCTCAAACCGCAAACGCAAACTAATTAGCACCAACTAAAAAACCTTAATACATCGTCACATACACCAAATCACCAACAAACATATTCCAAGCATATCAACAAGCTCACACTCAAACCGCAAACGCAAACTAATTATAAACAACTACAAAACCTCAATACGTCGTCACATACCCCAAATCACCTATCCGCCGAATCCACAGCTCCTCGCCAATTGTCCACAGAAATCAACCTCCACAATCTCGGCTGTCAGTAGCCAAAAGGAACAAGATGAAGACACACAATCGCTCAATTACTTGCGCAGACGCTCTTTGTGTGGCTCAGATGCTCTGCAAGCCATAGTACAGAAGAGCATAAAAGTAGAAAGCATACAGAGAGACCGACTCTCTATTTCTGAGAGAAGGAGATTTAACTGAATGAAGCGTAGCTAATTTGTGCTTGTGCGCTGCCAAGCCGGTGGGTCCCATTGGACCCACCTAATGTACACTTTTTTCATATAGATAATTCTTAATGTCGACTTTTTTGAATAAATGGTTTTTCTAAAATAATTTATTTCTACTAAATCTTTAAATTCTAATATTATTTAATCATTTTATTTTTCTCGTCGGTAATTTTTTTTTATTGAAATACTCTAAAATTTTTGGACAAATATAATCGGCATTCACTAAAATCTGACGTGGAAACTATAAATCTACTATAAAAATGATCTGAAAGAAATATCTGAATCGATAAATATCTTGAGGCTCTCAGATCCATGAGAATATTATAATAAGGAGAAAAATGCATTAATGCGCCGATAAATGCAGAGCCGATCGAGGTGCGGCGCCTCTGCGGGAGCTGATGTGTCAAGCCGAGCCATTTTGGTAACCAAACTATCAATCAGTACTTAATTTATTTAAAAATATTTATTATTTAATAAAATAATTTTAAATTAAAATTAAAATAATTAATTAATATAATTTTAAAATTTAAAATTAAATTAAATTGTAAAATAAAAAATAATATAATAAATAGAACTTACAAAAATAAGATGTGAACACAAGGGGAGGAGTATCATTTTGGTTAACCTCGGCGCGCGCACTCCCAACATCTGGCTCCTTTTTATACACGTCACTCTTTCTTTGGACCAACAAGGAAGCTCCTAGTGGCGGTTCCTAGTGGATGGATATTTATGTACTATTCAGGTTTTTATATTATTCTATACTCCTTCCAATTGTGTGAAAAAAAAAAAAAAAAAAATTGAATTCAACAGTATATATAATTAAATAGTCCTGATAGATATTTATTTATTGTATATTTTCGAACAGTAACTGTAAATTTTCACGTCTAAAAAAAATAAAAAATATTAAAATAAAAAGAATATTGTGTTGTATATACCCAATACATATAAATTGATTGTAAAAATTTTGTTAACCATTACTTAAAAATTTAAGTTGTCGAATAAGTCAATTTAAAAATTCATTAACTAAATTCAAAATTTCTCAAAAACTTGATTTTTAATGACTAAAAATACATTTGGTTAAAATTCCATTTTAATTTATGGCTAAAAGTTACTACAGATTTTAGATAAATTAATTAAATGATTAACTAATAAATTGCTTTATTGCATCTTTAATGATGTATATATATTTTGTTGTATATAAAAGTAATAAGAAGTATAATTGAGCCAGGAGAATACCCGCGAGCCATACATGCGTGCAACGTCCGCCCACCTAAACCAAAAATGATACACACACGGGTACGACACGTACATTAGCTCGGGTCGTGGAGCTTGGTAAATGTTTGGCGATGCTTTGTACCATATTCCAATGATCGAGCCAAAAAACTCAATATTTATTTGTCTCAAAATAAGTTCAAGTTTTGAAGTTCAAAATGAGTTCAAAAATTAAGAGCTTAAAATTTAGATAATATTTTATTCAGTTGATCGTATCTAATTACAATCACGACAAATCACCATTGTAATCACAAAAACAATATTATTGTCTTTCATACGGGGCAATTTCTTTATTCTCCGTAGAGTTGTACTTGTAAAAGAAAGACTGTTCTCATTCATTCAAACACATTAACAACTAACCTCTTTTTTTTTTTTTCTTTCTCTTTTCTCATTTCGGCAGCCTCTCTATCCAGCTTGAGGTGACACTCTTATTAAAGATAAAAACTTGTTTTATTATTGGATTAGAATATCAACCATTTGAAATATTACCATAGTGTATTTAATTTTCGAAAAAATGATTCATTGTTGACTTGATTTCACATTTAGATATTTTTCTTATTTCAATTCCCTTTAAGTTAACCTAAGTAAAAATCATCAATAATTATCTATGAATTGATGAGCGATTTACTTTAATTTGTTGACTTTAAATCTTAAGACACCTTAGATATAATTATTTTTAAAAATACTTAGAACAAATATAATTAATATATGTATTTTATTTAGTTTTTCTTGAGGTATTTTTTCTTGATTTGTTTACTATATTTTATAATTATATATAAAAATATATAGTTTGCATCCAAAAGTCCCACCCAACAAAACATAATTAAAGAAAAAAAAGGATAAATTGAAATAATTACTCTATCCGTCCTAAAAATTTAACTAATTTCTTTTGTATTTTTACAAAGAAGTGAGATTAAATTTATCGGACGGATGGAGTACAACATTTATTTTCATATGTTCATTAAAATAAAAAATAAATGTAACACTAGTATTAAATAATAAAATTGTTATGATGACTTGGAGATTCACCTTTATACCGTATAACTATACTATTAAATATATAAATTATCGAGTCTTGGACGAACTATCATTTCGTTCAAATTTACTATAAGTTTGAATTATAAAATTGTTGAATTGAACCAGTTATATAACATGACATAAATAGGAAAATAATTTTAGTATAATATAAAAAGCTAATGCTTGATTCAATATTTTTTTAATTTTCTTTTTATGAATAATATAAATTTAAATAAATTAAATAAAAGAATACACCCATTGAGGATTTTTAAAAAAAAATTATAAAATAAATTAATAATTAATATAATGTTCTATAAAAAAAAATAAATGTATTTATTAATTTCATAATCTTAAAGATAAATAGTAGGAGTATCAAAATCTAAAATTAATAGAGCAATATGTCCAACAAGCCTAATTTTGAGTAAAATGGATTTGGATCGGACGACGGATCCATTTACTCCTACGCGCTTGGAAATGACGGTATTATCCAATTTTGCAAGCATATTCCCAGTGGAGCTGACCGACGTCGTTTTGGGTCGCAATTGAGTGTTCTCTTTTTGTTTCACAGATTGGACTCTCTCAACCACGTCCGGATTTGTAGTTTGACCTCCGAACCCCTCAATCGCTCTCTTCAGCTACGCCCAAGGTATGATATGTTAATCGGGTATCGTTCCTGGAGGAGCCATGATTTTGCGGATTTGTTTATGTTTTTATGGAAGTTTAGGTTTTTCTGAATTTGTGCCGAGCTTTCTTAGATCTGGTTGTTTTTATTGTTGGGTTTCCGTTTTAGGGTTTCTAGTGTGCTTTAATTTGATTGATTTCAGATTTGTTAGAACGTTTCGAGTTTCAATTGCTATGGTATTCGGCGGCCTTGGGGTTTTAATCTTCTGCGACAATTAAGGTTTTCATTGAGGATCAGTAAAATGTAGATTAATTTGAGGTGGATTGACTAGGGGTATTCGAGATTAATTTGAGGTGGATTGACTAGGGTATTCGAGATGAATTTGTCAGAGAGTTCACCTGTAGGCGAAAGTGAGTATTGGTCTCTTGTCCATTTTATTCGGACATTTTTTCTTTCTGTAGCAATGAATGTAGAGCTAGTAAGGATGTGTTTGCTTGGGTTTAAGCTGATTAAATGTTGGATCTGGTTCTGGCCTTTGTATTTGCTATTCAAATGTTTAGTTTTGTTTTCAGTGTTTCTAACAGTATAAACAAGGCTTTAATTCTCTGGTAAAATTATGTTTCGAGAAACTTTTGGATTCATAATGAGTTGTCTTCAATGGGAGATGTCTAATTCCTCTATATTTGTTACCAAGCACTCCTGTTTCTTGGCTTTTGACATGTAGACAATTTTTTGTTTTAATCATGGCCGTTCCTTGGATTGAATTTCTGTCCAAACATTCAGGAATTTAGAATTGAAATATAATCATGGAGGGGGTTGGAGGTGATGGTCCCTCAACAGCTGCTGCAGCTCTGAACCAGAGAAGACATGAATTTTCAAAGCTGTTCCAGTACTATTTGGATAAATCAACGCCACATGCTCTTTATCGGTGGATCGGAACATTTGCCATACTGTTTGTTTATGCACTGAGAGTGTACTACCTTCAAGGGTTTTACATTGTTAGCTACGGTCTTGGGATCTACCTTCTGAACCTACTCATTGGGTTTTTGTCACCTCTTGTTGACCCAGAGATGGAACCATCAGATGGTCCTATGCTTCCCACGAAGGGTTCTGATGAATTCAAACCTTTCATTCGCCGCCTTCCTGAGTTCAAATTTTGGTATTTACATTCAGTCTTCTGGCATCCGCTTTTTTATCTGTTTCCATGATAATTAATTCTATCTTTGTGGAATTGATAGCATGTGCATCTTTGTGCTTGTTTGCAATGTATCAATTGCCTTTATTTGTGTTTTTATTCTCTATCATAAGCTGCGGAAAGACTATTGATCTATGTTTGAATATTCGAGAACATGAGGTGATTAAATAAACTAATTGGAGTGTGTGAAATAAATGGCAGCATGCTTATGCATTCATGATAGTTATACATGTTAAATTTGATTGCGTCGTGTTCCTATTATCCTTGTTAAGTGGTTTTCTGTTGTGTTGTACTCTACGACATAAATTCCTTTATAACCTATAATCTCCTCCGTAAGAGTAATTGAAGTTTGACATATTCTGTAGCATTTTTATGGATATATTGATGCAAGATGATTGGTACCACTCTTTTCATTCAAAATGTGAGTGATCACTGCCTCATTTCAATTTGCTTTTTCATTCGGTTTTCCACTTTTACTGTCTGGAAATGAAAGTGGTGACACATGTCATTGAGTATAAGAATTGGGAATATAATAGAATTCCTGTTTAGATTTTTACGGTGTACTTGATAACATATGCTAAACTTCTGTGTGCAGATGCTATTTGACTTTACATATATATTCGATTTTGCGAAGTTGCAGAAAAATATGGAAAGCCTTATTACAATGTTAACAGAATTCTTGTATATGTTTGACTGCATGAATGGATAAAAATATTGCTCTTCGTAACGATGCATATTGTCTCAATTGCAGGTATGCAGTAACGAAGGCATTTTGTATAGCATTTGTGCTGACCTTCTTCTCCATGTTTGATGTGCCTGTTTTCTGGCCTATACTATTGTTCTACTGGCTTGTTCTTTTTGTTTTGACGATGAAGCGCCAAATAATGCATATGATCAAGTACAAATATATCCCGTTTAGCATTGGAAAGCAGGTGAGCACCACACACTCACACACACAGACAACTATTTTCTTGAAATTCCATATAATCTCTTAGCTTTTGTTTTTTTTCTTTTGTTTTTTGTTTTTTCCTGATAATTTCATTGATTGTGTGTTCTTGTGCCGTTGCAGACATACAAAGGGAAAAAACCTGCTGCGAGTTCCAGCAGTGACTGAACGGTCCTCGACTCCATGACTCAACCAGCTTAAGAAGATTCGAAGGGGACTGAGTTTCTCGGATAGATAAGCGTACATGGTGGAAACAAGACAAGAAGGCACCGGAGATTGCCGTTTTATATAGTTTAGTTTATTTGGTATATGTATTTACACACTGAAGATGTTGGCATGCACCCCACCCCACCCCGCCCCAGTTCATTGTTACTTTAGTATGGCAGCGAACAGCTATTGAATTTGCTGCAGGAAAGGAAAGAATAGCAAAAAACAGAAAGATTCAATTCGTCTTGGATGCATTTCTGGAGTATTGAACATTGATTGTAATATGATGATGATGATGATGATCTCTCCACTGCTATTGCTGTGCTGAATGCAGATCGTTACGTATATCTGCATTTAACACCTGAATATTACTTGGATTTTTATATTAGAGTAAAATATACTCTGTTTTGGTCCTTGTTGTTGTGTTGTAATTTTTTGTATATTTATTTTAGTGAGATTGTAAAATAAGTTTAGATTTAAGTAGTAAAATTAAATGAGGATGAATTAAAGTACTTCCGTCCCCATAAGAAGTTTTATTTTCCATTTTTATAGGTCTCAAAATAAGAATATTATTTTTTTTTTAATATAGTAATTATACTATTTACTTAATACTTATAATAAATATTTTTATAATTTTCAATATTTTACACAAATATCATTATTTTTTATTACATAGTATTAATAAGAGTATTTTTGTTATTTTCATTACAATCAAATATAATACTGCTAGTATTAAAAACTTTATGTGCAAAAACAAATGTTGTTCTTTTATTGGAGATAGTAATAAAATTATAAGAGCATTGGAGTTTTGAATTTGTAAGTGCACTTTGTTATTCTGATTGTGTTAACTTTTAGAAAAGACTTTTGGGTTTTACACTTATACTTAAAAGCAATTCTAGTTTGAATTGACGTTAATTTTTGTTGTATATTTTGAAACATTAAAATTTTCAACAAAATATGTAAATCCATTCGCATACCACCAAATCATATTCTTTCATATTTATACATATCAAATAAGTTATACGTATAAGAAGTATAAATATATAACATTTCCTGGACCTAGGGCCGGCTTGAATATTAGTAAAATTAATCACGACAATACAAATAACTACAAATTAAAATTAAAATAACTAATTAGTCTAATTAAAATTTTAAAATTATAAATTTTTTTAAATATAATTAAAACATTTAATTATTTTTCAAAAAGAAAAATCATGAAATATGAAACATACTCAAACGACAATGTTGACTGAGAGAGTATTAAAAGTTTTGGATATAAACATTTACTTTAACAATATATATTTTGTAATTTTGATTTAAATTTACTTTTAACTTTATAAAGTTCAAATATCTTTTTAAAATTATTATGATTTTTTTTTTTTTTTTTTTATATATATAATAATGCATTTAAACACCAAAATCAAATTATTTCTACTTTTAAATTTATATTTTGTTTTAAGTTAAACCAAAACGGGCTTTACTACCAGACAAATTTTTATTTAATTAAAGATATATGCATTAGTATTTACTGCGTTTTCTGGGCTAGTCCAAAACAATGGGCCTTGAAATCGAAAAAGGAAGCCCATCTAAATTTATTTGGCATAGGGTCGGGTCAACCCGTACCCGACATTGAGTTGATCGGCTTAAACCCTGCCATACAAACTTCAAACCCTACAGCGGCGTATTCGTTCGCCCTAAAGTTCTCATCTCCGTCGCTAGTCGCCGCCGTGCCAAACCAGGCAATCATTCATGGGGAAGGCGAAGGGGAAGCACAGATTGGATAAATTCTACCACTTAGCTAAAGAACATGGCTACAGATCGCGTGCTGCCTGGAAACTGGTGCAGCTCGACTCTAAATACACCTTCCTCCGCTCGTCCAACTCCGTTGTGGACCTCTGCGCCGCGCCGGGAGGCTGGATGCAGGTATGCGTCGAGCGGATGCCTGTTGGAAGCCTCGTTATCGGCGTCGACCTCGTTCCAATTCGGCCTATACGCGGCGCCATATCTTTGCAGGAGGATATTACTACACCCAAGTGTCGCGCTTCTGTTAAGCGGATAATGTCGGAAAACGGTTGCCGAGCATTTGATTTGGTGCTGCACGACGGATCGCCGAACGTCGGCGGCGCGTGGGCGCAGGAGGCCACCAGCCAGAATGCGTTGGTAATCGATTCATTGAAGCTTGCGTCTGAATTTTTGGCTCCTAAAGGAACTTTCGTCACCAAGGTATCGATTACTTTGGCTAATTGACGTTGGTATTGTGAAGCTTAATAATTTAGAGCAATTGTAACCATGTGAATTCTAGTGCCTTACTTTGTCTCTCTAATTTCTTTGTGTAGGTTTTCAGGTCTCAAGACTATACTGCTGTTTTGTATTGTTTACGGCAGGTAAAATTGTTTTCTTTGATCATCATTCCTATTATGTTTATGAAAATTTTGCTGAGGGGAACTATTCTGTGCAGCTATTTGAAAAGGTTGAAGTAGACAAGCCACAAGCTAGTAGATCAACGTCAGCGGAAATTTATATCATAGGTTTAAAATACAAGGCTCCTGCGAAGATCGATCCTCGCCTTCTTGATGTAAAGCATCTCTTCCAAGGAGGAAAAGAACCTTCAAAGGTAGCATGATGTGTATTTTTTAAACTGTTGTTCTTATTTGGATTTGGCTTTATGTTTGATAGGATTCACTTGTATGCGATTAATCACCCGCAGGTTGTGGATGTGCTGAGAGGAACTAAACAGAAGAGACACCGTGATGGGTAAGATTTTGTTTAGGTCGAATGCTATATTAAATTAAGCATGTTTGATTCTATCAAGCCTACTTGATTTGATTCTATTAAGTTTTGTGAAGCACACACGCCCGCCCACACATACACACACACATATATATATAGATATATTCAGAAGGAATAAATACAAACCTGATTTGGTGTATGTGTTAAATCAACAAAGCATTCTCACATTGATTTCTTGCGCCTTTTTTCTCTTTTTCACGATACACCACACAAGCAGTTTTTTTTTTTTTTTTCATTTATTGCTTTAAGTTTGAAGATCAAAATTTATTTATAACCAAGTTTAGAATTCGGAAACCTGATTTAACCAATTTTTTTACGTTTATGTGCATATGAGGTTTTAAAGTCTATTGTACTATCGTCTTGGTGTGACCCAGGTATGAGGATGGAGACACAACTTTGAGGAAATTGTGCTCAGCATCAGAATTCATCTGGTCCGATAACCCACTCGAGATTCTTGGTTCAGTTGCTTCAATAACCTTTAATGACCCTGCATGTTTACCCCTAAAGGATCATACTTTAACAACAGAAGAGGTATACGATTTCAAACATTACCTACTTTTAGTCTGAATCTACCTGCTAAAGTTTAGTTGAATGATCATATGATGCTGTTTCTAAATCAATTGGAGCAGGTTAAAGCTTTATGTGAGGATCTTCGTGTTTTGGGAAAGCAAGACTTTAAGCATCTTTTGAAGTAAGTTCATCACTTGATGCTGCTAATATCAAACAATTCCTTTGTAGTTTTCTTTGATTAACTTATCTGGTTTATTTATTTTATAGGTGGCGCATGCATATGAGGAAAGCTCTTTCTTCTTCGGAGAAGGATACATCTGCTACTACCACGGTTGAAAAGAAAAGCAAGGAAGATGAAGAAGAAGATGAAGATGAGCGGGTACTTAATGAAATGGAGGAGTTAACAACTGCTATGGACCGAAAGAAGAAAAGAGAAAAGAAACTTCAAGCAAAAAGACGTGCTAAGGTGTTCATTATTTACATCTCTAATTTCTAGATATGTTCTTGATTTATAAATTTATCTTAAGTTTACACGAACTTTCAGAAGTACACTCTATAAAGTACTTCTAAATCAAGTGTTAGGTTTTCATCCTCAAGATGCTTTAGGGTTAGGTTATTCCTCGTTGCATATGAATGTGTTTACAAAGTATAATCTATTGTTGGATCTCCAATATGTTATTTCATACACCCATGATATACTACTTTGCTTCCAAAGGCTAACTCTTGCAGCAACTTTTGTTAGGACAAGGCTCGGAAAGCATTAGGCACGCAGATGGATGCAATCGAGGATGGCTATACTGATATGGAGCTGTTTAATCTATCTTCTATTAAGGTTCCTGATCCACTTGGCTGCTTTCTTTTCAGTTTTGATTTATGTTGGCTTTTGTCTGATTTGTTAAGGATCAAGTACATATACAACCTTGTTCAGACTTGAAACATGTTTTTACCAATTTTGTAATCAGGGGGAGAGAGATCTTGCAGCTATTGATAACAATGAATATGATGCTAGCGAAATCAGGAACAGTGATACAGAAGAAAGCAATGGCGAGGCAGAAGAAAGTGATAGTGATTTGGACTCTGATGAAGAAAAGAAACGGTAATTTTCTCCCTTGGCTTTTATTTGATTTCTAATAAGTGTAATTTGTATTGCTGTAATCTGCCGATCAACCCTGCTTTCAGTTACGACGAACAAGTTGAGAAATTGCTCGATGAAGCATATGAAAGTTACGTTGCTAAAAAAGAAGGAAGCACAAAGCAGAGAAAGCGTTCAAAGCAAGCCCACTCAAAGGATGAACTTTTAGAGGTACCTGAGTTAGATCCTACCACAGGTTTATATACGCCGCTGTGTTTCTATTAAACATTTGATATATTAATTTGTGCTATTGGTTTTACTGCAGGGCGATGAGGATGCCGCTATTCAATCTGATCAAGACTTGGATAAGGATGATTCAAATCAAGACGCAAATCCCCTCGTCGTTCCCCTTGCTGAACACGAGCCAACTCAAGAGGAAATCGCAGCCCAATGGTTTAGTCAAGACGTCTTCATGGATGAGGATGCAACCGAGGGCCTGGAAAAAAACGACAGCGAAGATGAAAAGCGCGCCCCGGAGCCTATCAAACAACAATCAACAGTTCCGGCAACAAAAACCGAAGATTCTCCACAAAAACCTGCCACTCGCAAGAAGAACAACTCATCATCTGCCAAATCTTCGGTCGCAGAAGACGACTTCGAAGTAGTGCCGGCCCCTGCTACAGATTCAAGCGACGACTCCTCATCGGACGACTCGGACGACGATGACATCGAAACAAAAGCTGAAATCTTGGCCTGTGCGAAAAGGATGCTAACAAAGAAGCAGAGAGAAGAGATGCTCGACGACGCGTACAACAAGTACATGTTCCACGACGAGGGACTTCCCAAATGGTTCGCCGAAGATGAGAAGAGGCATTACCAGCCAATAAAGCCCGTGACTAAAGAAGAGGTAGCCGCAATGAAAGCGCAGTTCAAAGAAATAAACGCCCGACCTGCCAAGAAGGTCGCGCAGGCCAAAGCCCGGAAGAAACGAGCTGCCCATAGGACACTGGAAAAGGTTCGGAAGAAGGCGAATTCCATATCCGACCAGGCGGACATTTCTGATCGTTCCAAAAGGAAAATGATCGACCAGCTCTACAAGAAGGCGGCGCCTAAACAACCTAAGAAGGAATATGTGGTAGCGAAAAAAGGCGTTCAAGTTAGAGCCGGGAAGGGCAAAGTTCTCGTCGATCCGCGGATGAAAAAGGATGCAAGAAAGCATGGAATGAGCAAACAAGGGAAAGGGAAAGGGAAAGGGGAACAGAATAAGGGTAAAGGAAAGGGTAAACCGAATGGGAAGGGAAACAAAGCAAGCAATGGTAAGTCGAGAGGTAAGAAGTGAGATTTATTGTAGTGTTTTGATACCAAATGGTTATTAATTGCCAAAGGTAAGGTTTTGTTAACAATTTACTGCATTATAATTTACTGTTTTCTATCAGTTGTGATTTGTAAAGACCATATATAATCGTTACCGTGGTTATATATAATTTAGAAATGATTCAACTTATGCAATTATATTGAGGGGAATCTAATTTTTTTCTATATATTTTAAATATATATTCTCTTCCTCTATCAAATTTACTCTTTTATTTATTATTAGTTTGTCGATTTTGTTACTAAATTCGTGAAAGTTAATAAATTAATATTTAATTTTTATTTTTCATTCAATATTTATTTATATATCAAACACTACTACATTAAAATTAAAATTCTTTATTTAATTCAAATGTATGTCGATGGAAAGTTTTATATAGGAAGATAATGTTATATTTTTATTGAAAATAATTTTTTTAAAAAAATAAAATAAAATAATTCATTAAAAATATTTATTTTATATAAAAAAATTAAATAAAGGCCTGTTCTCTAAAAAAAAATTAATAACTGTTCTGTAAAGAAAAATTAATTTAATAAATATATATCTTATTTATTCTAATATACATCTCGAAGTCTGATGAACGTACAAACATCGGATCCGCAATAGTTATATCAACAAGATGGAAACTGATTATTATCAACGAACGAACGAACGTGTCTCTTCAATTTGTTGTCTTAAATGTTATGAACCTTTTTGACTCTTAATTTCCATGGAAGGTAATGACAAACCTCTGAAATTCAGGGACAAAATAGTCCTTTCATGAACTCCAGCAACGGCTACGAGTAATTCCCAACGTTCTAATTTTTTTTCAAAAAATGCATAATTCAAAATCCAACGGAAACCCACCGCCATAGCTTTCCTTATTAACACCACCACTACGGCTCCAAATACTCACCAACAACTGTCCCCGGCCATCTGCGTTGGGCGCTAAAGGAGAGTCAAATCTCCCCTCACAGATTCCAATTGCATTCCTGCGCTCCTTTTTCCTCTCAGGTAGTTCATTTTCTCCAAGCTTCTTTTTCATAATTTCTCGTCTTTCATAACCTAATTTCTTGATAATTGAAGAAATCCCCGTGTCCGATTTTGTAATTCTTATTTTTGTAGAATCGAATTGTTTTCCCATTGAGATCTTTTGTTTTTGATTTTTTGAAAATTTGGGGATTTCCGAGTACTCTAGTTAATTAGTGTTCAAGAAAACAGATTGCAAGTGGTACACACCATCTGTGCTCAGATTTTAATTTCCTCTGTAACTGTGCATCGTGATTTAAACGTTGCTGCAGTTGATCTGAATGTGATTGATCAAATTTGCGTAGCTTTCAACTGCTTAGGGTTTGTTTGAATAATCTCAGAATTATGCAATTTTTTGGCGTGCAACTGTGCATCTTGCTGTTGCTCTGAATGCGAATTGTTTGATCAAATTTGCTTACTTCTCAACTATTTATGGTTCGATTAGAGTTTGTTCGAATAATCTAAAAAATTATCCACATTTTGGCTTGCAACCGTATCTCTTCCCTAATCTTGAATTCTCCTTTTTACACAGTGATTTTTAGGGCTCTCCGTTTCCCAATTTTCCAGAATTGGTGCAAAGATGAACGACCTAATGACAAAATCATTCCTAAGTTATGTTGATCTCAAGAAGCAGGCACAGAAGGACCTTGATTCGTCCCCTGATATTGAGATGGGGCAACTCGACCCCGTCGACCAAAAACATCTTTCAAAATTCTTTGAAGAAGTAGAGGCAATAAAGGCAGACATGGAAGACATTTCTAATCTACTTCTTGATCTTCAAGACCTCAACGAAGGGGCCAAATCGGCTCAAAGTTCTAAGATCCTTCAAGGCATACGTGACCGGATCAATGCAGATATGGTCGCGGTACTTAGAAAGGCCAAAACAATCAAAGCTCGATTGGAGCTGCTCGATAAAGAAAACACTTCCGAGGATAATGTATCCAAAGGAAGCCACATTAATCGGACAAGAATCGCAGTTACTAATGGCCTAAGAGTCAAACTGAAAGAGATGATGAATGATTTCCAGTCTCTGAGGGAGAAAATTGTTGCAGAGCACAAAGAAGGGCTGAAGAGAAAGTATCACAGTGCCACTGGTCAGCAACCAACCGACGAAATGGTTGAGAAGATGGTGTCGGAGGGAAGAATCACGGGAGTGTTGGAAGGGAAGAGTGAATTTTCAGAGGAAAATCGACAGAGGCATGAGGCTGTCAAGGATATACAAAGAAGTTTGGTTGAGCTCCATCAGGTCTTTCTAGATATGGCGGTGATGGTCGAAACACAAGGCGAGCAGATGAACAACATCGAGCAGAATGTGGTGAACGCTGATCATTATATCAAAGGTGGGACGAAGGAGCTCGATCATGCTAATCGGATGAAGAAAAAGAGGACTTGGGCCTGTTGGATCGGGGCGGTGGTGCTCGTGTTTCTGTTGGTTTGCCTCATTGCAATTCTTTTCTGAAAAATACGGTTTGTGTATTCGATCCCGGTTAAATCTTTTGAAGGAAATGTGTTTGATGATTGCTATTCATCATTCACTACTTAAGCAAAAATGGTTTGGCTTGATCTTTTGTGATGTGTTTTAGCTCTTTATTCTTTCAATTAATTTTCTTTACATATGTTGAAGATATGGACCATTTTTAGTTGAAGTACAAGGACATGTTTTATTGTCTCTTGAATCCTTTCAACTCTTTTATTGCAATGTCTGATTCTTGGGATCTCCATGGACACTCCAAGAACCAGAGGTTCCACACCATTTACAGTGTCGGGAGGTCCGAGGAGTCCCCAAGAATCAAAGGACAGACATGGGGTACTTAGTATATTATATATAACTGCTTGAGAATTTGCCTAAGCATAATTCTTCAATAAATGAAACCCCTCACTCCATTCTTACAACAAGAACATCTATGTCAACAGCAGCCCTGTCTTCTTATCTTCCTAAAAACAGGTTTTTCGATGTATGCATTATATAGGGGGGGACAAGTTGTGCAACTTGAAGAATGCGACCCTTTGTCCTGCCCATGTTGATGATGTTACACATTGATTAATCTACATCAGATTAAAAACTACTTTTCTGGCCCATATATAGTGTTTGATAATGAACCGAGGATAGCGATAGCCACAAAAATGGATATTAACATTTTGATAATAATATCAGTGTTGTTGATATTACAATACTGTGATTATACAAACTAATGTGGTAATTACTTACTACTCATATGGTGTAGGGATTTCTTGATTTCACATCTCCTCCATCTTTACATGACCTGCTGACATAAAACCTGTCATAAAAAAGATTCGATTTTTATGCGTAGTGTGATTCCAGCATGCTTATGTAGAATGTACCTGTAAATTGTTGATCTGAGAAGATGCTGTAGAGATCATGTAACTCTGCATTGGCCACCAATTGCTGGATTTGCTGTTTTGTTACCAAATTGTGAAATGAACCTTAGTGTTCTTACATTAACAATTAGATGGTTGAATAAGGTAGGAAGAACTTATAATCCTTACGATTAAACTAGGCGAATTCGGAGATGTCTCTGGTGCATAAACAGGAGGAGAACTAGTGGTTCTCCTGAGTGTTATGTCCATGGAATTGACCCCCATTTCTGGACCCGAAGTCGAAGCTTCTTGTCCCAACAATGACATTCCAATCGTAGGGACATTGTAAACACAAGCTGGGAACATCTGTAGCAATTATATCTGTTATTTTACTTAGAGTAATGTATGTTTGATTCAGGGGATTTGATGGTGTTCTTCACCTCTTTAGCTAAATAGTTTTCGACCCCGAAATCCAGGCTTGGAGTGATGGCTGCCAGTTTCATAGACAAGAACTGCACCAGATATATAGATTATTAGTTTTACTACAAAGGAATGAGAATTCAATTAATCAATGGTTGATTTATGCAATACCTCTACTTGTCTTTGCAGAGACTGGACATAGTTGATGATTTCGTCGAGCATTCCCGCTTTTCCTGTGATCTTGTTGCATCCAGGGACTAGATTCTGTAGGTACTTCATTTTTGCACTTATTTTCTCCCTCCTCACCTGGTCAGGCATCAGAATTGAAGAACAAATTGATTGCTGGATTTTGATTTTGTAAAGAAACAAGGTTTTGGAATAATTCAAAACCTTACTCTTTCCGCCAAGCTATGGCTGTCTGTTGCTTGACCACGACGAGCTCGGACGTGAATGTAATCGCGCTTCTCGACCATTGATGAGTCCTTTGAATTTTCCTTCGGAGATAATACTCTCTGATTGTTTATGGAGACATTGTTGTTGTTTGAACGATTTTCCATCTCTGCTTTCGCCTTCTTCTCTAATGGCTGCTGTTCTTCTGCTTCTGCAACCTGAATGTAAACAGAAGACGTGAAAACGAAAAAACGTGCTTACTTTTACTTGGAAACACGATTTTTTGGAAAAACGCTACTTTAGGTCGAAACCGATCCTAAAGCAGGAACACTAACCGTAGGGTTATTTGCTTTCCTCTTCTTAAAACTGTTTTCTCCGCAGGCGGCGGAGCGTAACGCCACCGCCTTTCCTTTACCACCGTTCGCCGCCACAGGTGGCGGAAAACTGGTAGTTCTTGCAATCGAGTTGCTCTTTCCAAACTCGATTCCTTTCTCGTAAGTTAGAATCCTCCTTGAATTTTCGATACGCCTGTTCTCTGTTCCTGGTTCGGACTTCATTGCCCCGTCCGCCATCAATTCTCCGAGACCTAGATCATTGTTTCCGAACAGGATGACACTCAATGGATCGGCGTTTATATAAGCAATCGGTTGCTGCTGGATCAATTGCTGCTGCTCCGATTCAAGCGCGCTTAATTCAACATTTTCCGGTATGGAATTGCTGCTCAGAAAGTGTGTAATTTCCGGCGAAGCGTTTTCCATTAAGAAACACGCTTTTCTGGAGCATAAATGCGATTTTCAAAAGGTTAGTGAAGATGATTCTGCACTATTACTTTCCCTACGTGTTCTTCCACGAATTACAATTTGTTTTCCCCTGTTACAAATCACGCACCTCACTAGTGGAAAATTGTTGACCAAATTTGTGGATTTGATTCTCCGATGCAAAATGGTGGCCTCTGTATGTTGTTTAGTGGATTGAAGAGGGAAGAAGAGGATACTTTGGATTAATAGGCAGCGAAAATATATCAATGGTAGTGAACAGGTGGGGTGGAGTGGGGTGCGGGGTATGTAACAATTTGGGAAATGGCGGCCAAAAGCCCGACAGCGACGGCCGGAATCTGACACAAGTGGCCGTAGTTAATGAGAGTTCTAACTTTTAGCCATTCCCGGGATGTCACATCCCGGAATGATCCACTCCATTAATTAGCGCGGGACCCACTTCCGTAACGCTGTGGATCACTTCTGGTCCTCGGATCCCGGAGCGGCTACGATAAACCGTACGCGGGGCCGGGACTAAGGGCGCAGAAACGAGAATGGCGGGATATGAGTCTCTTGAGAATTGACTAGCACTAGCCACGTGGGCCACAGAAGGCCCGCTTGATTTGGGCCGTGGCCCAAATCATTTGGCTATTTATATTATTCATTAGGATTATTGATGATTAAAGATAAAATTCAAATATTGATAAATAAATAAACGGTCAATTGGAATAAAAACTTCTGTACAATAATAAATTGTGATTCAGTCTCTATTATACTAATATACTACTGCACTCTCCACCTTACATAATTGATTTCATCCTAACTTTATGTCATATTTTTTCCTTCTATTTTTTACCTTTAACAAAGACCTATTTTCTCTCTCTTTTTGGTTTTGGATCTCCGACTCCATTCTATTCTTCAGTCCCTTTTGTTCAATTATTGTTTCACGACACAGCGAGCCATCGGAGGAGAAGTATAATCAGACCTGATTGTTGTTCCAGTCGACGCCAGTCCACCACATCGCCGCCTTGATGCAGCGCCGCGCCACGATCCAGTCCTACTTCCCTTTTGCAAGTGCCGCCGACGCCGACGGCCTCCACTGCGCCCAGGACCCCCGGCTCCTCTGGTTGCATATTCACCATTGCTTTTGTGTAATTTAGAGAAGTTTTTTAAATCAATATTATCAAATGTTTTTTCATTTTATTTATTTATTTTAATTTTGGATTAAGTTTGAGTAGAGCCATTGCTTATCTTTGTTGAAATGATTGGCTATCTAAATCTAATTAGGTTATAAGATTTCAGAATTGATGATGTTCATTAGTTTTATGAATTATATTTGTTTAAAAAGTTGTAATTGAGCTATATAGTTTGTTCATAAGTTGGGAAATGACTACATGTTGTTTATATTTATGACCGGATGTTGTTTATTCGTATATAATTTATAATTTTCAAATTAGTTATCGATACGAGGACCGTTATGAATACAACAAACAAAGGCTTTTATTTTCAATTCTTACATCACCAAATTTCGTAGAACTTTTAAATTTGTAATTTTTGGTTTTGATAGGATGTGAAATAATCATTTGTTGTCTATGTAACTTTCACGTAAAGAAACAATATTATGAGTCCCAGCAGGTAAACAGTCACAAAAATATAATCGTTGTAGTCGTCATTGTAGACTTTGTAAAGGCGTCATTTTTTGTTTTGATAGGATGTTCCTTTTGACGTGTAATTACTTTTGGCTTGTTGGATATAATTTTTTATTGTAGATAAATATACAAACCAAGAGCATGGTTTCGTAGAACTGCATTCGTAATTTCTATGTAATGTGGTATATGAACATGATCTATGGATATGTGACAATACTATTTTGTATGTGATATAATGACAACATAGTTTTCCGGAAACGTAACATAGGTACACGAATGACCGGTGAGTTAAGTTTTATTATTTGAGGGAGTATATAATTGATGGCGTAAAGCAATGGGCGTGTTAGCGTATTACCAACCTTAAAATTAATCTAAATTTATGCTAATTAATTATCCAAATGGGAGAAAGTAAATGTTAAATTGTTGCATTTGTTAGACCCATACGGAGATGATTATAAACTCATGTTCTAATCGGAATCTATCAAGCTCACTTTTGATCCTTGAGTATATCCATACAAGTATTCGCAAAATATATGTAAATATATGTTAATTAATTTTCTAAATGGAAAAAATTGAATATTACATTGTTTTGCATTTGTTAAACCCATACAAAGAGGATTATGAATTCTTATTCTTTTCAAAATCTATTGAGCTCACTTTAGGTCCTTGACTACATCCACATGAACATTCATTTGAAATGTATAGATTTACAATTACCCACCTATATTATAAGGTAGCATTCTTTATTTACATAAAAGTGGAGCTCAAGTACATAATTCAGTAAGAATTGATACACTAAAATAAATAAAGGGTATATAAGAGCCGTGTTGGAGTACTTGCTTTCTCAAACGATTTACTATTTTTTAAAAATGCTCTTGACTTGTTACTTGAGTATGTGAGTGTCCGATAATTTCGATTACTATGTTATGGATCAAAATATTTCAGAAGTTTGTCCTATTATATGGAAAACACTCGAAGTCGTAGTAGTATATTACAACTCGCCGTTTTAAGGAAGTATTACATTTGCCTTGAGTTACTTCGTGAGAGAGAATTCAAATTGCATCAACTTGTTAATTAATTCGTAGCAGCACTCATGTACCTAATAATGAATTTCTTTTTTCTTTTAACTAACTCGTTAATAACTTGGTTCACCATCCACAAGTAAAGATTGAATATTTATTGTATATGTATGATGGTGTCCTCCACAACTGTTAGTATGTGTTGTTTACCTATCCGTTACAATTCAGGGAGTCGCGGAAACATTATCACGATGAATTCATCCTAGGTTACCAACAACAAGTGAATATTTCAAATAAAAGATAGTCGATTTTCCAAGTACATGTTACCAGGACATATGGACACTTTATTTAAGCATATGACACTATTATTATAAGTACGTGAGATTTGCGCCAGGGTATTTCGGTATTTGATGCAAGTATGTAAATATGTGCTTACAAACACCGATATTCAAGGTATAAATGATGGTTACTTAGGTAGTATCTATATAGTAGTAAGTATCCTTGAATGTGATCGATTTTAGTTAATCTCCTGACCGATGAGGCAATTAATAGGCTCGGATAGAGCATTTCTTCTATTAGCCCCGCTGGAAAGATTTGTGCATGATATATTTACATTCAACAACTCATGCCATACTTTTCAATGGCAAGACCATAAAGTATATAATCTTATTTGTATTTTTCTTATGTGCCATTTGTATCATCCCTCCTGTATTTTATGCTATGCATAAAGTTATTAAAACAAATGAATATTAATTCTCCACTTCAAAGTAGTGTGTATCAAACGAATGATAACCACAAACAGAATCAATTATAACATTTAGTCTAATACATTCTAATTTCTAAAAACTTCTCTATTGAATTCTTGTAAATTTGTACTATTTGCATTTTAATATTCTCTGTGAATGGATGAAAATACTATCATGTTAAATTTATCCTCAGTTACCACTAAAATTGGGGTATATGATACTCAAAATATCGATTTCTCAAGTAGTAGTTCCCCAGACATATATACTCGTTATTGAAGCATATGACACCATTAGTATAGGTATGTATGATATGTGCTCGGGTACGTCGATATTTGGTTCAAGTATGTAAGAATGTGTTCAGGGTACAAACACCGACATACACGGTATGTATGATGATTGCTTAGGTATTATATGTGTAGCAGCATGTATCATTGAGTGTGATCGATTTCAATCAATTCATGACAGATGAGGCAATTAAGAAATCCTGTGAAAGCACTTCCTCTATTAACTTCAGGAAAGGTTTGTGTGCAAGCATAGTAGTTGTGATACTCACTGCCCCATATATATATATATATATTTATTTATAAATATTTTCTATAACTATAAAAAGTATGATTATGTATTTTAAATATATGTATTTAAAAATATTGTATGATAATTAAATTAAATTTTATGATGTTAAATTTATAAAATTTTAATATTAAATAAAATAATATATATCACAAATATATTTTTTTGGAATTAATAAAATGATTTCAAAGAAATAAATCTATATTTATATTTTTTATACTACAAATAAGCGTGTGTGATCATTGCGATTTTGATGCTCTCGTACTCATTTATTAATATGTCCTAATATTTTTTTTGTAATTTCTTAAAACAAAATATATAAAAATCAATTTAATAAAAATATTACACAATTTATAAAACTATTACTAATTTTAATATAATTTAAAATATTAAATATTAAAGAGTTACTTTAGATTTTTTTTAATTAATTTATATATTAAAATTTTACATTTTCTACGCACTAGATTTATTAAATATTCTCCATGTCTTGTTAATTATACATTTTGCTTGGACACAAAAATTAAAAAATAATAATATTTTTATATAAAAGTGAGGTGGGTTAGAAGTAAAATAAGAATATTATAGAAAATTTACTAAAAAAATTGATAAAAGAAATAATGTCATAAGTAAGGTAGGTAAAATATCCCATCGGAACTATTAAGCTGTTGAACCGAACCGAATTTTCGATTAATTGAGCCAATTCAGTTTGAATACAAATAGTGCATATTTGATATTTGTTCGGTTCGATTAATTTCAGTTTTTAACATTTTTTTTTGTTCAATTAAATAAACCGAATATATTTATATTATTACATTTTTAAATTCATATTAATAATTACTTTATATTAAAATAGTGACAAATTGATTGTTATTTATTAAAATTAGAGTAATAAAATTGTTTATTATATATAAGTTTAACGAATAACAACCGAAAGAAATCTGACATAATTATAGTTGACGTAAGGAGTAATATTCTTAAAAAATTATGCAATTTGATTTTAATTGATAAATAAGATAATTTTTTAATTATTAATACAAAAAATAAAAAATATAAATAATCATATTTATAAATATTTATAATTGTAATTGGTGCTTTTATTTTATTTTATTTATTTTAAAATACACAAGGAAAGGTAGCTATAAAATAAATAGAGGTATATTAGTGGAACATCTTGATAGAATAGAACATAGTATAAGTAGAGCGAGATGTCTTATAAGTATATAAAATAACATTTAAAGTATTTGAATATAATTTAAAAGTACATCAAATTAATAAAAACAAATTAAAAGAGAAATATAAAATATGAATC